ACATGAGAACTTTTTTGGCTTTATAATTCTCATTTAAACAACTCAATTGAATGTGTAATTGATTGTTTAATTGATTCATTGACTGAGAATCGAACCAGGGGTGTTGCCATGTTGTCCTGAGGTCTTTGTGTTCCATGGACACTATACCAACTAGGACAATCTCACCCTTGGTTAATATTACTTGTTTCTGAGTTGTATATGTGGTGTATCGTACATATTATAGTGTATTATGTAAGCATAGATAACAAGTACTAGACATATAATCACTTCATATCCACAACTATTCACTAATTATATAGAATCAGATAATTCTAGAGCGTGCATTTTCATGGTCTCTATACTAAATCCATTTTTTGTAAATCTATTTGCTTTTTAATATATATTTATTTCTTTGAATGGAAGTTTATAGAGTTTAAGTTTAAAAGAGGAATAAGGCCACAGCGGCTAATTTTAATAAATTATATAAATACAAAGCAAATTCTCGATATTTTGAAATGAACGTAAAATTCTTCTGTTTCCATTTAGTTGTCGACGATAAATTAATTTCCAAAACCACTTTTGTTCAGTCTAATTTTTGTCACAACAATTATATCTGGATAAACACCTTTTTTTAATTATTTGAGCTGAGATAAATATATTAAAATGGGATTATAATATAGTTGAATTACTTTCTAGTTATAATTTTATATTAGAGATCCTATATACACATTTAATGATCAAAGTTATCACATTTCTCTAGCCTTGAAAGGTATTTGAGTTTTGATAATTAGCATGATCTTGATTCATTTTAGTTCGTTTCCATCATTGTAGTATAAACGTATTCAGATCTTCTTGACGTTGTTGTACAAATTGATTAAATATTAGCCGCCGTGGTTATTATTATATAAAGGATTCATTTTTCCAGTTTTTTTCCTGAAATATTATGAATTTTTATTTTGTTAATTCTCTTCAATTAAAGCATTATTCAAGATCTAAAATTCATTAGCAACTAGTTGTTTTTCAATTCAATTTGGATAATTACAGGGTTTACATTGAATAGCTAATATTTTGTTTGAATTGTCGTACAATTTCCACCATCTTATAATGTTAATGGATGAACTATCTTATTTTTATCATTCAATCTATGATACATATATTCATTGATTGTTTTCAAACTAGCATTATCATATCTATTTACCATACGTCTGTCATAACGACGTTTACTAGATTAATCATAATGTGTTTTAACTTATTTTGAATATCACTTGTAGCTTTGAAACACAGCGGTAACTCTACAAAATCATTTAACAATAACATATTTGATATATTATTTCTCTAAAGTTTCAAGAGCTGTTTTTCTTCTTTCATTTCTAATCTCAATAGTCTTGGATAATCTTTCTTCAAATTCTTCCTTGGAAACCCCAGATTCCCATCTTAAATCATGAACAGGATGATCCTTCGAGACAAATGTTTGACCTTTATTACCAAAGAAATTTTCTCTAAATGTTCCCTTTTGTGAAGTATATTCAGTTTGTGCTAATCCTCTTTTTTGTAATTCTGGAATCAATAATTCCACAATTTGTTCTAAACCTGATGGGAATGAAGTTTGTTGGAAATTTAATCCATCTGCACCTGTTTCTTTAATAGCTTCTTCTAATAAATCTGCAACTTCAGATGCTGTACCAACATATTTTGATTTTTTACGTAATTGAGTTTCATATAATTGTCTTTTGGAATTATTTGGTTTTGATTTATCTGAATTTGTTAAATTATCTGCAGTTTCTGAAACTCCATTAACTTTCCCCTTGAAAGTAATAGGTTCATCATATTCAAATGGTTTAACATCAATATTAGATTTCCCACCAAAATAAACAAATGCACTTTCTTCATCTTGTAAATCTTTAACTAATTGTTCTTGTTTCAAGGCATCTTCATGAGTCTTATCAACATATACAGTAACAGAAATTATAAATTTTAAAGATGATGGATCTCTACCAAAATATTTTTGTGCTGCATGTCTAATATCTGCAATATCATCATGAGTCTTTGCTGTATTATGAATATAAATCAATTCTGCATTTTCAGCGGCAAATAATTTCCCTCTTGGAGAACTACCAGCTTGAATAATTAATGGGAATCTTTGTCTTGTAGGTTCTGTAATATGTGGAGCTTGAATATTATAATATTGACCTTTATGATCAATTGGTCTAATAGCATCTGGATTTGCATAAATCTTATTAATCTTATCATAAACTAATGCATCATCTCTCCATGATGATAATAATAATGAATAAACAGCATCAGTAAATTCTTGAGTCTTATTATATCTTTCATCATGTTCAGGTAATGGTTCACCATTCAATAAACTTGGACCAACACTTGGTAAATAAGAAGCAACAATATTCCAACCAACACGACCATTAGTCAAGATATCTAATGAAGATAACCTTCTTGCAAAATGATAAGGATGTTCACTAACAGAACTAACAGTTACACCAAATCCAATATTATCAGTCACAAGACTTAGGGCACTTAAGGCAGCAGTTGGATCTATTCTAGAAACGTTAATACCAGTTCTAGCACTTGATTCATGAGATGATCCATAAACATCAAACCAAGATAAATGATCAATGAAGAAAATTGAATGAAATTTACCAGATTCTGCTAATTTAGCTAGTTTGATCCATGGTTCTATTGAACTAGAGAATTCACGAGATGTATCTTCAGGGTCTTTCCAATTGATGGCTGTTGCTCTTGTTGAAGCACTTAGGATTAATGGTGTTTGTCTTTTTTGTTTTTTAAGAGTAGGTTCTTCTGACATTTTCTGGTAACTATGATATCCATGAATCAATTGATTAATCAATTAAATACATTTTAAAAGTATTTATACCATCTGTATGTTCTCACTCATGAGGTGTTATTGAATCTATTGATGTTTTTTAATTAAATTGTGGCATTCATATTGATTTTGTATGAACGCCATAGTTTTTTTGAATGGCCGTTGATCGTTGACTGTTGACAAAATCATTTGAGGAAAATTAACCAAATTAACCCTCGAAGTACGGATTTTAAGTGGTTAACTAAGAGACATGATTAGATACACTTTCAAGTTTCTAGTTCTCGATAAAGTATATAATGATCATTGGTCAATAATAATTTATAAATGAATTATTGTTGATGGAAATAATTCGCGTATTGCATAGACGCAAAAAAAACTTTCGAATTTCGAAATGACAAGTTTGATGAGTATTTTGAAAAAGATTTCCCAAGATGGTACAATTTCTTTTATAAGTTGATAACAGTTTTTCGTTTTATGTTTGCCATTTGGATGTGATATACGGAATCTAATAATTAATTAATTATTATTTCTATAAAATCCTCATTATTTTTTGAAACTAAATGTTTTCTTCTCGCTGATGGTAATTATACAAAATTCAGCGTATAAAGCTTGCAATTAATAGACTGGCTAGATCTATATTACTATATTATTAATATGAGTTTTACATTATTTAGACAATGATGTCAAATGTCAGATATTCACAAAGCTAATATTAATTCTAGCATACATTAAAGACTTGTCGTAATCGTATTTGATTCATTTGTGATTATAGATCTACTTTTATTAATACAGGTCTAATTATTTTTTCATTTGTTGTAATCTGAACAGATTATTATTTGTTCTTAGCATACGTTCACATCCCTTATATTACAAGCAATATATCAACTACATGAAAGATATGTCGAAATCAGTAAATCATGTATTTAATCAAAATGTTGATGATATTTGTTAAAACTTCATACAAACAATTGATATACATAATAATTTGTCATGATGACTTCACAATATTATACGATTCAAAACCTTTCATGCCACACTGATCATTTACTAATTATATCGGAATTTTATTTCATCTATAAGTTTATGAATCATATTAATGGAAAATGTAATGTATCAGTTAGTAATTCAAGTAAACATATGCTTCCAGAAAGCTAATACACTAAAAAACATTGTAAAATTTAAATCTAGTAATGTATTCGAATAATCATATAGTGTTAATATATAATACAACTATAAAATCAGAGAAGTTGTTAAAAAATTCAAAAATTTATAAAATTTTATATAAAAAAAATATGGACGCGCGCGAGTGTGCGTTGTGCAGTTTGAACTTTGTATACGTAAAATTTTAAAAAGTAATTATTCAAAAATTGTTTAATTGAATATCGGAAAGTACAAGTAAATCAAAAGATAGGATATTATTACTATTCTAAAGAAATATGAATATGTCAATGGTCCTTATCCAACTCCCATCGTATTTTAAGGATTTGTGCTCAATTTGTTGAAGTTTTGTGATAAACATTCATGTTGTATTTTAAACTGATGTTGCAATATTCATTTGATCAGCTGTTGGAATTGAACAAATTAATTCAACCATTCATGGTTTATTAAGATCTATTAGATCGATTAACTTAAGTTTGGTACTTAGTCTATTCAGTACAAGATTTGTTATGCGAGTATTGATTCATTTGTGATTATAGTGATCTACTTTTCTATACACGTCTTGTTATCTTTTCAATTGTTATACGTTATACATGTAGTCTTATGGTCTTCAGCTTTCAACTCGAATGTATTTGGTTTGATTTACTTATCAATTACAAAATTAAGGGAACTGAAGAGTATATATTCGAATCGATATATTTGCTATCATTATGAGTTAAATTCTAGTCGAACCAGTGAATGATTTATTTATTACAGTAATTAATTATGTTGACGCGTAACCTACTTCATGTCTCATACATAATAGATTAACTACATCAAAAACATATTAAAATTAGTAAATCATGTATTTAATCAAAATGTTGATGATATTTGTTAAAACTTCATACAAACAAATGATATACATAACAGTTTGTGTAATGACTTCACAATATTATATGATTCAAAACTTTTTCATGTCTCTTTATAATTGATCAACTATACTAGTGATTAAATGTATCAGTTTATGAATCATTAATGGAAAGATACAATTACTGATCTTTTATCAGAAAAGTTATGCGTACAAAAAACGGTAGCCTTAAGCACAACTGAAGCAGAATACATAGCTCTTGACCAATTCAAGTAAACACATGTTATAAAAAGAATAAAGTACTAAAATTTTCAGCTAAATTCAAAAGTAGTTCAATCTCAAATTAATGAGGTGTTAATATATTAGAAGTGCACGGTGGAAAAAAAGTTAATTTAAAATCATAGATGCGTGCGCGACGTCAATTAAATTTTCTTCGGAAAATAACAACAAAAATCATGATTAAAAAGGATATCGTTAGTACACTTTTGAAGAAAACTGATTAAACTAATGGCAAATATTCTAATCTTAAAGTTGGTGAATAGTTACTTTCATTATTTTAGGTCTGTGGTGAATTCATTGTATCTAATGTCACAATAAATTTGGTAAACCACTTTGCTGAAGGTCTAATTCGACTGGTGAATGAATTCCAATTGGGACCAACGGTTGGTAATGTGTCAGTTGACTGATTTATCATACTATAATCAAATACAAGGCGATATACTGTTTTACCCATACTTGAAACATCATATGTTTAATTAAGATATATTATATATCTAGTTGACATCATTTGATATTTAATCTATTTACAAGATCTGATATACTAGTATTTTAATCATTTGTGATTATAATGATCTACTTTTATATACAAGTTCTTTTAATTCTTTTCCAAAGTGTTATATTTGTAGTTAAATATAATTCTAGCGTTGGTTTATTATATTTCCTTGGTCAATAGCCATGTGACAAATTCAACATCTACGATCAATGCAATATGGAAAAGAAAGATGAATATATATTAATAAATGAATTGATAATGTCTTGTTTCAACTTTATACTTGAAATCATATATATATATATTCTTATTGGACATCCAGCATTTGAATGATGATAATTTTGCAAAAACAAATTCAATATGAATATGGACGTTTTTCTAGATCCATCTTTGTAACATGGATAGACCGAATACACGAATCATTTTAACATTGATACAACGCCAAAGCTCTTGAAGCAAATTTCGAAGCAGTTTGTAGCATACCATTTAACTCTATCCAATGCCTTAAATGCGAAAAACTACTCAGTCCCTAAATCAATGTCATAAATTATAATTAAAATTTAAGAGGAATAAAAATCTGCTACTTAACGCTTTCAAGGAATTCGCGGGAAAAGGTCTAGAACTTTGAAAAATAAACAAAAAAGCGCGTATAAAGAAATGTAAACATAATTGATTAGTGTATACTGATAGTCTAAACCCCAGAGTTGATTGATAAAACAATGTCCCATGCTTTGAGAAACTCATTCATACCGAAAAGATCACCAACAGTCATTTCAAGAATCCTTTCAAGATTATCATTAGATTCATTATTAAATCTTTGTTTATTATGGTGTTCAATGCCTATAACTTATCCACAATTATTACAAGATCAATTAGATGAATTAGAACAAACAAAGGAAGAGTATGTCCAAGAGTTCATTGATCAAATCAAACATTGGAAAGACAAGAGAACCATAACGAAAAGGAAAGTTATTGATAGATTATTAGTTGATATTTATCCATATGGTTTGAATTTATTACAATATGCACAAATTGATTCTCAATTAATTGTGGAAAAACAATCAAATTATCTTTATTGGCAAGTTTCTAAATTATTAGATTCTAAAAACCAGAATTATATATTAAATTTACATTCACCACAAAATTTTTTGGAATCTTTAGTTGGAAATTTATCAAAATTTTTCATGAATCATATTTATATTTCAAATCATCCATATTATCCATTAATTATAATTAGAATTCAAATATTTGATCTTATACATCAACAAAATACACCACAAATTCAAAAAATTTCAAATTCTTTAATATCAAGAAAACCTTTTTTTTTAGCACTTCCACAAAATTCTTCAAATTTAATACATTCCCCCATTTCAATAGATGATCAAACTTCTCAAATTATATTACAATGTATATCATCATCATTATCAACTTCTACTTCACAAATAAGAATCTTACAACAAGATAAAACTCCTCAATTATTGAAAAATTTAGAATCATTGCATATTCTTTCAGGTAATTCAAGATTTAAAGAATCTTTAGGAGCTTGGGCTCCTTATGCTGATGGAAATATTGATATTTCACCTTTTGATGATGTTCAAGATCATCATACTTTACAAAAGACAGCCTTGAAAGATGGTGATGATGAAGAAGAGGGTTCAAGAATTGCAAAGATTTCAAAATTAAGGTTTAGAGGTACATTAAATGAATTAAAATCAAAACAATTATTTGAAGGTACCAAAAAAAGAAAACTTGATGAAGATGATGAAGAAGAAACTTTAAAGAATGGATTCAAATCAATAGCACCGGTTCAACAAGTTGAATTTAATATAAAACAAGATTTTAAAACCCAAAGACCAAAATTAAAATTAAAATTACATGGGAATGATGTATTTGCAGGACTTTTTGAATTATGTTCAAAGGGGAAAATTAATCCTGAAGATATACCAGGTTGGTTAACTGGTGAAGAAGGTTATCAAAATGGGGATGTTATCGATGGAATTTTCCAAAAAAATGATGATAAAGATGGGGTTTTGATATGATGGGATCTCGTGTGTTTATGAGAAATGAATGTTATGATATCTAGTTGTTATAGATGTAATGTGTAATGATGCTCTACTGGTTATTTAGGATCGATTAATATCTTACTACGACATTGTATAGTTATTTAAAGATCATCTCAATAGAATAATCACAAATTAGGATTTCTAAAGAGTAAAAAATGTGTATTTTGAACTATTGATAAACCAAAATGATCATGAACTGAAAAGTAATCATTATATGGAGTTCTTATGTAGTTCAAATCAAATACATCAACGGATTATTTCTCTCTTTAAATATGGGGTTAAAGAACGTCTTAAAACAGCTTTAAGGCACTAAAACTTATTAAAGAATTAAAGAAATAAAGAAATAAAGAATTTAGGAGGAAATTTGTTTTCTTTTTATATTATTTCAAGATTTTACCTTGGCGGCTAATGTTTTTTGATCTTTACCGCGTACACATTATCTCAATAAGTAGAGTACTCTATATATATGAATCAAGATTCAGAGTTAACTGAACCACATATTTACGTTAATAATAGCTTATTGATTGAAAATAGTCTCAATAGAATATACTCTTGTAGTGATCTATTGATATAGATGTATATTAAGTCCATAATATTATAACAACATGATGATAATATGTTCAAAAACAAACCACGATTGAAATAATCCAGGATATTTAATATGTTTTAATGAGATAATGTCATTAATTATACATATTTATAAGGACTTAAATGCATAAGACACAATCATACATCCAAAGCAGTTCAATTAAATAACAATCATGGCGCTGAAAAGAATTAACCAATATGTGATCCACATTATTGTTTCAATTAAAAAGATGTATATACCATATGAAAAAAAAGGTGGATTTTTTGGCCTTTTTATATTGAAAACTTTTTGAAATATCTGGGCGGCTAATTTACTGATCTCGTTGATCACAAAGATGTCAATTAAATATCGACTTCATTTATATTACTACAACTGATATTATATGATTTCAAAAACAGAATCTCAATAGAAGAATAATCAATATTGATCTCTAAAGAGTAGTTTGTATATTAAATCAACTTCATCAACATGGTTAATATATCTAACTTTATTAATGTAATCATGAAGTATTGAAATGTAGTGATTTATCAAATTAGATCATCATATACGCCATAATAATAAAATTCTAATTCATTATAATAAAAGATGAAACAATTAAAAACTTTCTATAAGCCTGATAAGCTTGTTCAAATTCAATAAAAAAGTTTTCAAGAATTAGAAAAATTTAAAACATTCAAGAAATTTGTTGGTTTATATAATAATTTAGTTCAGCGGCTAATTATATGCAGGATTATATCAGGGCTTAGTCATCACAATAAAGACTTTTAAATATTTTCGATTCTGAATTGGATTGATCATTGAACTATTTTAACTGTGAAGCTCGTCTGATATTTCCGCCAATTGAACAGCTTCATTTTAGTCTGCTAATCCAGTATATAGATACATACAGCTTTACCTAAACTGCAACTGAACAAACAGAGCGCTATTTGAATTAGTCAATGTTTGGAAAGATGCAGGGGTTTTGATATGATATTTTGGGATTTATATTGTTTATGAATTATGAATATATGATATCTGATAGTTGTAATAATGAATTTAATGTGTAATGATGCTCTACTAATTATTCAGGATCGATTGATATCATACTACGACATTGTATGGTAAATTTAAAGATCATCTCAATAGAAGAATCACAATTCATGCAATTTCTAAAGAGTAAAAAGTGTGTATATTGAACTATTGGTAAACCAAAATGATCATGGTATTAATCATTATATGGAATCTATATAGTTCGAGTCAAATCAGGATCGATAAGTCCAACGAGATTAACATTGCTGAAATGACAACCAAACTAGCACAAATCATGCTTGTAGCCAAATTTTGAATGCAATATGTGAGAAAGAGCTGAATGAAAAACAAATTTATAATCAATACTAAAAAACTAATCGAAGAAAGTTTAAAAGAATTCAGGGGGAATTTGTTTTCTTTTTATACTATTTCAAGATTTTACCTTGGCGGCTAATTTTTCATATCTTTGTACCGCGTACGCATTATCTCAATAAGTAGAGTATACTCTATATGAATCAAGATTCAGCAGTAGTTAACTGATCTACTTATCTACGTTATCAAAGCTCATTGATTGAAAATAGTCTCAATAAAATATACTTATATAGTATTCTATTGATAATAATGTATATTAAATTTCCATGATATTGTAACAACATGATGATAACGTTTGAAAACAAATCACGATTGAAATAATCTAAGATATATGATCTGTTTTAATCAAATTATCAAAATCAATACAAATGTACCAGAATAAATGAGGCAAATTAACACAATCACTCAAATTAAGGATAACAGTTAATTAATTTAATAACAAAACATGTAACTATTACCAAAACAATAATATACTTCAGACTTTTGGCGCTTGATTGAAAAGACTTAAATACCACAGATGATAGAAAAAAGGGGGATTTTTTGATGTTTTTATATCAAAAAACGTTAGGATCTGGGCGGCTAATTTATAAATGATCTTGTTGATCACAAAGATGTCAATTAATCGACTTCATTTATAGTGCTACAACTGATCTGATATGATTTCAAAAACATAATCTCAATAAAACAATCATTAATATTGATCTTCAAAGAGTAATTTGTATATTAAATCAACTTCGACATCAACATGATTATGAAATGTAAATTAATCAATATTGAATTGTAGCATGATTAAAATTAGTACATGAGCATACCATGCACACATTATCTATCAATTATCAATGTTATAATATAATCTATGAAATTGCATACCTTCAGAAAGACGAGGATCAAGATTATATGGAAAAGCAGATCGATTTCTTCGAATCGTCAATTCAAAAAGCATTGTCAGAGATGGAAAAATTTAAAACAATCTAGAAATTCGTTGGTTTATATAATAGTTGATGTTCAGCGGCTAATTGATAACATGATTATGTCAGAACTTAGTCATCACAATATATAAAGATCTTCAAAGATTTAGATTCTGAATTGGACTGAACTATTTCAACTATGAAGCTCGTCTGATATTTCCTCCAATTGAACAGCTTCATGTTAGTCTGCTAATCCAGTATATAGACACATACAGCTTTACCTAATCTGCAACTGAACAAACAGAGCGCTATTTGAGTTAGTCAATGTTTGGAAAGATGCAGGGGTTTTGATATGATATTTTGAGATCTCGTGTTTATGAATTATGAAGATATGATATCTGGTTGTTATAGATGTAATGTTTAATGATGTTCTACTCGATTAATATCGTACTACGATATTGTATGGTAAATTTAAAGATCATCTCAATAGAATAATCACAATTTAGGATTTCTAAAGAGTAAAGAATGTGTATACTGAACTATTGATAACCCAAAATGATCATGGAATTAATCATTATATGGAACTTATATAGCTCAAGTCAAATCAGGATCGATCAGTCTAACGAGATTAACAATGCTGAAATGACAACCAAACTAGCACAAATCATGCTTGTAGCCAAATTTTGAATGCAATATGTGAGAAAGAGCTGAATGAAAAACAAATTTAATTATAATTTTAACACTAAAGAACTAATTGAAGAAATTTTAAAGAATTTAGGGGGGAATTGTTATCTTTTTATATTATTTCAAGATTTTACCTTGGCGGCTAATTTGTTTATTAATTAATTACCACGTACACAAATATACAAATTTATTTAATCACTTTATAGACAAAGAAAAAAAAGGTCAATATACATAGATTGCAATGAACGAGTATTTCATATGAATCAGTGTTTAGTTGATCTACATATCTACGTTATCAAAGATCCTTAGTTGAAAATAGTCTCAATAGCATATACTCTTGTAGTATTCTATTGATAAAGATGTATATTAAATCCATTATATTATAACAACATGATCAAAACGTCTGAAAACAAATCATGATTGAAATAATTCAGGATATACAATATGCTTTAGTTAGAATATTAATGGCTTTCACCCCTTAGAACCGAACTCGTGGCACAAACTCTTCCATTAACAAGCATGGAGGTGATCTCAAAAAAAGAATTAATTTCAATTTACTGTTTCAATAAAAATGATGAATGTCATATATGGATTGTGTGCGTCCATAATTTTGGATATTTGGGAAAAAAAAGGGGGATTTTTTGACCTTTTTATAGAAAAAATGACTGGGCGGCTAATTCTATAATCTTCAATTGACCTTTAAAATCTATCAGAAAGATGTCAATTAATCGACTCCATTTATAGTGCTACAACTGATATGATCTTATTTCAAAAACAGAATCTCAATAAAGGAATCATTAATATTGATCTTTAAAGAGTAATTTGTATATTAAACCAGCTAATTCATCAACAATATGATTGAATATATGAATCTAATCATTAATTGTTGAGATGTAGCATGATACATTTATAATTTATAATTTAGTAATATATCATATCGGACAATATTTGGAGAGATTTCAGAAAAAATCACAAATTTATCATGCATGTAAAATTCAAATATGGTAAGAACAAACTTGCTTAGAGTTAATAAAGAAAACATTCAAGAAGAGAAAAATTCAAAACATGAATCGAGAAATTTGTTGGTTTATATAATAATTATTGTTCAGGCAATTTATATAAATGATTATGTCAGATCTTAGTCATCACAATATATAAAGATCTTCAAAGCTTAGATTCTGAATTGATTTGAACTGTTTCAACTATGAAGTACGCTAGACATACAACCAGCTGAACAGCTTCATTTAGTACATCAAGCTATCTCATAGGCTTATACAGCTTCACCTAAATTACTGCTAAAACAGAGTTATTTGAAATAGTCAATGTTTGGTGTTAACTCCATAGTACTTTCAGTACTAATCTTCATTATCACCATATATTACATTTGCACAAGTGATTGGTTCAACTGGATCTCTTCACAATATTATTTAACTAGAGCACAAGGAACTTTATTATTCACAGGGATTGCCGCTCAACAAAGTTTAAGAGCTTGGGTATTATGGGATAAATGTAATAATTATAATGATAGATCTGAACTTTATGGTTATATAACAGAAGTATCAACTATGATTTTCCAATGGTCTATTGTTTGGGTTTTGTTAAATTGGTTTGCTGGAATGCCCAAAATTGTGGAGTTTGATGGTGGATATTTATCATTGGCTGGTACACCAATTTTAACATTGAATAAGAGCTAATAACTACTTTAGGCAACAGATCGAGGTTCAATAATTTGCATTAGCATTAAAAATAATATTCAATATCTACGGTATATTCATTAATAGATTTGCATATGTATACTTGTGATTTCAAAAAAATCTTGTTGTAGTTTGTAATTTTGATTTATAATCTTGTAATAATTCTTTTAATCTTGGAGTTTCAACATCCATTTCAATTCTTTCTAATAATTCTAAATCTTTTTTATGAAAAGCTTCTTCAATGACATTTTTAAAATCTTTTAATTTTATCAAATATTCCATTTTGTTAGAATATGATAAATTTGATCTATGAATCAATTTTAAAGCCATTGATGATTGATTTGATGATATTAATTTTTGAATTATAGGCTCTGATCCAATACTTAATTTTTGATTATTTGACCATTCATATAATTCATCAAATTTTTCATTCTTGATAAGAAAATTTAATTTTATATATTGGAATTTCTTTTCTGAAATTTTAAAATTTTTCATAAATGCATTAATCTTATTATTTTGATTTAATAAAATTAATTTTTCTAATGTACCAACTATAGATAATCCTTGGAATTCAATATTAAATTCATTTGTATATGAATCTTGTAATTGTAATAATTTTAATTGTTTTTCTAATTGTTTATGATCATTTGAATTTTTCCTCATTAAACTATAGGCATTAATAGCTTTATTCAATACTTCAATCTGTTTCTCAAATGGAACTTGTGTGGTATGGGTCAATGTTTTTTTCAAATCATAATTTGCAATATCAATAGTACGATCTGCCTGATTCAAAAAATCAAAAATTAAAACTTCATCATTTGTAAAAAAAAATTCAAAACAATTTGATGCAATTTTAAAATGATTCAATAATTTGAAAAAAACAGGTAATGATAATGTTTGTTTTAATATTAATAAAGTCTCGAGTAATAAATCTGTATCTTGTGAATCACAAGCTTTTTGTAAAGCTAATTCATGTTCCTCCATGGTTAATAATAATGGGATTTGTTTTGTAAATAATGATTCAAAATTTATTAAAATTTTGGCTAAATTTGAACGACCTTCTTGGAATGCAGTCGTGGCAATTGATTCAAATGATATATATGAATTATTATTAAAAGTTTGGAATTTTGTTGTTATTTGTTGTGATAATTCTTCATCATTTAAATTTGGATTATATTTAATCTTAACACATGCCCAATTTATAAAGATTAAATCAATTGGTAATTTTAAAAATTTTGATATTTGGAATGCTTCATAAAATTGTTGTCTTTTCACAAGGAGTTTTATCACGGTTTCAATACCTAAATGATTATATTCAAATGATGTCAAGAATAACCCAACCTCGGGTGATCTTATATTATTCAAAATCCTCAAATCATCACAAGTTTTCAGGAAATGTCTTGTATTTGAAAATTCACTTTTTAATTCTAGAGAAGATTTCCCAAATGAAACAGCTTTAAGTAATTTTTTTTGCCAATAAGAATCAAATTCTTCTAATGATGCAGAAATACATGTTTTAACTGCATGATTTAAATTTTCATCCGATCCAATTATTGTTAAATTTTCATTTGCCTTGGGGGAATGTTTATTTAATTTATCAACAGAATCTAATAGGATTGAACTTTTGGAAGTTGAACCAATTTTAAAACATTCCACAGTTTCATTAGCTACTTTACTTAAGAATTCTAATGAAGATTCATTTAATATGGTTAAACCATCTAATTCATTTGATATTTGATAATCAGGGTTTAAATAAAAATCAATTGAACCACCAGGTGCTATTAATTTTAAAGTATCATAATAACCTAGAGCAATAGCATCTGAACCACACCAATTGATTTGTGAAACAGGAGGTTGATTTGAATCTAATTGGAAATCAAAAAGTGATTTATTAAAATTTGAAGTAACAACAAAGATTTTATTTAGTTTTCCATGGTATAATGAAACAAATTGATTGTTACTTGATATACTAATCTTATGAAATGGTCCATCAATGGATTTTTTAACCATGTTACCGAATTTTGGTATTGAATAAATTTCTTTGTTTATACTTATAAGAATTTCGAAAGATTCATCATCAATTATTATATCCCAATCTCTAAATTTCAATGAATCCCCTGTAATTTCTTGCCTTATATCTTTTAAAACTTTGGAATGTATTGAAATATTATTTGTTAAATCGATATAAATCAATTTAAAATCATTTAAAATTATAAATATAACGTTCCGTACAACTTTAAATGATTTAACACCAATTAATTGAGCATCATACCCAACTGAATATTCATTAAACCCACCTTCAAAATCATAATACACCCTAACATGACCATTCTGTAACAAAACAACAAGTTTTTCATCAATAGTCCAACCAAGATCTATTATACGACCATTAACATGATTATTCCAATTTATAGAATGTAATAAATTCCCAGAACCTGTATATATTTCAATATCTGTTGCAATAGTAGAGTCTTTGATATCATTGATTTCAGTTTTATACTTGTGTAATGCAATTGTCTTTGTGAATTTTGAGATTGAAATGATGTAGTTTTGTAAATTTGAAATGTTCCATGATAGAGTGTATAATTCTCTATTCCGATAATACACGTCTCTCAAACGTTCCCAGCCTGGTAAAAGAGAGAGTTAGTATTTGGATTCAATTAGACATTTCGATAGTAAAGGACTCACCCAGACTTGGATTTGACATTGTTTTTTTTGTTCTTTTTGTTCCTTGTTATGTTGTTGTTTCCATATTTTCACTTTCATTCTTCTGTCATTTTAATTTTAATTTTTGATAAAAAAAACAACAACAAAAAAACATCAACAAAACTTTCACCAAAAGACAAAGACAACGTACAATCCATCACTATCAAGACAATCCATCAATCATAGTGGAATAAAACATTGTTTATCATATCCGCACACTATCATTGTCCCTATTCACCAAAAAAACCATATAAAAATCTCAAATTCCCATTTCGCCACCAATATGACTGAATACATCACACTGGTTTCATCAGATGGATTCGAATTCATCATTTCAAAAGACGCTGCGATGGTCTCAGGAACGATCAAGAACATGCTGAGCTCAACTTTTAGAGAAACAGAGGAACGTAAGATCAGACTACAAGAGATGGATGGAAGATTGTTGAACAAGGTTGTTGAGTATTTGTACTATAACAACAAGTATAAGGACTCAGTGGACGTTCCAGAATTTAATATTCCAACAGAGATGGCATTGGAATTACTTGTTGCTTCTGATTTCTTGGATGTTTGAATATGATTGTGGTTATGATTAGTTTACTTGTTCAATTCTGGTATTTTGTTTCATATGTTTAATATGGATATCATGGATAAATAGGATACAAAAATATGGGAAAGTCATTTATGAACAATTAAAGGCGTTGAGAATTGGAGCGTATATTCATGGTGTCAACTTTCCATTTTGGAGTGAATTGAATCGTAAGATTTATGAAAAGTTTATAAAAGTCCTTAATTGAGTCTTGTTCATGAGTTTCAACTTCCAACTTGCAACTTCTGTTGATAATTAAAGTTTGATTTTACGGTTATAATATATAACTTTGGATTTATTGTATTTTTGAAAAGTTTAATGAAGTTACGTTTTTAAATTTATGTTTTTTGTTTGTATTTTAAAATAGTAGCCATAGGGCGTATGAGTTTCACGTTTATAATGTCAATTGATATTTATTCATACAGCATATGAGTTCACATATCCGATCAGTCATACATCATCATATATGATTTATTGCTTAATTAAAATTGTAAAGAATAATCAATCGAGCTTTCATGTAGAGTCAACAGTGAGCGCCGTGATAACTTGATGATGCGTACTACGTATTACGCTTCCAACTAATTGATCATCCATATTTATTCAATTTGACGCTAGTAATAAAACACCTTTTAGGAGATCAATTTGATCCTATTTCCAATTTTCTGTGTACTGAGTAGTAAGTACTCTATGATCGGCTATACGCTATACCTGTACCGGTACAGTTTTTCCCAACAAATTACTATATACGCTATAGCGGCTACTAGCTTAGCCTGGTGTTACGTGTATCTTTAAGTAAGTAAGCACTGAGCACTGAGCAGCTAACTTGTAAGTTGTAACTTGTAAGCACAAGAAATTTCAACCCTTCAAACATGATTGAACCCGTAATTGTAAGTACAATTCATGAGCATGTAATTAAACCTACAAGCGTCAAGTCGTTGACACTCGTTGTATACTTGATGTGTTGATCTTTGATTACCTTGCTTTAGACAGTGGACATCTTGACACCTTGATTATCTTAATGGAATACTAGGCTGTTTGATCTAATAATAAACCAGCTTGAATGAATTTATCCATTGGATATCGGATATTCTAGCCTTTGGGAAGTGAATGTTTTATACCTATGACATCTTCTATACAAAATTCAAATTCAACCATCATTTGTTCATGTTCATGTCTAAAAATGAGGTATCATGTTATGCTGGTACAAGTCATCAATTAGGCTCGAGCATTAAGTTTCAAAGTACTTAATACGAATACGAGTAAAATTGTAACTGTTAAAGTATTGATATGAAATTTTCAACTCTAAGATATCACCAAAGAAGCAATTGAAGAATACGAAATGAGATTTCAATTAAACCATTATACCTTAAGCCACAACTTGTAGATAAATCAGTCAAGATATAAGATCGTGATTGCTAGTTCTTTTGCTAATTCAGTAATAACTTATAACTCCTTTCAATTAAACTTTGATGAGAACTTCTGCAAAACTACTAATCCCTGTACCGAATCCAACGTCTTTAAACATAAATAATTCGCTTGAATAAGTATCGCAAATCTTCCAATTTGGTAAACTTCTTCGGTTGTCTTGGATCTCAAAAGATCATCAATTTGGAATTCGAGATCTATGATCATTGATCATCTTGATTCTTCATCTTCGTCTCTTCCAGCTCGCTGGTCTTCCTCTTCCAGTTCAAAGATTTGACCCGGTACGAATTTCATGATCAAGATCCGTAATTATTAGAACAAGGGAAAACTACTACAAACAAATTAAAACGTTAGCCACCTATAGATCGATTTTCAGCAGAATCTGGCAATGAAGTATCTGAAATCTTGATCTTCTTGAGACCAATTGTAAATTGTAATTCAACCGTCCAAAGTGTTCAAACTATCCTTCTACAAATAATACCCAGTTGATTGATACAATAGTTGACAAGTTAAGTACAACCTATACCTATAACCAGCCTTTTAGCGACCCAATCAAGCAGGAAATGACGCATGCAAGAGAACCACACACAGAGACCTCAATTCCTAAATTACCTCGCTAATTCTTGGAGAGACATCAACATGCCCACCACAGTCCAATTTTTCACCTGTAGTCTGTCCAATCCTTGCATTCCTTTCAAATTTACCCCCAATTTGTAATTTGTAATTGAAAAAACTTGGTGAAGATTCTTAAAAGATTAGCGTATTCGCCCGTGTCCGTAACAAGTTTGAATTTTCGTAAAAAAAAAGCTTTTGAAAAAAAAAAATAAACAAATTTTGAAGGCAAAAATAATCAAAACATATGCAAAGTTTATTAAACCATTAAGGCTGATGAAAGAGGGTTTAATGGGTACAACTTGTTGGTTAGTGACACCAAAGGCGTCCGGTTCAATGTTCATTACTCCACGCTCAACTTTCAATTCAAGAAATTTAGCCTGTGAATTCTTCAAGAATACAGCGCATTACAGGGATGCCCTGCTGTCATGTCGACTTAGCATGATACATCATGCAACCAAATAGAGGATTTGAACTTTTGAGAGCTTTGGTTGGAGGAGTAGAAGGGTATTTGGTGGTGGCCACTGGTGTGTGTTTGATGTTCTACTGTTGGTCAAGAAATCACGGTCAAGGGTCCAGGATTAGGATACTAATGTTGAAGTTCAAATTATAGTGATCAAATATGGTTAAAGTTTCGAGAGTACGCAGATGATGAGGAAGAATGTTTGAAAAAGTTTAACGTATACACTTTAAACTTTAGGAAGTCTTACTTACCAGTTGACTCTTGAGCTGAGCTTTTGTTTAAATCTTAATCATGGCTTAATTTGGCATAATTCAACTCTAAACTTGGAACTGATTATGTACCCAAATGAAATACCTTGAAGATTAAAGTTTTACCTACATTAGTTTCATGCTGGTTAAACTTGAAGATACTTCATCAACATATCAACACCTCCTGAAAAAGAGTCACGTATGTACTTACTTACATATTTTTGAAGTCTATGTCTGTCGTGTCGCTTATACAGCATGCTGCTGCTAAACTTAAAGTGCTGAAGTGAAGACAAGGGGTACGTGTAATAATAATGAGCAGGTTGGAACTTGAGAATTAAAGTAATGGCATCGCTTAAATCATATTCACATACGTATTCAACAGATTTGATTGAGTATTGAACTATGTATCATGTTAGGTGTGTGGTTATTAACGGCTTTTTTTGTTAAAGTTTGGTGTCAATTATAAATCTGGGTCGATGATTTTGATATTCGTGATATTCAATGATCTGATACGTGAATCCAATTCGTTAATTACAGTCTCTACTGATTATCAAAGAAGGTTTCTCGTGTACTAGGATCTCTATTACCCTTTTAGGAAAGTTAATTGTTTATGAAGATCCAGTATTCCTAACTATTTCAGAGGAAATGTTAGTAGAGTACGAGAATTCATTCTCTTTTGAGCTTGTATGTGACACATGCATATTACATCAATACCCAAAATTGTCCCCCATGCAACAACATATCAACTTTATTTGATCTCCAGCATATTCAATGAGACATAAAGTTTAGTTTTTACCTCTTAGCATGGATGCTTTGGATAGATCTACGGTTATACTGAAGTTTTACTCTCAACATTTATATGTATACTAGGCTTGTTCATACTCATTACCAAAAAGAGATTGTCTTCAACAATACATATTCATTGAAATGAGATCCAAATCTTTTAAATATATAAAGAGATATGGATTTCCATCAATAATTGAAGTTTCGTTAATATTTTAAATCATTATCCAAACCTTTAAACAAGTTTTACATTCGCTTAATTTATTTGAAGATGTGGTTATCAAACGCTTTCATCTCAGTCTTGTTTTGGGCTTTACTTCAATTCCAAAGTGTTGCTGCTCAAGGTACTTCATCATCCCAAACTGCTTCACCATCAACTGCTTCAGGTATCCAAACTGTTACTTCTGATTTAGCTACTGTTTCATCAGATGGTTCATTATGTACTTACAACTCTGCTACTGGTTCAATTCATGATAAAACTTACAAATCTGCTTACACTATTACCGGTGAAACCACTGATTTCTTAATCAAATCAAGAGTTTTACATATTGAATGGTCATTCTCTTTTGATGAACCAGTTGATGCTACTGATTTCTCAATTGTTTCATTAGGTGCTGATATTTCAAATGTTGAAGGTACTGTTAACTTAGAAAAAGGTCAAGCTACTGTTTCATATGATGTTACTATTCCATACTTGACTTTCTTATTATCAATTCCAAACTTCTGTTTATTAGATTATGTTGGATTCCAATTCAACGTTCCATCTGGTGATCAATCATTACTCGATGGTGAATCATACTATATCTTCTATGCTGGTGTTGCAGGTGCCACTTTAGTTCAAACCGTTCAACAAACTGTTTGTCAATTGATCAACTTAGGTAACTGTCCAGTTTACACTAATGCTTTAGTTTTCGACTGTTCAGGTTTAGGTGATTTCCAAGAATGTTCCGCTGAATCTTCATCATCATCTTCATCATCAACTATTGAATCTTCTTCATCATCTGCTGTTTCATCATCATCAGAAGCTTCATCTTCATCTGCTGCTGAATCATCATCATCAGAAGCCTCATCATCATCAGAAGCTTCTTCATCATCTGCTGAATCTTCAAGTGCTGCTTCATCATCTGCTGAATCTTCAAGTGCTGCTTCTTCAAGTGCTGAATCTTCATCTGCTGCCTCTTCAAGTGCTGAATCATCCGCTGCCTCTTCAAGTGCTGAATCATCTTCTGCCTCTTCAAGTGCTGAATCATCTTCTGCTGCTTCATCATCTGAATCATCTGCTGCTTCATCTGATGCTTCTTCATCAGCTTCATCAAGTGCTCCATTTGGTTCAGGTGCTCCATCAAGCTCTGCTGCTTCTTCTTCTTCTGCTTCTTCATCTGCTGCTTCTTCATCTGATGCTTCTTCATCAGCCTCATCATCTGCTGCTTCATCATCATCTGCTGGTCCAACTCCATCAATTGAAGGTGAATTGAAAGATGGTCAACCACACTGGACTATTTATGTCCCAGCTGAATTAGGTCCATGGACTTCTGTTGAAGTTACTGCCGATGCTGATACTGAACATTACAAATTCGTTAAAGCTGAAGCTTCAGTTGATGCTGAAGACTCTACCACTGAAGATGCTCTTGATATCACTGTTTCTCAACCATCTGAAGAAGATTTAGTTATTGAAGTTTATGCTCAAGCTGTTTCATCATCTCCATACACTATCAAACCAGAAGTTACTGTTACTACTGCTGATGGTAAAAAATTAGTTAGAAGAGCTACTACCAGTTTCCAATTAGAAAACACCATCAATGACGATGCTTCATCATCATCTGCTTCAGACTCTGCTTCAAACACTGCTTCAAACATTGCTTCAGATGCTTCAAACACTGCTTCAAACACTGCTTCAAACACTGCTTCAAACACTGCTTCAAACACTGTTCCATCACCAACCACTGAAACCTTAACTGGTTCAGACGGTCAACCAACTGCTACTGATATTATTTCATACTACCCAACTACTGATTCAAATGGTTCATTCTCAACTGGTTCAACTACTATCCCAGTTTCAGGTTCAAGCTCAGCTTCAAACACTGTTCCATCACCAATCACTACAACCTTCACTGGTTCAGATGGTCAACCAACTGGTACTGGTATCATCTCATACTACCCAACTACTGATTCAAATGGTTCATTCTCAACTGGTTCAACTACTATCCCAGTCTCAGGTTCAAACACTGTTCCAGCTCCATACACCACTACCTTCACTGGTTCTGATGGTCAACCAACCGGTACTGGTATTGTTTCATTCTACCCAACTACTTCAGATGGTTCATTTGCTACTGGTACTACTACTATCCCAGTTTCAGGTTCAAACACTGTCCCAGCTCCATACACTACTACCTTCACTGGTTCAGATGGTAAACCAACTGGTACTGGTATTGTTTCATTCTACCCAACTACTGATTCAAACGGTTCATTCTCAACTGGTTCAACTACATTACCAGCTAACGGTGGTCAAGGTTCAACTTCAGTTGTTACTGAAAATGATCAATCAACTACTATTGTTACTATTACTTCATGTGATGGTGATCATGGTTGTACCAAAGTTCCAGTTACCACTGGTGTCACTGTTGTTACCAGTACTAAAGAAGGTACTGTTACTGAATACACTACTTACTGTCCATTAACCTCAGCTGCTCCATCTGCTGGTCCATCATCTACTGCCCCAGCTCCAGCTCCAACTTCAGCTGCTACATCAGGTAAAGCTCCAGAATCATCAGGTAAAGCTCCAGCTCCATCTTCAGCTTCTCCATCAGGTGCTGCTCCATCAGGTACTGCCCCAGCTCCATCTTCAGCTGCTCCATCAGGTAACGCTCCAGAAGGTACTACCCCAGCTGCCCCAGCTCCATCTTCAGCTGCTCCATCAGGTAAAGCTCCAGAATCATCTGCTCCTGCTCCAGCTCCATCATCTGCTTCCCCATCAGGTGCTGCTCCATCAGGTACTGCTCCTGCTCCATCTTCAGCTGCTCCATCAGGTAACGCTCCAGAAGGTACTACTCCAGCTGCTCCAGCTCCATCTTCAGCTGCTCCATCAGGTCAAGCTCCAGCTTCATCAGGTGCTGCTACCTCAGGTGCTGCTCCAACCCCAGCTACTCAATCATCAGCTTCAACCTCATCAGTTGCTGTTGTTTCCTCATTTGAAGGTGCTGCTGCTCAATTATTACCATTAGGTGGTAGTTTATTATCAGTTGCTTCAACTTTCTTCTTCTTCTTATTTTAGATGATTTAATAATCATTTGAAATTTAGATTGTTATTTTTTCATTCCATATATGGTTTTTCTTTTATACCCATTCTATGAGCATATCATATTCAAAAGATTTCTATTGAATATTTGACTTACTTTTCTTCAAGTTATGATTAAAGTTATTTTTTTTCTACTATTTATCAAGATTTTATATCACATTTTTCGTGATTGTTTATTTTCTGATGTTGCATTTGATTTTTTATTCCCATATACAGGTTTTTTGGGAATATTTAAAGGATTTGATTTTAAAAAGATTTGTTTGTTTTCGAACTTTCTTCTAATGTTTAATTATATATAATTCGGTACTGTGTGCCATTAATATTATCTCATTCAATTAATACTTAAAATTGTAGCTTCTTCTTATATAGACTTGAATATATTCAACTTGGTAGTATTGAATGTATTGCAAGGTATTTCATCTCTCAGTTTGTGATTTTAGTTTATCCAGAAATCAATAATAATACATTATATAATAATTCTTCATATAGGACATAAATTTCATAAGCTATTCGTATACACCATAAACCACCATTTTCCCAATATCATCAGTTGATTCACACTTCATTAATATGATCAAATATACCATAAACTATCCATAAAATCATTAGCAAATCAATAATCAGATGTAATTCAAATACTACCAAAATTCACTTGTTTACATTGACTTGGAATACAAGTTGTTGGACAATAAGGACATTTAAAACTTCCACCATTTCTACTTAATTTTTGTAAACTTTGTTTGGAAAGAATATGATGACATGGTAATGCCATTGGAGGATTTTCCAAAGTTGTTTCTTCTTTTGAAACAGGACATATGAAAATTGGATGAAATCTTTTTAAGAAATCTGGTTGATTAATTTCAAATGGTAATTCATTATGAGTTGTCCAATCTAATTTATTGTTTAGATGTTTAATTTGAATAAATTTTAAAAAAGTTGGGAATGAGATATAACCAGATAATAAGATTAAAAAAATTGAAGATTCAAATGAAAATCCCAAGACTGAACAATATTTTTTTGAAAATAATATAGAAATTTCTTGAAAATTTGAATTTGATAATTTATTAAGTTTATGATATGGAGAATTTGAATCATTATGATTAAATAATATTGAAGACATTAATTTTGAAACATCAGTCAGATTTGAAGAATTTGAATTAATAAATTTTGGGAACCAAGTTTTAGCATATCTAACAGCTTCAAAAATTTGACCTGAATGATAATATTCTAAATATTGTAATTTATGTAAATTAAATTCTAAATCTGATCCCATTTGAGTTAATAATATATTTTCATTTTTGGTAGCCCATTGGATAGCATCACTCAAGTCTCTATTTTGGATTTTTTTCAATATTTGATTCATTTCTGTAAATTTACTTAATAAACTTAAGTCAATTCTTGGGTCTTCATTAGAAACTTCATTACCATTATCATCATCATTTTTATCCACTATAATATCTAAATCACCATTTCTTATCAAATGTAGCTTTATAGCATTATCAATAAGCTTCAGATTTGATGGGGTCTTATCAATTTTATAAATATAAACATCATTTAATTCAAAATCATAAATTTTATCCAATATATTTTTATTAAATTTATTTAAAGTTGAATTTGAATTTTTTAAATTTGATTTTAAATTTGATTCCCATACTTTATGATGATTATTAGCTTCACTTATTATTTGATTATATTCTTTTTCATCTTGTTCAGCTTCTAATTCTTTCTCTAAAGTTTCTAATTTTGTTATGAAATTTCTAGTATCTTTTAACCCTTTAGAAATGTGCTCATTTTGTTTAAAATTATTCAATTCTATATTGAAAAGTTCCAAAAGATCACTCATTTCTGTGTTCTTCTTCTCTTTTATGATTTCAAACAGCAACAAGTAAACAAAACCTTCAATTCCCCTTTTTATGCTTTGTTTTGATGGGGTTGTTTGACATGTAATTTGCCATTCTGATAGAATTTCAATTTCCCTTTTATCAAGAAAATCGTTACGGGACACTCCATAATAAACTTTTGCCAAAATTGAAATAATGGAATATTTACTAGGATAACAAGGAGTTAGCAAGTGGTATTCATGGTTGGCTTTATAGAGAATGGTGTGTCTTATTGTAATCCCCTACCATTGTATAGTATATCCTCTAATTTCCCCTGATCTTCTACGACTTCATATTAATAATAATGCAAAAATGTTTATTTTAATAAAATGCCATGATTCCCTTTAAGAAACCCTCTTTTAAATACCACTTCACTTCCTTGAACGACCTCCAAGACAACGATCTATATGAGCAGCAAACCTATTCCCGGCAATTTTTCTGCTACAATTATCACAAGTGAAATATCTGCTACTATCACTTTGTTTCTCGTTCCCAAAGATATCTCGTCCCATCACACTATAATAAGCCATTCTCGTGAGTAATTCTGGATTTGGTGAAGGGTTCCTACTGTTATTCCCTGTGTTATTCTGACTTGTACTAGCACTCAGCAGTCCATTCCCATTCAAGTTGTTTAAAGCTGTGGGTGTTTCCACTGGTGTTGGTGTGTTTCCTGTCTCGAGTCTTCCATATTTAGCTCTTGTGATTTGTTCTCTCATTATGGCATCCACAAAGAGTTCGTGTGTGATGGTTTCCATGATGTCCTTGTAAATGGATGCTGATACTGAGTACAGCGTGAGTTCTTCTTCTTGTGTGCTCATTGTCTGTTTTGTTCTTTGTTCTTTTAGTTCTTGTGCTCTTGTGCTTCTTGATGATCTGATAAATTTCAATTTCAGCTTCAATTCCACTAAAATTTATGCTTTAAAACAATAGAAAAAAACACACCTGTATAACTAATTCTGAATTCTCAATTGAAATGACTAATAAATGCTCAATACCAGTTAAATCACCAAAGTTTCCTTGGATAAATCACAACCTTTTTTGCTATTTTTCAAAGGGTTTCAACGCTTATAAAAATTAAAAAATCATAGAAAGCGTCTGTCACCGAATCGTGTCACTAAAAAAGTATATGAAAAATTTCAAAAAGTGTCATATTAAAAGAACTAAAAGTACACAAGACAGACAATATTCAAATATGGAAGACGAAGAAGCGTTACTCACAAGCACAGCTAACCCAGACACTCAAATAGAATTCGAAGATGAAATCCAAGATTGGAGAAACTTAACCAAAATAAAAGATACTTCATTACCAAAACGTGGTGAAAAAGATTATGAACCAGATGGTACAAATCTTCAAAATTCTGTACTAGAAGAAAGTAGAAATTCAATGTTTGATGCTCTTGCAGGTGATAGAAGTCATGTTGTGAAACAACATGTCAAAGCAATATGGATATCTAGCCAAAAACGAGGTTTAATCACAAAACCAAAAGGTTCTTTTTTACAAACTTGTGGTGTTATAGATTCAGAAAATAAATGTTGGTTAAGACCTGAAGAATTTTGTTATTTAGCTGAAAGAGGTTCAATTGAACCTTGGTTTGAAGATAAAGATCTGGCTATGAGTATTGAAGCTTGTTATGCCTATTGTTTTGATAATGATGATGAGATTGATGAATATCATGTTTATTCTTATTTAAAAAGACATGGTTTTATTGTTATGAAGAATGAAGAACAAAGAATAATACCCAAACTTCAAACTATATCACCTATGAAAAGGGTTTATAGCCAATTATTAAAATGGATCAATTATTTCACATTACCAAATCTTATAACTAATTTATTTGGTCATAAACCTTATCCTTTCTTTCAAAATTTAAACTTTACATCAAAAAAATTCACTTCATATTCACAAATTTATAACTCAATAAAACTTATCCCATTCCGTTCACATTCCACTCCTTCAACCCAACCTCAACCACAATCATCATCAACTCAATCTAAACTCATACCAACATTCAATATATGGAAACCATCCCCTAACTTCTCCAAGAAATCACCACCATTACCAAATTTTCAAATCTTGGTACAAAATGTTAATAAATATAAATTACCAACCTTAAAACAACTTCATGATTTAATTAATTCAACAAATTATCAAAATAAACATCATATAGATTCGGATCAATCCAAGAGATTGAAAAATGGGTATGGGTTTGTTTTGATAGCTACAGTAGATTATGGAATTATTAATATTGTTAAATTAAGTGAAGCTGATTTTGGGAATGAAAATGTTTGGTATGTTCCAGGTCCTAAACCTCAGAATAAAAAGAATAATGGTAAGAATAATAAGAATCAAAATAATAATAATAATAATAATAATAAAGATAAAAATAAAGATAAGAAGGGTAAGAAATGATTACTGTATAGATTAATTAAATATTTATTTATTATTTTATTCTATAAAAAATTGAATTGAATTGAATTTAATTGATTTGTTGTAAACTTATTGATATGGTTTATTTGGATCATAAGGATATGAATATCTTGGTTGTAAAGGTTGTTGTTGTTGTTGTTGTTGAGACTGACCAAATGTTTTATATAAAGAAGGATCATAAACTGATGGAGTTCCATAAAATCCATTATTTGATGATTGTTGCTGTTGTGATGGTGGAGGAGGTGGTGGTGTTGATACTGATGGATAATTGAATTGTTGTTGTGATGGTTGTTTTGGTGGTAATGGAGGTTGTTGTAAACCAAAATTAGATGGATTTTGTGATGGTGTTAATGGTTGATATGATTGATAACTTTGTGGTATTGGTTTTGGTGGTAATTGGGGTGAATTTCTTTGATGATTTAATGATGGTGCAATTGGTTGTTCATATGATTGATTACTTGATATAGAACCTGTATATGATTGTTGTTTATAAAGTGGTTGTGGTGATGATGATTGATTAATATTTAATTTATTAAATCTATCACGTAATAAATCTGGTTGTTGTTGTTGTTGTGAATTGTTATTTAATAATCGATCTCTTTGAGAATAACGATCATTTATAAATTTCAAGACATTTTTTTCCACATCATTTATAAATTCAATTAAATTATCATAAAATTTTAATGATTTGGGGAAATTTAATTCATATTCTTTAAAAATTTTGTATACTTCTTTAAATTTTTTTAATTTTTCAGAATTTTTTGATAATTGATCATTTGATGATAATAAATCATCATATAAAATTTTAATTTCTTTTATTATCTTTGATTGTTTAAAAATTATTGAATCTAATCTATCAATATAAGGTTCAAATTTTAATAATTCTTGTTCAAATAATAATTTTTCATCATTTTCATTTAATTTTTTATTATTTAAAACTAATAATTTTGAAATATCATCATTATGAATTTGTTGTTTTAAATCATCAATAATTTTAAATCTTTCTTGTTTAGCATTATGTAAATAATTTAAATTTGATTCAATTTTATTAATTTTTTCTAAATTTTTATCATTTTGAGAATCATCAATATCTAATAAATTCAAAGAATCATCATTATGGAAGAAGATTGATTCTAAAATTTGGGTTGATTTTAATTGATTAATTTTAGAAATTTCAGATTCAATTGATTTATTTAAATCTTGATCTAATTTTGTTGCACTTAAAATTGATTGTTTAGCATTTGTTAATTCATCTTTTAAATTTATTGAAGAATCATATGAAGATTCTTGTGAATTTCCTAATTTAAATTTTTGTTCATTATAATCTTGTTCTTCTTGATTTAATTTAGATTCTAAATCTTTAATTGTTGTTAATACAATTGATTTTTTATCTTTTATCTTTTGATTATTTTCTTCAATATTACCATATGGAGAATCATTAATTTCATTTGACCAAGAAATTAAATTTGAATCTAATTTTTGTTTAAAATTATTTTTAAAATTTTCTAAAGAATTTGGTAAATTTAAATATTCTAAAAATGAATCTAATTCAATGTTTTTAGTTTCATTTTTATCAATTTCATTTCTCAAGATTTTAGCTTTTTCTTCACTATAATAACTTAATTTTTCATGAACATTAATTGGGATAATTTTTTCAAAAATATCTTCACCAATAATTTCAGTTATATTTGCATGATCATTTAAAGAAATTGGTTTTACTGCATCAAAAGGTTTTATTATTGTGGAAGGATCAATTGAATCATTTGAAGGGATTAAATCATGATAAATGAAATCATTATCTCTTGTTAAAGTTTTAATTTTATCTTCTGATTGAGATTTATAAGTTTTAAAATCAATACCAGTTTGATTTTCCAATTTTTTCAATGATTCAAAACCTGATTGAGCCTTGGTCATGAAAGCAATTGATTCACCAATTTTTTTCTCTTCAATTGATAAGGCATAATTATAAAGAGAAATATTATAATAAAAATTTTTCTTGAAACTCAAAATATTATTCCATTTTGTTGATTCACCAAATTTAAATTCATTTAATTTTTCATAATTTTCAAAAGTTGTTTCATAATAATTATGTACAGCCATTGAAATTTTTGCAATTAATGAATATTTTGAAGGGTCTTCACTTATTAATTTTAACAGAAATACTTCTTGAGCCTGGGATAATTGTAAAAATTGTAAAAAAGCAATAGTTTTACCATCAAGATCTTGAGATGGAGCATGAAGGAAATTTTCACTAATAAATTTATAAACACCAGCAGAATATTGGAAAATTTGATAACTTGATTTGTAATCCCCTTCAGTGAATTTATCAGAAGCAATTGAACTAAGGATAGAACCTAAATTAAATAAGATACTTGCTTTTTCAAAAGCTAAAGAATGTTGAGTATAATTCTTGTTTTCATCATAAGCATCATACCAAGTGAATTTTATACGAACACCTAATTCATTGACAGGTAATCTAAGATCCAATAGTTCCAGTTGACCATAATATTTATAATATAAATCTTTCAAGAAACTCTTGTTTGAATCATCATTATTTGTATTTAAATCTAATCTTAATTTATTGATTGTATTTGTCTCTTTTGTTAAATCTGTGAATGAACCGTATAGTTTACCTAAATAGTTTTGTAGCGCTTTTGCCCAATCAACGTTATCAGTTGTTCTTGTTTTGGAATGAATGAATATTGATTTCATGTTTTTTGCCACTGAATTGAATTTGAATTGATTTGAATTTTGAATTGTTTATTAACCGCTGAGTTTTTGATTTTAATTTTAATTGTTTTGATTTTGATAGTTTATAAGGGGCTGCTTATGTCAGGGATTATGTAACAGTGTATGGGAATATACTTTAAACTAAAATATATGTAAATGTTTGTATGTGATGGATGTTTTTAAAATATATATTTATAATCAGTGGATCAAGAGGATTATAATTATGTAACTTATTAATGGTTTAAAAGTGGTTTAGAAATTGATGATATTGATTTCATAGATTTTATACACTTTAATAATTTTATATTTGGTTTAGAAATGAAATATTAATAAATTAATGGAAAAAATTAAATTATTAACTTCAAAAATCAACAATTTAAACTAAACATAATGAAATTAATTAAATTAAAAACATTATAAACATTTTATTAAATCATTATCTATTTAATATATATATTTATAATACTAATATTAATTCTTCTTATAGGTATTACATAATCACTGACATAAGCAGCAATCAATTGTACTCGTATATAAACAATAAAGAATAAAACTAAACAAAACTAAAATAAATAAAAACCAATTAAATCAATTATATATATAATCAATATAATAATAATACAATATAATTACTTATTATTTTCAAATCATTTAGTAATCATAGTGTTATTAAAAAGTCGAAATTCGGAACAACCGGTGTGCTTAGTGCAGTAAATTACCTCCCTTGTTTGTTTTACCGCAAATTACACAAATTAAATTACCTGAAATTACTACTTGTTACACTTGTTACTATTAACAATTCAATACAAAAGAAAGAAGAGAATCAAGAGATCAATCTCATAGATTTAAAATCTAATCTAATATCAATTGTTTATCAATAGGATAATCAGTTTACCATCAAAAGATCATTGCCCCATATATCATTAATACCCAGACACAATCGGAGTATACAACAACAACAACAAAATGTCATATCATTTACCATTTGCTAAACCTTACCCCAATGAACCATATCATGCTTATTGGAATCAAGTCACTTCAACAATAGATTGGTGTGAAGAAAATTATATTGTGACTCCATATATTGCAGAAGCTATAAATACTATATCAAATTCAATTTTTATATTATTAGCTGGATTTGCCATGTTTTCTGCATTTAAAAATAATTTAGAATTGAGATTTATATTGATAAGTTTTGGTTTTGCTTTAGTTGGTGTGGGAAGTTGGTTATTTCATATGACTTTACATTATGAGTTCCAATTATTAGATGAATTACCAATGATTTATGCAACTTGTATCCCAATGTGGAGTGTTTTCAGTGAAGGTGTTTCCAAGAAAAAATCAATTACAATTGGTATTTCTATAATATTGGGTGCAAATTTATTAACTGCAATTTATTTATATTTAAAAGATCCAACTGTTCATCAAGTTGCTTATGCCTTATTAAATGTTTTCATTGTGGGGAAATCTCATTATTTAACAATAAAAAACATTCATAATCAAACAACCCAAAAACAATTATTTATAACAATGATTAAAGGAATTGGTATTTTCCTTTCTGGTTATTTCTTATGGAATTTAGATGTTCATTTTTGTAATTCTTGGATTTGGTTAAGAAGAAGTATTGGTATGCCTTATGGTTTCCTATTAGAATTACATGCTTGGTGGCATGTTTTAACTGGTTTAGGTGTTTATTTTTATATTATTTATTTAGAATTATTAAGAATTAATTTATTGGGGAAACAAGATGATTATGAATTGATTTATAAATTTGGATTTTTACCTGAAGTTAAATTATTAAAAAAGGATAAAAATGAATAATTAATCAATCAACATGATCAAATAGCAATCAATTAGTTCAAATGGCATGATTATTTGATACACATATTATTTATACTTTATATTGTTCTTTGTTATGTGCCTTCTTTTTTGTTATACCTTTTTATATCATAAATGCTCCTTTTTTAACAAAAACTTTATATATTTATACATGAATAGAATATTGGATGATTTTAATGTAATATTTATGAAATATTGCTGTTTATTAATCAAAAATATACGAATTGATATTATAATTACGTATAATACGTTCCTGGGAGTCAATTTACAACAAAACATTATATCAAACAAGAGTAAAATTAAAAAGTGGTATGATAATTGATTATATCAATTGAAACTTACATAGATCTTATTCCAACTTGAAAGGGTTTAGATCTTTTGTCTCTTTAGATCTTAACGAATAAACGTATTTGAATCTAACTTCTTGTTTTAATCCTTGTTTGTGAGATGATAGATCTAATAATCTAATCTATAAAACAAGGGTTTGTAAATATTCAAATTAAGAAGGTACAAGACGCTTATGCTTGGTGATTATCCTAGGCATTATCGGATCAATGTATTCATACTCCGTATTAATCCAGGGTACAATTAGTTCATAGTACATACACTCCATAGCCTGTCAAATATGGAGAGTTCACGTAGTTTAGGAGTCAAAGTAATTACTCGTTAATATTACGCAATGAAGATCTTTAAATGTCAAATCACAAAAACTCGAAAATCTTTCTTAAGAATTTAAAAATTTTAACTTTTTAAATTGATTTGATTTGTTGAATATATATTCTAACTTGTACACTTATCATAATTGTGTAATTGATTATCTGTTGATCTTATTTAAAAGTATTTTATACATTAGTGTAAAGTATGAAGGCATTAGTGAAGACATGAGGCATGAGGGATATGAGGCATTGAAGAGTTCGGTTAAACTGATGTTGATTTAAAGAACAAATTGAAAAGTGTTTAATTCAATTCAATCCAATTCAATTCAATTCAATTGTTAATGTTAATGATTTATACTCACTGGATCAAAGTTTATCCGATGATTTTTATATTAATTTTCCGAATATCAACCTTTTAATTTTTTCCTCAATCGAAGCGCGTTTATATAAAAGTAAACAAACCAGTTTTATAATCATCATCAACGAAAAATCACTGAAACTCGCGTCGTGTTTTTTCTTGAATTCCAAGTACTATATGATGATTTTTGGAGAACAAGAGCTTCATACATGATCGTTAAGCCTTGGGTATGATACGAAGAAGTTTGAACAAGACTTGATGAACTGATTTTTTTATCATTCTATAAGCAGTAATCATATTGATCTATATGATCCATGTTATCATGATTATTGAAATTTATATAAATATTGATCAAAATCTTCTGATTTAATATTCAATATTTTTAAATGTTGATCATAAACCACAAAGCTTAAACAATGATTACTAAAATCTTTTCAATATTTTTACTTTTCAGTTTAGTAATTGCTGCTGATAAAAATTATAATAGACCTCAATTCCATTTAACACCTGAAAAAGGTTGGATGAATGATCCAAATGGTCTTTGGTATGATCAAAAGGATAAAATATGGCATGCTTATTATCAACACAATCCAAATTCAACCGTGTTTGCATCACCAATAAGTTGGGGTCATTCTACATCAAAAGATTTAATTAAATGGGATTATCATGGTGTTGCTGTTAAAGCTGATAATAAAGATGAAGATATCTTTTCAGGTTCAATTGTTATTGATAAGAATAATACCTCGGGGTTTTTCAATGATGATGTTGATCCTGAACAAAGAGTTGTTATGGTTTATACTAGTAATTTCCCTGGTGCTCAAACCCAAGCTATTGGATATTCAACTGATGGTGGGTATACTTTTATTAAATATGATGGGAATCCTGTGATTAATACTCATTCTTCATCACAAAGAGATCCTAAAATGTTTTGGCATGAAGAATCTGAAAAATGGATTATGGTTGTTGTTGATGCACAAGTTTATAATTATCAAATTTATTCTTCATCTGATTTGAAAAAATGGGAACAAGTTTCAACTTTCCAAAAAAAAGGTTACTTGGGTGGTCAATATGAATGTCCTGGTTTGATTAAAGTTCCAATTGAAAATCCTGATGATGGTCAACCAGATTATAAATGGGTATTATATCTTTCAATAAATCCAGGTTCTCCAATTGGTGGTTCTGCAGTTGAATATTTTATTGGTGATTTTGATGGTGAAACTTTCACACCTGATGATGGTGCTAGTAGATTTATGGATTTTGGTAAAGATTTTTATGCTTTACAAACTTTTGATAACACTAGAGATGAAGATGGAGTTGTTGGTTTAGCTTGGGCTTCGAATTGGCAATATTCAAGTTATGTACCAACTGATGGTTGGAGATCTTCAACTTCAATGGTTAGAAGATTTACTTTGAGAAATGTTAAATTAAATCCTTCTGAAACTGGTTTAAATTTAATTCAAACACCTGTTTGGGAAACTGAAGATACTTTAGATGATGGATCTTTGAAAAATTGGTATATGATTAATGAATATGATGTTGAAGATACAATTTTAAATAAATGGTCCAAAGTTGAAACTGATTTTAATAGTGAAACTAATTCATCTGGTGTTTTGGAATTTAATTTAACTTTTGCTATAACTGATTTTTCTGCTGGTTTACAAGATGGTCCTCATACTTTAGCTGTTAATATTCTTTCACAAGAAGTTGATGGTTCAAAAGATAAATTCCAATTAGTTTTTGATTTATTAGGAAGATCTTGGTATTTAGATCGTGGTAACGGGAATGCATTTCAAAGAGATACACCAGTTTTCGATGAAAGATTATCATTTTATCATGAATCACAACAAACTGGTGATAAAGGTCCACTTTATAACATTTATGGTATTGTTGATAGAAATGTTTTGGAATTATTTGTTGAATATGGTCAATATGCTTTAACTAATACTTTTTTCTTTGATAATGGAAGAATTCCAACTTCAATTGAAGTGGTTTCAAATTATGAACAATCTTTCGCAACAATTCAATCTTTTGTTGCTAGAGAATTGGCATTGAAATGAAGTGAAATGAATTTAATATGATTGGTTGTTTTTTGCTTAATTGATCATGTATAATAGAATTTAATAAAAAAGAATGATTCAGAAGTTTTAGTAGCTATGACGCGGTAATTTTGATAGTTGATATTGTATGAAACAAGTTTAAAGGTGTATATTAACGTCTATGATGAAATTCTCTGAATAATTTTATTTATGATTGTTTATCCCAAGAACCCATAATCCATGATTGGTTAAATTGAAAGGGTCCTTTGAAAGTCATCATCAAACTAGTTTTTTAACGGTTTCAACTCTCACTGGAAAAATCGTCGTATACTTGTGTTAATCCTTCAAATACCTCCGTGTGGTACTATATTCGAAATTTCTAAGATGTACTGGCGGATATTGAAGATCTATCAAGTAAAAAACGTTGAAAATCAAAATGAGCCCATAATTTGAGGTGTAATGGTGCAATAGAGAGAGAGGAGGTACGTATGATCAGATGATGGATCTTCAAGAAAGCTTCAGTGAAGCTAGTTCTTCGTCTCGATTTTGAAAATGAAGCTTCATGCTTCATGCCTTATATATGCTTATGAATCCAATCAACAAAAGAAAACATTTACATATTGAATACACTGAACTAATATATAGTATATATATGGTTCATCTAGATTATAGTGAGGAACTTCAAAAAATTTATGAAATTGTGGTAGTTGAGGCTATCTTCAAGCCCTGATTACCCAAAAGTTTATAGACCTCATGATGATGCTTAATAAACGGAACTTTCTATTTAAAGTAAAGATCCTCGATTTTTTTGATTTAGCGTCTACCTTTTCACGATACACCGTAAAATAAAGTAATCCAGAAGAAATGATTCTCTACACGAAGCTGATCTTGTATGATCTTTTGAAGCTCAACATTAAAACCGTTGAGCGTAAAATTGCGAATTGAGCGATCCTGTAAAAGGTTACGTTCAACTTCGACTTGAATTCGAAAATATAAAAACGTTGGGAAAATTTTGAGGATACTTTAACCTATACGATGATATCTTCAAGCTTTTTGGGTGATCTTTGATGAATATTGGTGAATCACTAGTAAAGCATAGTACCCGTGTACGTTTTAATGGAAGTCAAAAAGCGAAAAGTGACTTGAATTTGATGTAGTTTTATGCCTTATCGTATGAGTGATTCTTTTAAGCGTGAATTAACTATTTGAGGTTCAATTGAAGTTCATGTAGTTTTTAATACTTACTACGGTCTACTTGAGTCCTGACGTAGTGTACCAATGAGATATTGACACTTCAACATTAGACGTATCATAGATTAGGAAACTCAAATGTTTCAGAAAGGAATATGAACCTTCCAAATCAGAACGACATTAGATTGAACTAGATAGTAGATATGGTCAATTTAATTGAATTCTGGATTCATACATATTACATAGTTCGTTCCAGCTATGATTGTTTTCAAGATCTTTAAAACTCTTCGAAGATTTGACACGCTTAAGCAATACATACATGGTACATATCTCCCCTTTCAGCAATAGTATTCATTCAGGTGTACTTGTAAATTATAATTGAAAGTTTATGAGATTTTTGAACGTGTAAGATCATAGATGCATCAGGATTCAGATAGATCTTAAATCTCGAAATATACTGTCCGTTATACATCGAGATCGTAGAGGATATTTGAAAGTAAAATTCTAGATGGAGCGATAGGGTCTACAAATTTGAAAGTTGATTTTGCGGATGTTGAACATTCCATGATCTCCTATATATGTAATATTTCTAGATGTGAGACAACCACAAATGTGAATGTTATAATAGTATCAAAAATTTGAATTAATCAACACCATCATTTCAACAATTCCATGATATTAGTATCATTCAAATTTTACTCTAACCAAATTTTAAAGGGTTCTTGTTATTATTCAAGTATGATGAAGTACCCTTCTGTATCCAAAAGTCCCTTCATACACCGTCGAACACTAATGAAACTTAAGCGTAGTAAGAAGCTAGTGAATGCGCGATCTCTCTGAGTTTTGTTTTTGAAAGGACCGTGCTTGAAGAGAGTTTTGAATTTCGAGATTTTAGTGTCGATCATTTAAAATTTTTAGTTTTTCCGCGAGAAAGTTTTTCCGTTGAATGTAGATCTTAGATCTCAAATAGCGCTGGAAGTTGGAAGTTGGAATAACAACGGACAATTTCCGTGAGACAGTAGTAGATACTAGAAACCTCCGTCAAGGAAGATGTGAAGCGTTTCTCGAGCACCGCTTTGGAAAATCTACGCTTTAAAGTCTTCAGGCTTCTATAAGTTCTACCCCGATCTTCCCACAGTACTTTATAGAAAATCGATTTTCTAGCTGTTTATGTCAATTAATCATATCGTATAGTCTATATATATGCCCTTCAAAAAACAATTAAACAAAACATATAATAATGTTCTTTGACTGAGTACTGATACTCTAACCTATGTAGAGATCTTGAATCTTCTTTTAGTGTAGGTGGATCTAGTTATAGGAACGACTTCTTTTAATTAGCTGAAACAAATGTTGGTTCATGTCGAATATGACCTTTAAAATTGTTTATGCTATTAAATTTGAAGGAATTTATTAGCGCTGTAAAGTCTGTGAAAAGAGCTTGGTACAACTTTGCATCAGATTGTATATTATACTAGTATAGGACCTAGGTGCACTTTACTACGTCTGAATTTGAAGCTTATACGTCTTCTAAGGGAAAGTATATTTGTAAAAATTGTACTAATTACGTGTCTTGAGGTCCAGTGATGAAATATCAAGTAACTTTAGTATCTGATATCCAAATTTGTTATCCACTTTTACTACGTTTGCTACGTGATTTCATTCTGTGTACCTTTTTGGTGTCGGTGTAATCCCGATTTGTAAACTTGAAAGCTTTTAAGTTGAGATTTGATCGATGATCTTGCACGGGATTTAGAGGTGAACGTTGAAACCTGCATGATTTGAGATTTTGAGATTTCTTTATGACGTTTTAACTTTTGAACGTCAAAAAGTTGAATGGTTGAAACTTGAAACTTGTCCAGAAAGATGAGAGTTGAATAACTAAAGATCAACGTTTAAACGTTAAGAAAATCGTTGCAACAAAATGCCGTTTGGATACGCTTTTCATTCGAGGTTTGAAATCTCATCCTTCTGAGCCATGAAATTCAACGCCAATCTGGAATCTGAATCCTGCTCTGAACAACAACAATCAAAATTGTAAATAAACAAACAAACAAATAAACAAACAGATCATCGTTTCATATAGTAAAGGGAAGTAGGAGCTATAGATGACAATAATAAATACTAAGAAGCAAACAAGCTTTCTCACCACCAACATTTAGCTGTGACAAACTTTTATATTCAGGAACCGCATGATATCTAAGCGCTCCCCTTGGCCCTGCTTTGATTCCCCTTTGAACATAATACCGCTTGTAGAAAAACATTGATTAATTAGCGCTGGTTGCAACTTACAACCATTCAGAAAGCGCACCAGCATTTCGAGTTTCTCATAGGTCAAGATATCTACTTTTTGGCGTGACTTTATGTAAGATGTTTTCTCATATCTCTTGAAATCCACGATTTTAAATCCAAGTTGAGAAATTCTCAAAACCCTTTTCGTCTCTTATACGTCTATACCTGCATTTTATGTCAAAAAGTAATTCCGAAATTAAAGTTTGTTCGTTGGCCGCGTTTGGTATAGACATATGCAGTTTCGTGCATGAGGTATAACCAAATTTTTGAAAAAGGTGTTTCTTTTCTCGCGGCACCTTACATGATTTTTCACGAAAATGTAAATAGATCAACAAAACGTTGAGTAAACTACACTAAAAATCAGATCAATGTTGATTAAAAAACGTTAAAACACTAGTAAACCACGGTGGTAATCTTTCGAATATCCGCTATTTTCAATATTCATCTTCATGATCTTGGAGATATTCAAATTTTTAATATAAAAAGGGTTCAAGATCCCATCTTTTGACTTTCAATTCTAATGTTCTTTTTTCCTTTCTTCATTAAGCATTAAGAGCTAAATCACAGTCACTCGTTATGGTCCAACTCCAATTCACTCTTTTATTATCAATTTTATCATCATTCACTGGTTTAGCTGCTGCTAAAGCTGGTGACATTGGTACTGCTTCAAATGTCCAAGACAATGACAAATTAAGACCTCAATTTCATTTAACTCCAGGTAAAGGTTGGATGAACGATCCAGATGGGTTATGGTATGATAGAAAGGAAAAATTATGGCACGCATATTATCAACATAATCCAGATCATAATATTTGGAACTCTCCAATCTCATGGGGTCATTCAGTTTCTCCAGATTTAGTCTCATGGTACTATTATGGTAATGCTTTAACTCCTGAAGATTCTTCAATTGGTTTTTTCTCTGGTTCTATTGTTGTTGATAGAAATAACACTTCCGGTTTCTTTGATGATTCAGTTGATCCAGATCAAAGAGTTGTTGCTATGTACACTAAAAACACTGATAAAGAAACTCAAGAATTAGCTTACTCAAAAGATGGTGGTTTTGAATGGGAATACTACAGCCAAAACCCAGTTATTAATATCAACACTGCTCAACAACGTGATCCAAAGATTATCTGGCACGAGGATTCCCAAAAATGGGTTGCTTTAATTGCTAGAACACAAAAATTTGCTATTCAAATCTGGACTTCAAAAGATTTAAAGAACTGGGAACATGTTTCTGATTTCGAAAAAGAAGGTATTTTAGGTTTCCAATATGAAATGCCAGGTTTATTAAAATTACCAGTTGAAAATCCATCAAAAGGTGATGGTAAAACTCATAAATGGGTTATGTTCGTTGCTTTACATCCAGGTTCTCCAATTGGTGGTCCATTAAATCAATACTTCATTGGTGATTTCGATGGTGAAACTTTCACTCCAGATGATCATGCTACAAGAATTCAAGATTATGGTAGAGATTATTATTCATTCACAACCTTTGATTCAGCTAACCCAGCAGATGGTCCAAACTTAGGTTTAGCATGGGCTACCAACTGGCAATACGCTACAATTGTTCCAACTGAAAACTACAGATCATCAATGACTCAAGTTAGAAACTACACTTTAAGAAACGTTGATTACAATCCAGAATACACTGATTTAACTTTAATTCAAACTCCAGTTCTTGAAACTTATGAAACCAAACAAAATGAATCATTGAAAACCTGGACTCAAACTCAAGAATATTCCAAGAACAACTTTGATTTAGATTCATCATCAACTGTTAACACCAACTTCAACGGTCACAACAATGCTTCAGGTGTTTTAGATTTCAACATGACTTTCGTCATTACTTCAGGTAAAGGTTGGTCAGATGGTTTATCTCCATTCACTATTACTATCAATTCTGATCAAGTTAATGGTAAATCTGATAACATTTCTGTCACTTTCGATGCTTCTGGTCAAACTTGGGTTGTTGATAGAACTACTACTCATGCATTCCAAAGAAATCAACATGAATTTGGTGAAAGAATGGGTCAATATGTTAACCCAAGAGGTTACAGAGACACTGGTGCTTATTACTCAGTTTATGGTTTCGTTGATAGATCAATGTTAGAATTATACTTCAACGATGGTGAAATGACCATGACCAACACTTTCTTCTTAGCTGATGGTAGAGTTCCAGCTGATATTACTGTTAACTGTGGTTTCGATGATTCATTCATCCATGTTGAAGAATTCAAAGCAAAAGCTTATGCTTTAAAATCTAATGTTAACGTTGATAACAGAAACCCATTTGAAAAAGCTGCTGATGATGTCAAGGAATTAATTGAAAAATTATTACCAAGCAAAAGTAACAACTAGATTTTTATATTTCACTAGTTAATTAATATTTTTAATCATAGATATAATTTTTTTGTATTATATAATGAATTTTTGAAAGCTGAATGGAGACTTCTCGATTCGTGCTATGACAATTTGAAATAAACAATACCCTTTTTACACTTCTTAAATTTGATCGTAGTATAGATTTAATCAATGGAACGGATAATATTGAATCACTAAAGCTCTTTCCGTCTCTCATAGTTCCAGAATTATAAAGAAAAATCAACATTTTGGTCAAATTTAGTGGAAATTGGCGTCCATTTATAATCACTTATATTGTACTTCGACGGATTCAGGAATAGCCCCCGAGAGCCGATCACTGAAACCCGAAAAACGGTACCAAACTTAAACAATACTTCAGGCCAAATCTGGAGAACTATATGGGTAGCATTTAACGGAAATAAGTTTGCTCAGTTAGGATCAGGACTCAGGAGAGTATACTTTAATATAAATACTCGTCATGTTCCCATCTTTTCAATCTCATAAAGCTCTGGTTCATATAATTAAACAGTCAGTATTAGATTACTAAAAAGGCTATACACTACAGATTTCAAAATGGCATCTCAATTGGTTTCAGAGCTCAACAAGACAAAATTTGGTTTAGGATTAATGACCTTCACCATCAACAATCCACCACGTACCCAAGATCAATTCAATGAAGTCGTCTTAGCTACAATTAAAAAGAATTTACCTGCCAAAACATTCGTTAACGGTGGTGAATTTTATGGTCCAGATGATCTCAATTTGAAATATATCAAGTCATTTGTTGATACTCATCCAGAACAAAGACAAAATTTGATCATATCAATCAAAGGTGCTTTTGATTTTGTTACTTTAAAACCAACTGGTGATAAAAAAGGTATTGATAAGTCAATTGACCACATCTTGGAATATATTCCAGATTTGGATACATTTGAACAAGCAAGAATAGACCCAACACTCCCATTAGAAGAAAGTATTGATGCTTTAAACGAAGCTGTTGACCAAGGAAAGATTAAAGGTATTTCTTTCTCAGAAATCAATGAAAAAACTTTAGAAAAAGCTGCTAAACTTGTTAAAACTCCAATTGTTTCAGTTGAAGTTGAATTTTCCATTTTCTCAAGAGACATTTTAAAGAAAGGTGGTCTTGCTGAAAAAGCTGGTGCTTTAGGAGTTCCAATTATTGCTTATAGTCCATTATCCAGAGGTTTGTTAACTGGTGATATCAAAAGCGCTGCTGATGTTCCTAAAGATATGCGCTCTCATTTGGATCGTTTCACTGGTGAAAATTTGGAACATAATTTGAAGATTGTTGAATACATCCAACAAAAAGCTGAAGAAGCTGGAACTACAATTGTTGAATATGCTTTAGCTTGGGTTAGAGCTTGGAGTGGAAGAACTGTTGATGGTGTCAAATATGCAAAAATTATTGATATTCCAAGTACAAGTACCTTAAAAAGAGTTGATCAAAACTTTTCTGATTTTGTCTTAACTGAAGAACAATTTGATGAAGCTAATAAGTTTTTGGAAACAGTCACTGTTAAAGGTAGAAGATACAATGAAGCTTTTGAAAAGTATTTAGATCTTTAAGTACGTTTACCGGCTGTAAATGCATGATTGTGAGTTATTCTTTTATTACACAAATTGTAGATGATTTACTTTATTAGGATGACCTAGTAGCGATATTCTCAAGCCTTTTCATAAAAGAATCATATCATTACTTTTGTTTTAGTACATAATTTATTGATTCTTGAGGTTAGTAGTGTATAGCTAAATCATCTCAGACTAGCACCTCATAGAAAACCCAAATACCTCCAATTCGTGCTCTTTCCTGTTGAATGTAGTGTATAACAGAAAACAAATCAAATGATTATATCCAAAGTGCACACAGTCCTTATACACTCATTTTAAACTCTCAACCCTCAACTCTCAACTCATCTAAAGACTCATCATTGAACAGAAAATTTGAAAATTCATTAGCTCTCTCTGCTCATCAGAAAAATATAAAAGTAAAGGAATTTCTTAATTTATTCATTTCAATTTCTTCTTCTTATTCTCCACTTTCTGATTATAAAACAAACTTCCAAATCATAAAGCTTTTAAAATTCCCCAAACATACTTATACAGATTACTAAGAGTCACATACAACGCTTAGGTAATACAAGAACAATTATATTAACAAACAAACAAACAATTATCTTTTAACTTTCAATCATGTGTTACGTTTTCCCAACTAATACTCCACGGAACCCAAACAATGCTGCTAATGGTGATTTCGTTGAAAGCTTCAATGGTTTAAAAGCACCACAACCATATATCGGTAATAGATTGGCCATTGGTGATGATGGTGGTGGATTACAACTTGTCGAAACTCCTGAGTTGAAAATCACATGTCCACATTATTCAGAAACTGATCATGATCGTGCTTGTCTTGCTAGTTTTGCATATGATGAAAATTCTCAATATCCATTTGCAGAATATATCACTCATTTTTACCAATTTCATGCGTTATATAAAGAGAAGCTATCAAATAGAATTTCTTGGAGTGATATCTGTATTAATGCTTTTCAAAAACTAAACAGATATACTGATGATATTGAACAGTTCAAAGCAGATTACAATTCAGTTACAGGTTTGAATTCAGAAGATGCTGGTATTGGTGAAAATCCATTATTAAACGATTATCATTACCCTTGTAATGTTGCTTTAATCAAGGACGAACCAGCTAATCCAAGAACAAAGGACTCAATGGGATTTTACTCACTTTTGTGTCCATTCTGTACTCCAATTTTCAACTGTCAAAAGAAGAACATTAACACTTTTTTCGATGTCGCCAACGGTGATTATGAGAGACATTTGAGAGAACATCATGGTTTTTATACAAATGGTCAAAAAGCTCCACAACCATATATTGGTGATACATTGATCTTTAGAGATGATGGTAATGGATTACCAGTTAATGAAAAACCTGAATTGACAGTCACTTGTCCTTATCATTTAGATTCTGATCATAGACAAGCATGTCTTGCAAGTTTTTCATTTAATAAGGATTCACAAGCTCCATTCGCTGAATATTTCACTCATTTCTATCAAAGTCATGTGTTACATAAGGAAGAACCATCATGGACAGCACGTTATAGAGCAATGTATTTTGCCAATGGTGATGGTTCTGGTGAAAAATATGATACTAATTATTTCATCCCACTTAACCCAGGTTTACATATGATTGCATACACAGATGTATTAGAAACCATTGGCCATATACAACCATTTGCTTTACCACCATGGGATGTTATCCGAAAATACATGGAAAGAAGTCCAAATCCATCGTATGTTCATCCTTTTGTTTCTCAAGACCTTATGGTTGAGATTTATGAAGAGCTTTTATCAATGAGTTTAACTTTACCATTCCAAGATTCTGATGTTGAATCAGATTCTGATGAAGAAGAAGTTTCACTCTGGGATGAAACAGAATTACCTGAGCTGGCTGATGAAGAAGAAACTTTGGTTGATGAAGATGAATTTGCATTAATTGAAGGTCCTTTAACTGGTACCTTATCAGCTACCTTATCACCAATGTTTTCACCTTTCTTTCAAAGACCTCCAATTGAACTTGCTCCTTTAATACCAATGTTCAGAAATCTCAATCAAATGCAAGCTCCAATGCCTGCTCCGATGTTTGAACCTTTCAACCCAATGCCAGCTCCAATGCCCATTCCAATGTTTGGACCTTACAATCCAATGCCAGTTCCATTACCAGCTCCAATGCTTGGACCTTTCAATCCAATGCCAGTTCCATTGCCAGCTCCAATGCTTGGACCTTTCAATCCAATGCCAGTTCCATTGCCAGCTCCAATGCCAGCTCCAATGTTTGGACCTTTCAATCCAATGCCAGTTCCATTGCCAGCTCCAATGCCAGCTCCAATGTTTGCACCTTTTAATCCAATGATGCCAATGCCAGCTCCAATGTTTGCACCTTTCAACCCAGCTCCAATGTTTGCACCTTTTAATCCAATGATGCCAATGCCAGCTCCAATGTTTGGGCCTCCTATGCAAAATGATCCATTTATGAGACCAAATTCTCCAATAGATCCACCAGCAGCTGAAAACATTGTCAATGATCCTCCTGTTCCTGCTACTTCTTTTAATACAGATCTAGAAGAAATTGAAAAATCTGGAAATAAAGATGAAGAAGAAGTGTCACCAGAAATCACAATGGATCAAATCCAGTTGATATGGAAACAGGAGGATCTTGAGGAAGAAAAATGTTTTTCAGAGGATAATGAATATTATGGAGTTGAAATTCGTAATCATAGAAAAGGGAAAGAAAGAAAAAGCCATAGAAAGTCCAGGAGAATTGACAAAAGGTTTAAAGTGAATTAATGGACTTGGATGGTATTGTGACTACATTATGTATTATTTTTGTTTATTCTGTTTATTTAATTTTTAATTTATTATTATAATGTTATTTTTGAAACTACAACGTATAAGTTATATAGTAAACATGTAACCTGGAGTTAATCTACGCTGTGCATCTTCTTGCACTTGAGTAATGATTATATTCTCATAGATCATTAAATGATTGTCAGCTTGCAGAAGCTTCAAAATTTCCTTGGGATATGTAGTTTGAGCTTAACTTCCAAGTGCATATAAAAAAGATTAATAGCTCAGCACAATCATCAGATCTAAATCAATGTATTAGACCACAGCTAAGCTCTTCTATGAGTTACCATATAATTTTAGATAGTATACAGTGTAGAACAGTTTGTATATAGCTCATTATCAAATATATTTCATCACAGAAGCAAAAAATTCATTCTCTAGAAGAGGTACAAAAACGAATTATTCGTAGGAAAATACGTCCTCGATCTTTAATGTATAGTTCTTTCGATTATTACTCACTCTCTACACATATTTGATCCAAATCATAACATATTGCAATTGCAAAAACCCCCAAAAACTCTTTCAAAACAATAGCTATATTTCTCATTGCTAAACTAACTCTTTACACTTCACTTCTGTTGAAGAAAATCCTCTATTTTAATATTTGAAACCGGTATTCCGCTTAGGTAATACAACACAAAAATACAAATCAAAACAAAAACACTTTCATTCAACTTTCACCATGTCTACAAGTCTTTCAAGTCTTGATTGGAAAGAGCTCAATGTCGCTTTATCACAAGGTCCAAGTATACTTGATCATGAGTATAGCAGATTACACAGGCATTACAGATATGGTACTGGTATAGACGCAATTGACGCTGTTGATGGAAATTCTGGTTACAATAATAATCATTTCAATGGTGGTATTGGATCATACAGAAAGGAAGAAATCAATTGGCCATTTGAAGAACTTAGAGATGGAACTTCCGTATTGTTTAATTACTTTTATAGTATCCCTGATCATGATTCTCAAAAAAAAAGAGTTGAAGCCCTTTTAAAAATTATGAATGATGATTATGAGAGACATTTACGAGAACGCCATTGTGTTTATACAAAAGGTTTAAAAGCACCACAACCACATATTGGTAATAAATTGAATTCTACAGATGATGTTAAGGGATTACAAGTCAATGGATCACCTGAATTGAAAATCACATGTCCATATCATTCAAAAACTGATCATGGAGAAGCATGTCTTGCAAGTTTTTCGTTTGATGAAAGGTCAGAAGCTCCATTTGCAGAGTATTTTACTCATTTTTACCAAAGTCATGTTCTGAATCAAAAAAAGTCACCATGGACAATTTCTTGGAGTGATATCAGTATTAATACCTTTCAAAAACTAAATGGATATACTGATGATATTGAACAGTTCAATGCTGATTTCACGTTAGTTACAGGATTGAACGCAGCTGATGCTGGTATTGGTGAGAATCCTTTATTGAACAACTGTCATTACCCTTGTAATGTCTCCTTACTCAAAGAAAGACCAACCAATCCAAGAGCAAGAGATCCAATGGAATTTCTTTCATTTTTGTGTCCATTTTGTATACCAAGTTTTAAATCTAAAAATAAAAAAGCTGATACTTTTTTCGATGTTTCAAATGGTGATTATGAGAGACATCTAAGGGAACGTCATGGCTTTTATACAAATGGTAAAAAAGCTCCACAACCATATATTGGTGATACATTGATATTTAGAGATGATGGTAATGGGTCACCAGTTAATGAAAAACCTGAATTGACAATCACATGTCCACATCATTTAAAATCCGCTCGTAAACAATCATGTCTTGCAAGTTTTTTATTTAATAAGGATTCACAAGCTCCATTTGCAGAATATTTTACTCATTATTTTCAAACTCATATGTTACAAAAGGAAGAACCATCATGGACATCACGTTATAGGCCAAGGTATCTTTCAGGTGTTGATGAATCTAATAAAAAAATTGATACTAATTATTTCATTCCAATTGACCCTAGTTTGCATGTTAGGGCATTTGTTCACCAATTAAAAGACAGAAGACACAAATGGGTATTACAGCCATTCATTTTACCTCCCTTAGATGATGAACGTCTCATAGAATCAAAGAAAAGAATTGAAAATTTACCAAAAGCTAAATCTTTGAATCTAGGTAAATTCTACGATTACCATAAAATTTACAGCTTGGGAATGAATATTTCATTACATAGGGATAGTGTTAAATTTACAATTGATAAGGGACAAGAAAAGAAACAAGAGATTACTCATATTCATCTTAAAAATGGTGAAGTTAAAAGAAGAAATAGATCTGTTAGTCTTAGTGATGATGTTCATCGTGTAAATGGTGAAGTTAGAAGAAGAAATAGATCTGTTAGTCTTAGCAATGATATTCATCGTGTAAATGGTGAAGTTAGAAGAAGAAATAGATCTGTTAGTCTTAGCAATGATATTCATCGTGTAAATGGTGAAGTTAAAAAAAAGTATAAATCTGTTCATCCTAACAATGTGAAATATGAAGATGAAGATGAATTTTTTGATACAAATTCCACACCTATTACACCCAAGTCTAATTCGGCTAAAGATAAAACAATTTTGGAACCAGGAAATGAAGAAGAATCAGATTTAGACTTTTTGGTTAAATTAAGAGTCGATCGTACGAAGCAAAGATATCACTGAAGAAAAATGAACTTCAAAGAATACACTTTATTGGTATAGAAAATAACGTCTAAAAGGGCCAACCAATAGGGTCTTTACAAAGATTATTGATGATTTATGACTATCCGAATTGATGAATTATGTTTTACTTTTAATATACATAATATTTTGTGTTTTAATGTGAACTTTCCAGCCCAGTGCTGTAAATTTTGCCTCAAAATTTCTATTGTAATTTTATCACATCTAACATATATCATGATACAAGAGTTACACCAGTTGGAACCTCTATGTCAGAAAATATTAAGACAGAAAATTAGTATCACTTAAATTTCTACATTAGATTTGAAATAACTCGTTTAAACAGCTCTTTTTCAGTTGAAATCAGCTCATATAATTGCCTCATTGAAATTTAAACATTTTACTCAATCAATTGTCTCAAACCAATCTCATCAATTCAAGTTCCCTCCAATTTCAAATATAAAAGAAGAATGTTTCCCAATTTTATCATTTTAATTTGTTCCTCCTTATTCATCACTTAAGCTAAACAGAATTTCCTAAATATCATAAATTACAAATACAATTAACTTATACTGATTACTAAGTATTACATACAAAGCTTAAGTAATCAAGATGTTCCAAACAATTAACCCTTCAAAGTTTTACCAAACAGTTTCATACAATCAACCAAAGTCGGAAGAAAATTATGATTGGTATGAGTTCCATATCAAGATACGACAACAAGTTTCAAGATATGCTTTAGACTTCCGAACTTTGATGTGTCATTCTAGATGTCATACTGGATTTCATACCCTTGAAACCAATATTATAGAAAATCCTCTTTTCAATGAAAATTATTACAATTCATGTGCTGCGATATACACTGAGAATACAAACAATGGTACATGTTCTGATAATTATAGAGAACCCAAATTAGCCGTTTTGTGTCCATTTTGCTATCCTGAGTTTAGTTATGAGATAAATGAAATTGAGACATTTCTTGAGGTTGAAAATCGTGATTATGAGAGACATTTAAGAGAACTTCATGGTGTTTATCCAGATGGTATAAAAGCTCCTCAACCATTTATTGGTGATACAGTTCTTACAGAACATCCATTTGATTATGCTGAAGATCAAACACCAGATTTGAAAATAATTTGTTCTCATCATTTAGAAAATGATAAATCACGAGCATGTCTTGCTGGTTTCTCATATGATAAGAATTCTAAAGAACCATTAGCTGATTATTTTAATCATTATTATCATACTCATGTCCTACATGAAGATGAATCACAAAATAGGCTACGCTTTCATACAACTTTATACAAACTTGATGATAATGGAGAACCTGTTACATTCAGATTTAATCACATGGTTCCAATCAGCCCTTATCTTCATATTGAAGCATTACTCAATTTAAGAGAAGTTTCTGGTGACCATAGTCAACAACCATTTGTTTTACTTCCTTGGGATCTTGATGTTGTTCAGAATTCAATGGATAGACTTCAAGATGTTCCAAGCTTTTATATTTTAGATACAACATCTGAAAATGTTCATTCTTTTTATGAAAAATTATTTAACACAAAACAACATATCTACACTTATAATGAAAAAATCTATCAGGAAGTTGTTAGGGGAATGAGTCATAATTTTTCTACTTTATTTGAAACTGAAGCCCATTTATTTGATAGTAGGCATGGATTTAAAATACCCAAGAAAAGTATTGTACCAGATAAATGTCCTGTTGATTCTGATTTTTCTGATATTGATGAACCACTTGGTAAAGAATACATTCGTTATTATGACTCCAATTCCAATTTGGTAGAAGAAGAAGAAGATTTTGACTTAATTGAAAATCTTCCAACTGCTGACGGTACTCCAATCTTTTGGGATAATAATAGTGATTTCAGTAATTTTGAATGTCACAAACCTGGATATCCTGCTTTCAATAATGAAGAAAGAACCAAGATTGAAAGTTCTGGAAAATTTAGTAAGCGAAGAGCTTTGAAAGAAAAAATTAAAAGAATGGTAAAGTTCTACTAATCCAATCAGCCCAACTGGAAAGATGACTATAAATATATATATAAATAAATGTTTTGAAAATTGCATATAGTGCTAATGTTTAATTGTATGATGTCCTTACAAGTTCTTTACTTGCCTTATGACAAACATAGAGGATGTACTAATGTACCTATTTGATAGATTACGCGTCTGTTGATGCAATATGTAATAAACACAATGACACAACTTGGTACGTATGTACTATTTTAGCTGTAGTCATAAGACAAATTGAATATAACGTAGTACTTACACGGTAAGATAAATATCATATCATATTATAATTCTCCTATATCATATACCTTTGTACCCAATAATCCCAACCTAATGTAAAACAAAATTCATTAATTCAATATAGAACGAATGTAAACAGCCAGCTGTTTCAAAACCCATTAACAACCTTCATATACGTTACCAACTTTCTAGTTATAACTTTCTAACATCAATATCTTCCTTGTTTTTGATTTTTGATCTCAAATCATCTAATCTATTCAACAATCTATCAGTTTTGAGCTTACGTTCTTCAGGAGATAAGCTAACTGGATGTTCAGGAGTTGCACTGGCTTGTTTAGCTTGTGATGAATGTATGTTGATTGGTGTACTCATGATGTGATTATTCTCTATGCCTGATGTACTAAATAAACGTGAAGAAGTTAGAGTCAAGGGATAGATTACAAAATTTACAATATTGTAATTAAAACAAGGATGGAAAATTGAACAGCGAAAATGGCACACGATTTACCATCCAGGAAGATAACGTTGATTTGAAACTGTACCTATCATAAAGATCTAGAGCTCGATATATTATCTTTCGGTAGCTTTACACTATCATTTGATACCATACTCCAATTGCTTATACTCTATCTTTAGTAAATACTCAACTCTTAGATACCATATGTATTATGTACTCATACTTTTTATGTTATCCTTATCATTGTGTCGCGTATTTTGCCACAATTCTTCAATGTTTTCGCAATTACCTTATAATTTCCATATCGGGAAGTCTACCACATAGGACAATTAATTCTTCATTAGAAACCAGTTATTTAAACTAAAACAATATGAGAGGATATATATTTGTGGGTCAGATTTAAGAAAGAGTAAGATATTCAAATCCATGACATTTTATTTGAATGACGTTTGACCAGTGAATCGAAGGGTTATATATAAATCGGAAGCTCATTTTAAAGGAAGATGCAATAATTAATATATGTCAATTAAGCTGTTTGATCTGAAGTAGCAGTGATAGTATAACCAGAAGATTATTCACATGGAAATTTATCAGTTGCTGTTTTACACAATTAGATATCTAAAGTATTACAGGTATATTGACTGAGCTATCTAAGTTCTAATCACTATCTAGTACAGAGAAACTTCCACCAAATACATCAATATGTCCATTCATAACCCCACGCCCAAAATTTTATATGCACAATGTCTTTAGGGGTACCTCTTAAGCCTACCTCAATGAGCACTTCAATTACTTGCCCACTCAGGTCCAGAATGATGCTTCAATTCAATTAATTAATTGACTGCATATTTATTAGTGTAATTGACTCTTTTAGGAAGTTGTATCACCTCATGTATATCCTATAAGGTAGTAGCTAGATCTGTGTCCGAGATTGCATGACTTGGCCTGCAAAATGATATTATAAATTGTTTCACTTTATATATAATAATATGTACACATATGGCTCTTAACTAGACCCATAGATCAAAGCTATATATATAAGTCTCCACTTGCATGTGGTTGTATTAAATTAGCTGCTATAATTAATAAAATATAGTATATATCAATTTTAATTCTCATATATTCGTATGTCGATATTCTACAAAATATATACCTGTAAATACTGCGTTATATATGTAATCGTATAAGTCTGACCAAATATTGTTGGTCATCACGACATGTACTCATGATCATGATTCATGATGAATAGCTGCTCAACCAATCATGAGATCATATTGTTGGCCAATGAAGATGAACAAATTTATATTATTTCTTGTCAATCCTTGTTCTTTCGAATGATCTACCTAGATTTATAGGATTTTCTCAAAAGAGTCAACATTGTTTACAAAAATCATTGAAACTTGAAAGTATCCAATCAAGTTACAATCTGGGGTCTTCTGATTTTCCGGATTTTCTTTGGATAGCCTTTTTATGACGTACTCCCGGCAAAATTTAGCGGGACAAATACGAGAATATCTGGAGAAACAGACAAAATTTTCAAATTGGATCATCACATCATCACCAAAAATATTGAAATTATAAGCTGCTACGGAAAATCTAGAGATCACAGATAATGGAAGGAAATGAATATACAATAATTAATTAGGTCAACGATATCGATAATATTTATTAGCTCTAGAATATTTTTATACTGATGGTGAACTATGTGAACATTGTTATTAGTTAAGCTCTATGACGTGGAAATCTGCCCACAATAATTAATCCCCATAGTTTCTTGAACTTTCTCCGATAGCGGTCAATTCTTAGTCGAGTATATACTAGCGTACCTAGCGTAACTGATTTTCTTGTCATATGTCCAAATAGTACAGCATAGAACAACATAACAACTATATATGGAAATGTAGGCGACGTATGATAGTTGGGGGTTGGGGGAGAATTATGCACCTGTGATCCAACTTCCCCATATGGAATGCTTTTCAGGATAATTCAGGAAATTCTATGGATCATACGTCGATCAATTTTGTCGGAATAATCTCGTATTGATTAAAGCTCATGACGATATATACTATTAGAGTCTATGAAAGCAATCAATTAGTTGGTATAGTTGAACATGATATACTTGAGATACAGAAGCTACACCAGAAACTACTCTTATCTCATAGAACCAACCTGACTGTCACTATGTGTTTGTATAAGTTGTTGACTTCTTGAAGCTTTGATGTTGGTGCAAGGATGTTCCCGAGATTTTAACCAAGATGCATTAATTTCTTCGAGTAATGTTGAAATAATTGTCCCGAAACTGATGTGTCTAAAAATTAAGTACTTCCCCATGAATTATAATAAGGTTCCGGGGAAAAGAAAAGTATAAATAAGACAAATTTCCTTCATAATTACTTCAATTTCAAAAATGGTTTCATCTATATTAAACATAACAGGGAAAAGATCAATTGATATCATGATTCAATTAAGTCCATTGATTTTATTACCAATTATTACATACCTTTTCCAATCAGTCATGACTTTAAAGGTCGATGAAGAATATAATAGACCACAATTCCATTTAACACCTGAAAAAGGTTGGATGAATGATCCAAATGGTCTTTGGTATGATAGAAAGGATAAAATTTGGCACGCATATTATCAACATCTTCCAAACCAAACAACCCATGGTCCTGTTATCAATTGGGGTCATTCTACTTCAAAAGATTTAATGAAATGGGATGTACATGATGATGCTTTATTTCCAGACAATAAAACAGGTCATGGAATTTTTTCAGGTGCAGTTGTTATTGATAGAAATAATACTTCAGGTTTTTTCAATGATTCATTAGATCCAGAACATAGAATTGTTGCTTTATACACTTTAAATACCCCAACTTCAGAAACTCAAGAACTTGCTTATTCATTAGATGGTGGATATTCATTCATTAAATATGATAAAAATCCAGTTATTGATGTTGATACACCTCAACAACGTGATCCAAAAGTTTTATGGCATGAAGAAACTCAAAAATGGGTTATGCTTGTTGCTAAAACTCAAGAATATAAAGTTGAATTTTGGTCTTCTTCAAATCTAAAGGAATGGGAATTAATCTCAAATTTCACTGGTGGTGTTTTGGGTTTCCAATATGAATGTCCAGGTTTATTTAAATTACCAATTGAAAATGCAAAAGAAGATGGTCCAGACTCTAAATGGGTATTAATTTTAGCAATCAACCCAGGTTCTCCAATTGGTGGTTCTTTTAATCAATATTTTATTGGTGATTTTGATGGTAAAACTTTCACTCCAGATGATCATGCTACAAGAATTCAAGATTTTGGTAAAGATTATTATGCATTCCAAGCATTTGATAATACTGAACCAGAAGATGGTGCTATTGGTATTGCATGGGCTTCAAACTGGCAATATGCAAATTTGGTTCCAACAAAAAAATGGAGACATTCACAATCATTAGCTAGAAAACATACTTTAAGATATGTTGATGTTAATCCAGAAACTAATCAATTAGCTCTTGTTCAAACTCCAGTTTTCGAAACCAAAGAAACTAAAGCTGATCCAAGTTTGAAAAGTTGGGATGTTATCAATGAATATGATTTAGAAGACACAGTTTTAACATCTGAAACTCTTGTTGGTTCAGATTTCAATAGTGAAAGAAATTCATCAGGTGTCTTAGATTTCAATTTAACATTCACAGTTGCTCCAAATGCAACATATGGTTTAAATTTTGGTATTAATATCGATTCCCAAATTGTTGAAGGTACTAAAGAAACTATTCAAGTTGTATTTGATGCACAACAAACAACTTGGTTCATTGATCGTACAACTCAACATAATTTCCAAAGAAAAATTCCATATTTCCAAGAGCGTCTTTCATTATACCATCAATTTGCAAGTTCAGATGCTGAAAAGGGTAATACATATCATGTTTATGGTATTGTTGATAGAAATATTTTGGAATTATATTTCAATAATGGTGAAATTACATCAACAAATACCTTCTTCTTTAGTCAAAATAAAATCCCAAGTAGTATTTCCATTGCTACTGATACAGACGAGGAAATTTTCACTTTAGATTCATTAGTTATTAGAGAATTGGGATTAAAATAACTGATATTTTGAATTATTATACATAGTTACATAATTACTAATTAATATAAATGAAAAAGTTTAAATTTGAAGCTATATATTAATATTGTAGAGCTATTAGTCTGACTACGAAGTACATTGTGGTATTAAACTCAAGTGACTCCAAGGGATAATCATGAACATGCATAACCGTGAAATATATATAAATATATATTTGAACATATTATCTCGAAAATAGTAAAGCATTCATTTGAACGTTTATAGTTAAATGCGATAGTACTAATTATAATGTACGTTATATTGTTCGTTAATCATGACGACGTAGAACATCAACTCAATAACATAACTAGTTGTTACCATTCCATTCCATAAAGATAATTAGATTAAATAATATGTACCATAGCCTAGATCCTAACTTAGATTATAAGGGTTCTTTAAAACGGCACTCTGTTACCTGTGCACATGACGTATAACTGCTCAATACCCGGTCTATGACTCCATGGACCATGGTCCATGAGTACTTATAAATTATAATACTATGTACTGAGTCCTGACTTCTTGACTATATGCGCGCAGTATCCTGAAGGTTTAAAGTCGAGAGTATGTTGTCTAATAACTAGTAAATAGTAAGTTGTAGCAGGAGTACTTATGATTTAGGAGTATACGTTAAAGTCGTACCTTGCGGCTCTAATGTTCTAGTTAAATCTGGGATCTGAATCTGGATTCTAGCATAATTCATAGGCTATTTATGGATACTTTGAGGTACTTTAAGCCCGATTACGAATGCGGAAGTCACAAATTACAACATACTCAACGTCAAGCCAAGGAAGAAAAAGCAGGAAACCCTTCGACCATATTGCTTTTGAAATGGGAATGGGCATTTAAGAGTATGCTACTTAGAACTTAGCCTACTATGTCCATCAGTCAGAATGGAATCGTTTCATTTGGTGTTAATTTTAGACGTATGTCAATGTTTCATGCCGATAATTTAGTTTTCAAGTCGATCGAGATTCGAATGGTTCCTTTTGACAATCAGAAGCTTCATGATCAACATTATCGTTGAGTGATGTTCACTGAGAACGCAGAGAACCCCGATCTATCTCAATTAATCTACGATAGTAATATCCTTGATAGTAACGGCCTACTATATAGAACGTTTTGGACGTGCTATAATATATTAAGATTTCAAAGATGTTTTTCCGATTGCTATGTAAGATTATTTTAGGTGGTGGAGTCTGTAAGTTGTTACGCACTCTTATTGGCGCATTTTGAAGTAGGCAAAGGGGCCCCGTCAAACAACTCCAAAAGTTGCTCAAGGGTCAAGATTCAAGAGTTAAGCTAGTCAAGCACACAGTATTACTAACATTGTATAGCATGTACCTGCTTAAAATATAGAATATAGAGTATCCCTAACAATTTCAAAATCTCAAGCACGGAGAAAAAAAAAATTGGAAAAAGGAAATATTTGCATGTAATAGCTTCAAGAAACTTATAATTTATCTGAATGATCAAGATAGAAAACATTTCACAACTTTAATTAAGTTTTGCTAACCACGTATAGCTAACTGTTCACTACTAGTTTTGAAAAAGCATGTAAGGGTGTTTGATCGAAACTTAAAGTATAACTATGCATGATTTTTTCCGTTAATGCAAAATAAAATACCATAGTTGTTCCGAAAGTGATTAATTACAAACGTTAAATGATACATTATCTTCACTAGAATAAAAAGCATAATGGGCAATGTGCCATGGAAGCTTGGAACCATATTATTCATTCCAAACAAAGTATAAATATAACAGAATTTCCCATAAAAGTTTTACTTCAAAGATGTATCAGTTCAGTATTAATTAATATATCATTTTAAGTTTAGATATCATCATGATTCAGCCAAGTTCGTTGCTTTTGATACCCTTAATAGCATTCTTTCTCCAGTCAGTTAATGCTTTGAAAGTTAATAAAGAATATAATAGACCACAGTTCCATCTAACACCTGAAAAAGGTTGGATGAATGATCCAAATGGTCTTTGGTATGATAGAAAGGATAAGTTATGGCATGCATATTATCAACATAATCCAAATTCAACTGTTTTTGAATCACCAATTAGTTGGGGTCATTCAACTTCAAAAGATTTAATCAAATGGGAATACAAAGGTGTTGCTATTGAAGCTGAAGAAGAATACAAGGATAATCAAGGTATTTACTCAGGTTCAGTTGTTATCGATAGACATAATACTTCAGGTTTTTTCAATAAATCACAAGATCCAGAACAAAGAGTTGTTGCTTTATATACCCTAAATACCCCAACAGCACAAACTCAAGAACTTGCTTATTCAGTTGATGGTGGATTTTCATTCATCAAATATGAAAAGAATCCAATCATTGATGTCCATACTACTCAACAACGTGACCCAAAAGTTTTTTGGCATGAGGGAACTGAAAAATGGATTATGGTACTTGCTAAAGCTCAAGAATATAAAGTTGAAATTTGGTCTTCTCCAAATTTAAAAGATTGGGAATTTGAATCTTTCTTCACTAGTGGTATTTCAGGTTATCAATATGAATGTGCAGGTATATTTGAATTACCTATTGAAAATCCAAAGAGTGATGATCCAGATACAAAGTGGGTTTTAGTCTTAGCTGTTAATCCAGGTGCTCCAATGGGTGGATCTGTCAATCAATATTTCATCGGTGACTTTGATGGTAAAGCATTTTATGCAAATGATCATGTTACAAGAATCCAAGATTATGGTAAAGATTATTATGCATTCCAATCATTTGAAAATACAGATTCAGAAGATGGTGCTATTGGTCTCGCATGGGCTTCAAACTGGCAATATGCAATTGTGGTTCCAGCTACTAACCATAGACATTCACAATCTTTGGCAAGAAAACATACATTGAAATATGTTAATGTCAATCCTGAGAACAATCAATTGGTTCTTGTTCAAACTCCAGTTCTTGAAACTAAAGAAACCAAGAAAAACTCAAGCTTGAAAAGTTGGGAAGTTATCAATCAATATGACCTAGAAGATACCAACTTAACATCTGAAACTTTTGTTGCTACTGATTTCAATAGTGAAAGAAATTCATCAGGTGTTTTAGATTTCAACTTAACTTTCACAGTTGCTCCAGAATCTGCAGATTATTTTGTTATTAACATCAATTCACAAATTGTTCAAGGTACACAAGAAACTATTCAAGCTACATTTGATCCACAACAAACAACTTGGTTCATTGATCGTTCTACTCAAAATGATTTCCAAAGAAAAACTCCATATTACCAAGAACGTTCATCTGTATATCATCAATATGCAAGTAAGGATGATGATGACATTAAAACCTATCATGTTTATGGTATTGTTGATAGAAATATTTTGGAATTATACTTCAATAATGGTGAAATGACTGCTACAAATACCTTCTTCTTTAGCCAAAATAAAATTCCAAGTAGTATTTCTATTGCTACTGATACTGAAGAGGAGGTTTTTACTATTGAATCATTAACCATTAGGGAATTGGGATTTAAATGTGGTTGCGAGAAATAATAAGGTAATAAGGTAATATGTATTATAGATTATAAATAAATATTGAATTGAAAGGTATAATTGATAATGTACTTGTAAGTTTAGTAGTCAAAGCGAGATCAAATTACTTTTTATTTCCACATTCGGAAGTCAAACAAAACGCGATAACGCGATCAAACCGTTGAACTTTATTAAATTTGATGCATTTTTCATTCTTCCGTTTCCTCTCCACTATATATTATATTGGACTCAATTGGTGGCTGTATCCTCCATCTCACTTCAAAATCGCCTATCGCATATCAAATATGAAACCGGCTACAGTGTTAGACCTACCAGATGAGGTGTTCATAAAAATTCTTCAAGATGTTTCACCAACAGATATTAACAATTTATACACCATAAAGGAAGTCTCTGACAGACTTCGAGATTTTGTCACCTTGACCAAAGATTCTGAAAATGTCAAATTCTTCACTAATGTTCCTAAGCAATCACATGTTATGATTGATTATAATGATTCTGATTGTGCAAGGGCTGGGCTACTTGAACTATTTGAAATATCAGATATAGTTAAGTTTTACGATAATAGACACCTCTATGAGGATAATGAATTCAGAATTCTGGTGATTACAGATGACATGTCAGAGATGAGAGAAAGCTTATTTGGGTCGAAGCCACCAAATAAACCAATGATCATGGATAAATTGGTTAAAATGAGTGGAGAAAGGAAAAATAAGTTGTTCAAGGTCCTTGCATACCCAGATTTTAATGATGTTTTAATAATAAAGAAGAAAGCTCTTTATCCCAATCGTTTTCATTTACCAGATACTAAAGCATTAGTATTCAAAGATTGTGCAAATAATAATGAGTCATTAAAATTCTGGGATAGGGATTTCGATGGTTTAAGCTTCGTTGGTGAGAGTTCTAGCTCGCTAATTAAATCGTTTGATTTAAGAACGGCATTAGCCGATTTGAAGCTTGAGAATGTTAGTATTGATTTTGAGCTTAACGATAAGGTTTTATCCCCTACATTAAAACTTCTTAAAGTTATATCAAAAAATGATGTGATCATAGATGGTAATAATCTGGAGTTTAATGATTTAAGATTTTTGGAAATCAAAAGTGAAGAAAATATCATTATCAACAATTTGAATTCCACCACTTTGTTTCATGCAAGTATTATCAGTACCAATGGATCTATAACTTTTCAAGATGCTAAATTACCAAAGCTTCAATATATTGAGATACAATCGAAAACTTTCCCTGTTATCACTAATGTCAGTTGTCCAGAATTGAAACATATACATACCGGTATCAATGATATTGATTCATCCAATGACTTCTCATTTTTCAAAAAGGTCACCAGCTTATCAATTACAAAGAAACCAGTTTCGTTTTTGCAGTTTATTGATACAGATACACTTAAGTTTTTGAAGGTGAAGTTCGCTCATAGATCTCAACATCAATTATGTCGGTTCAGCTTTCAACGCCTGGAAGCATTAGATATTTATTTGTCGGGATATTTTGAATCAATTCCTGGGCTCAAAGCTCCTTCATTGAAGTCACTAAAAGTTAAAGCGGAAAAATTGGTTGACATGGGTGAAGTCACTCATTATTTGTATCCACAACTGGAAGAACTTACTTTAGATCTTGTATATCAAGTGGAGTTCAGTATATCTGATTTTTCTCATGATAGTCTAAAGAGGCTTCAAATAAACACAGGAAAAGGTCCATTAGAGCTAACTGAGGCAGAGTTTAAAAATTTGGAACTTTTGGTGATAAACAACCCAGAGGGAGACCATAATCCTACAAGTTTGGAATTTGATATAGCTGCTCCCAATCTGATTCATTTAGAGCTGAATTATGTTGAAATAGATACTTTAATTCTTGAAGATTTCCAGAAATTGAAATATCTTCGCATAACAGACGTTCAAAACTTGGTCGGTAGAAACCTTGACTCTTTGATAAAATTAGATTCAATATGTGATGGACTTAAGAGTTTTGTCGTCAGAGCACCAAATTTAAGGTTCTGCGATTCCCAACCGTATCTTGAAAATGAAGATGAAGATGGTGAGTTTGAATTCATACATGGTCTTAGATTGACTTCAGAACAGAAAAAAGACAAATTTAAAGACAAATACAATCCTTCTCTTGAGAAAGAACCAGAAATTTCACCTTATGAAGAGTACTCTGGTCTAACTTATTTTGCTAAACTGGGAGAGTCATTTATACCAACTTTGATGGATCGAGACAAGGAAAGAGATTATTACCCGAGAATATTTGTCAATTATGATCAAAGTGATAAATTAGAATATATGATAAATGGTAATTTTAGAAGATTTGATGACCCAATTGATAAACCAAGAAAGAAATCTGAAGAGGATGATAATAAATTGGATCCGTGGTTGCAAGATATTATGGACTCGATCGACTTTGAAAAATATAAATAAAGATGGAGCTAAAGAGTCGTTTTGAAAAGATATATAATATTAGTCGATCAGGAGAAGTATACAAATATAAATCAAGCATATGTTAATCGATAGAATTAGGAAACAGGAAACAGAATTACAGCGACCTACAGATTCAGAGACTGCTATTTCATGAATACCGTATAACTCGTGTATTCTTTTTGTAGAGTACTTATATTCGTGTACTTTCTGACTTCTACTTTCTTCATGAGTTATGACAAGTTAGTCTAGGACTCATAGTCTCTCGCTACCTGGGATAAAGCGACTTTTTATTTCCACATTCGGAAGTCTAGGTTCTACGAGCGAAACGGGATACTAACGAGACAATGAACTTTAAAAATTAATACCTTTCTTTCCCTCTTCACTATAATATTTTCCCTCAATTCAAAATCACCAATCAAATGAAAAAGGTTACAGTGACAGACCTACCAGATGAGGTGTTTATAAAAATTCTTCAAAATGTTTCACCAACAGATATTAACAATTTGTATGCTATAAAGGAAGTCTCTGACAAACTTCAAGACTTTGTCACCTTGACCAAAGATTCCGAAGAGATCAAATTCTTTACTAATGTTCCTAAGAAATCACATGTTATGATTGATTACAATTATTTTGACCATGCAAGAACCGGTTTGCTTGAACTATTTGAAATATCAGATATAGTAAAGTTTTACGATAATAGACATGTCTACGAGGACAATGAGTTAAGAATGCTGGTAATTACAGGTAATATGCCTTTAACTTCACCCTTTGGCTTTATGGAACAGGAAAGAAAATCGGCAATTTTCGATAAATTGATTGAATTGAGTGGAAAAAGAGAAAATAACTTGTTCAAGGTTCTTGGGTATACAGGTACAGCAGATGTCATAACATTTAACCAAAAATCTCTTTATCCCAATCGAATTCACATACCAGGTGCTAAAGCACTAGTTTTCACAAATTGCACAAGTACTGACGAGTCATTAAAAGCTTGGGCAAAGGATTTCGATGGGCTACATTTTATTGGAGAGAGTTCTAGATCAATTATCAAATCATTTGATTTAAGAACGGCATTGGCTGACTTGAGGATTGAGCGTGTTAATATTGATTTCGAGCTTAATGATAAACTTTTATCTCCTACATTGAAACGTATCAAAGTTATTTCAGATAGAGACGTTGTAATAGATGGTAATAATCTAGAATTTAATGATTTAAGATTTTTAGAAATCAAAAGTGAAGAAAATATCATTATCAAGAATTTGAATTCCACCACTTTGTTTCATGCAAGTCTTATCAGTACCTATGGATCCATAACCTTTCAAAATGCTGAATTACCAAAGCTTCAATATGTTGAGATACAATCGGAAACGTTTCCTGTCATTTCTAATGTCAATTGCCCAGAATTGAAACATATACATACTGGTATCAATGATATTGATTCATCCAATGACTTTTCATTTTTCCAGAAAGCCACTAGTTTATCAATTGCAACGAATCAGCCTGTTTCTTTTTTGCGGTTTATCAATACAGATACATTGAAGTTTTTGAAGGTGAACTTCGTTGATGATACCCAACACGAATTGTACTCGATGAGTTTTCAGAACTTAGAAGGATTAGACATCTATTTGTCGGAATACTTCGACGAATTTGTCCCTACTCTCAATGCTCCTTCATTGAAGTCCCTTAAAATTAAAGCGGAAAAATTACATGAATTTGGGGGTATTGAAGAAGATTCGTATCCACAATTGGAGGAACTAACTTTAGATTTGGTACATCGTCAGGTGTTCTATATGGAAGATTTTTATCATCACAAGTTAAAAAGGCTTCAAATAACTGGAAGAGGTTTCCTGAGGGTACTGTATGTATGGTTCAAAAACTTGGAACTTTTGGTAATCAACAACAGTGATGGAGATTTTGATTTTACTCGGCTGGAATTGGATGTAAATGCACCCAATCTGATTCATTTAGAATTGAACTATGTCCAAGTGGAATCTTTAACTCTTGAAGATTTCCGGAAATTGAAGTATCTTCGTATAACAGATGTTCGGAATTTGGTTGGTAGAAACCTTGACTCTTTGATAAAATTAGATTCAATATGTGATGGACTTAAAAGTTTTGTTGTCAGAGCACCAAATTTAAGGTTCTGCAATTCCCAACCGTATCTTGAAGATGAAGATGGTGAGTTTGAATTCATACATGGTCTTAGATTGACTTCAGAGCAGAAAAAAGACAAATTTAAAGACAAATACAATCCTTCTCTTGAGAAAGAACCAAAAATTTCACCTTATGAAGAATATATCGGTAAGACTTATTTCATCAAACTGGGCGAATCATTTATATCAACTTTGATGGATCGAGAACAGGAAAGAGACTATCACCCAAGAATATTCGTCAATCATCAAAGTGATAAGTTAGAATATAAAATAGATGGTAATTTTAGAAGATTTGATGACCCAATTGATAACCCAAGAAAGAGAGTTGAAAATTATAATATTATTGATAAACCAAGAAAGAAAGTTGAAAATAATCGTATTAACCCAGATCCGACGCATCAACTTCTTATGCGTTTTGTTCAAGATTTTGATGATGATTTTGATGATGAAGATTATTATTAGTTGATCAGTAGAAGCTTACAAGTACAAACTGAGAATCACAATCGGTATAGAGAAGCATAAATACCTGTATATTCCATTTGAGTGGATAGTTTGCTCTTTCATATATGGATAATGTATCACTCATGTGTCCTGTATACTGTATCTTTATGACTGTGTTCTTAGATCAGTTATTGTATTTTTTAATGAATTAATCAATACCATTCTGTTTCAGCGAAAATATATAAATTCATCATATCTTTATACTTGCTATATCAATATATTAACTACATAAGTTGTGTATAAAAACAACGATTAAGTTTCATAAACATACAAAATATCAATTATTGATTTGAATTATACAAAAAATAAACATTACTTGTTAACTAATAAAGTTCATCAAGAACTTCATTGATTCTTAACAGTTTAGTACTTTAATCACAATAGATTTGAAATCAATTTAAAGATAAATGGAGCTGATAAACTGTTTGAAGAACCTTCATAAGTTGAAATAGCCGGAGTTAATGAAGCAGCTGAAGTGGATGATGAGGATGATGAGGATGATAGAGCTGAAGATGATTTTGGTGCTAATGAAGGATTAGCAGTTGATGATGATGATGAACCTTCAATGGATGGTTTTGATTCAGTTGATTCTTTTGGTGATTCTTTTGATGATTCTGAAGCTGGTGATGATGATTCAGTGGTTGATGAAACTGTTGTTTTACTTTCAACGTTTGATTGTGATTCTGAGCCAGCTGGAGTATCAGATGGTAATGATGTGGTTGAAGATCCAGTTTCAACTGGTGAATTTGATGATGATGGTATAGAACCTTCTGAAGAAGCACTAGATGCAGAGCCAGAAGCAGAACCAGAAGTGGTTGAAATGATTGAAGATAATGAAGTAGATGGTGGGGTAGCAGATTCTGTGGTTGATGGTTCAATAGTGGTAATAATTTCTGAACATTTGTTGTCAGAACATGAAGTAATGGTTTTCAAAACAGTATGATTTTCAGATTCAATTGCAGTTGATGTAACATTTTTCAAATTTTTATAAGCACAAGAAACACAAGTAGCTGAAGAAATTGATGAGTATGATGAACTATAAATGGTTGTTTGACCATCTGAGACAGATGAACTGACTTGAGATGAATTCAATGATGAGTTGTTATCGACTTGTTTTTCAATAGGTGTTGTTGGATTGATTGATGATGAGGAAACTGAAGAGGAAACTGAAGATGGGATGCTTGAACTGGCTAATGATGAGCTTGGCGTGGTAAGCCTCGCTGAAGAGCCAGATGATGATGAGACATCAGCAGATGAAGAAGCAGTAGCACTTGAAGCAGAGCTTGATAAAGTGGTGGTGGAATCACATGAATCAGTGGCAAAAGTACCATAATAAGTGCCAGTTGCGGTGAATGCTGAATAACTTAATGAAGTAGTTGAAGGTTGATTGAATGAATTGTCATCTGATCTAAGGTTATCAAAATCTCCGTAATCTGGAGCATTAACAGCATCTGGAACATCACCTGTAATTTCAATGATATCTTCACTGTCACTTTGTTTACCTTGAGCAATAGAAACTTCAGTGTTTTCTCCATCCCACACGACAAACATATCTTTCAAGAAAGCTGCACCAAGAGTAAGAAGGCTTGTGTCATTACCTGTATTAATCATATAGGATGTACATAACTGATCACCATCTTGATCTAAAACCTTTTGACCGTTACTAGTAAGTGGAAGAATTTGACTTCTAGCGGACCAAGTTACTTTTTTTCCTTGTAAATCAAGAACAAGTGGTTTAGCATTTTGACATTTGAAAGCATAGAAACTATCGTCATAATCATTAGGACCTTTGTATACTGAAGAATCAACCACTGCACCGCCATATAACTGGTTAAGTCTATGATAGATAACATCTGGGAATGCAGCACCAAAACCAGCACCTGTATCAAGTTGGTAAATATAACCATTTCCGTTTAAAGTACCACATTCAGTTGATAGACCATTTAATGCGACCTTATAATTATATGCATCATTTGAGGTAAGTTTCTGTAATTGACCAGAATAACGCTCTTTGTCTAAACCACCAAAAAGTAAAACAGCCTTATCTGTTTTTTCTGAATAGTATGAGGAGAAAACTTTTCTTTTTATCAAGCTTTGATCAGTCATATAGTTCAATAGAATAGGAGCACCTTCGTTGATAGGATCAGGACCTATACCGAATGTATTAAGTTCTGAAGTTGAGGACTCTATCAAATTAAATTTGAAATCATGAAGATTGGCACCAGCAATAGTCACATTATCAGTAAAATAATGACCATCACCTGTAGAACCATCAGCAAATCCGACGGTTGGATATCTTTTTGTTGTATTATCTGAAGTTGAAGATTTGGATGGATCATATTCACCTTTAGTACATGAATTTTTATCACAATATTCATTACCTGACCACATAACACCTAAAGTATATGAACCGGTATCAAAAATAGCATGGATTTCTTGACCAGGGGTACCAACGTCAAATGAGCCTTCAAAGATATTTGAAAGACCTGTTAACTTGTGGGTTTCATTTAATGATCTTTTCTCAAGAGATTTAGCTCCCAAATCAAACTTGAGAACTTTAGCAGAAACACTTGATGCCAATAGTAATAAAGTTGCAGGGTTCAATAACATTATTGATTGATTGTTATAGCAAATGTACTATAGTTAAAGAAAAGAAGGTTTGAAACTTTAAGCTTTTGGAAAGTAATTGAGGATATTATCTTTCTTTATATCTTTCCATAAAATAAAATCAGTCAACTGTGCATCAAAACAACATTTTATGCACAACAAGGTTTCTTTGAGAGATGAAACACTGGTTTATTTTTGCAGAACTGCAGTGTTTCCAGGTGAGATCTAAAGATTTTCTCGAGAAATCATAACAAAGTACGAGAGATCTGTCTATCCATATTCAACTTAACCAGTACATTCCATAGTCCAATTTCCTCGAGGAATTTGAATATTCACCTTATAACTTTCAATTCTATACCAGCAACTGGTCAAATAGAGCTTCAATACCACCAGATATACCCTCTGCAACTATCATCAAACCTCATTTAGTAGTACTTTTATTTGTTGTTGGGTATCCCATTGTGCTATCCCTTTTCGGTAACTTTACTCTGAACCAAACAATACCTCCCAAAATCACCGCACAATCCGTCAAAGATCAACCCGTCAAAACAGCCATCAGAATTGCCTTAAACAGCGTCATCAATAAAAGCTGCGATGCCTCTCTTTCTGTTTACCATTTCCCTTTCCAGTCGAGTACCAGCTCATTTTGTATCGATTTCTGGTTTTGGAATCAAATGGTTTAAATTGGTTTTTTTGTTTTGATTTTAAAATATTTTGACACTTTCAATTTGGAATTTGAAAGCTTTAGGCAGAGGCAGTTTGATGTTTAGGCTGACTGGCGGCTAATCTCCCTGCCTAGCTGTCTTTCAATTCGGTGGCGCTCTGCCTAACTTTTATGGCACCGCGAAATTCACGCTTTTTCAAAAAAAAATAATAAACGCGAAATTTTTGACGCGTAGAAACCAAATAAACAAATAAACCAGAAACAATAAAGTATACATATTAGTCTTCTCTAAAAGATCAAGACAAAGACAAAGGGAAAAAGCACAATGTCCAGTCAGTCGACTCCAATCCGTCGTTCTCAGCGTATCAAGGAGGTACAAAGCTCTCAGCCGGTTATCGATGATGAAGAAATTGAAGATTCAGCTTATGAAGATCAAGATGAAAGTTATGGAGAAACAACGCCTAAAAAGAGGAAAAGAACTACAAAAGGCCCTGGGAAACCTGCTAATTCATCCAAAAAGTCTAAGCGGAATCCAGAAGATGTTTTGGCTGAAATGAGGGAGAATTTTGAAGAACATTATATTTTCCAGGCATTAAATGATTCAGAAGCTTCAATATCAGAATTGGCTAATGATTGGCTTGAACAATACAAAAGTAATAAAGATTTGGCTAAAAAGGATTTGGTGAATTTGATTTTGAACGTCGTTGGTTGTTATACTACAATTGAAGAACATGATGTTGCTAATAATGAAAGTGCTTCTGAAACTGTTTCTGAAATTCAAACATTCTTTAAACGTCAATTAAATCATGAATTTTATCTTGTCTCTAAAAAACCAGAATATGCAAATTTGAAAAGAAATCTTGTTGATTTTGCTAATCATCTTATAAGTATTAGTGAAGAAAATGGTTTATTATATGAAAATATTGTCATTAGTGAAGATGATGAAGAAGTTGAAGAACCAGAAGATTCAAATTTAATGGAAGATTTACTTATATGGTTATCATCATTCTCCGTTTCTTATATTAGATCGTTGAGATATGTATCAACTTTATTACTATTGAATATTGAAAGTTCATTATGTCAAAGTATTGTAAAAGTTAATACATCACTTGAAAAATTTAAACATCAATTAGAAAAAGAACAAGAAAAAAGAACTAAAAAGCAAAATAAGGCTCTTGAGAAAAGAATTACACAAATGGAATCAAATGTTAATCAATATACTAATCAGTCATTAATCTTGGATAATTTCATTCAGGATATCTTGAATACAACATTCATTCATAGATTTAAAGATATTGATTACCAAATCAGAGTTGAAGCTATGTCATCATTAGGTGATTGGATGGATTTATATCCAGAATTGTTTTTCAAAGTTACATATTTAAAATATTTGGGTTGGGTTTTATCAGATGAAAATCAACATGTTAGATTACAAGTTATTAAAACTCTTATTAAATTATTGAAAAAAAACATTATAGTAACTGGATTAAGACAATTTTTTGAAAGATTCAAAAATAGAATTATTGAAATTGCATTCCATGATGTCGATAGAAATGTTAAAACTAATGCTATTAACTTATTAAATGAAATCAATAAGATTGGATTTTTGGAAGATGAAGAAATAGGCCAAATTACTTCATTAATTTTCACATCAAAAGATCCAAAAATTATAAAATTAGTTTCAAAATTCATAAATACTGTGGAATCTGAAAATACAAAAGCAACTTTAGATGCACTTACTGTTAATATCAAGACAAGTGAAAATTCTTTCCCACTTGATTTGAAAGAAGTTATCAAGATTCATAATTTAATTGAAATTTTAACAGTTGCTAGTGATGCTGAAAATCAAATTGATGAACAAGAAAACCAACTTGTTCAATCTAATAAATTAAAACCTTCACCTTTTGCTATTGCTGGTAAGGAATTATTTGCATTACCAGCTTATTCTGATCATTGGGAATTTTTGATAAGATACTTTTTATTAGATATAGATTCAACTGACCTGGTTGATGATGAATTATCCAAAGCTATAACTTTAACAGCTGAACAAGAAACTGTTTTATTTGGTGTGATACATGGTGCTTTAATCCATTTGAAAGAAACTAATGAAGAATTAAAGAAAAAAAATAAAGAAGTTGATGATTCTCAATTACAAAAATTAATTACACATTTACCTTTATTATTGAAAAAAGTTCATAATGAAGAACAAAATTTATCAACATTTATTCAAATCCTTTTACTTTATCCAGTTGAATTTTTTGAAAATTTTAATCAATCAAATACTTATAAAACTATATTTCAACAATTAATTAAACAATTTAAAAATAATTCAGTTGATGGTTTACAAAATGAATTTAAAGAAATTTTCAAAGTCTTGGAAAATACGTTTGGTTCAACTACAGTTGATGAAATCAATTCATTATTTAAAGATTTAGTAACAGAATTAATCATTGAATTTGAAAATTATGTTAAAGATCCATCTTTTGAATTATCCAAGACTTCTATTGAAACTTTACATGAAGATTTTGTATTAAAATTATTATTATTAAGTCTTAAATATGATACAAGTGATGTTTTCAAAACTTTTGAATATATTAGAAGTAAAGTTTTCACTATATTCCCAGATTTTAAAATTGAATCAATTTCATCAGAAACTGCAACTTCATTAATTGAATTATATCTTACTGCAACTTCATATAAATTAAATTATTTGATACATACACAAGAAGAACTTGATATTGAAAAAGAATTAAAAGAAATTCCAGATATAATTCAAGAATATCAATATTTATTAAATCATGTACCAGCTTCTGATTTCCAAACTAAAGTTGTCTTTGCCTTAACAAGTCTTTTAACATTATTGAAAAACTTCTTTGTTGATCCAAATCCAGCATTACTTAATGTTAATAGATTTCATGATATTGATTTAGCTTCATTAGCAATTTCAGAGGAAACAACAAAAGTTATTTTAAATCTTTTCTTAACAAAAGAAGCATATTTCGCTAATTTAGTTGATATTGATTTAGAAAGAGATGATGATGAAGATGTTAATTTCAATTCTATTAAAGTTGATACTAGTGATTTAGATGATCAAGAATTAACACAAAGAGAATTTGAAGTTGATCTTGATCTTTCTTTATATAGTGCAAAATTATTAGATTTTGGTGAAACTGGATTATTAGATAGAAAAGTTTTGAATAGAATTAAGTTAAACAAGGAAAGTTTAAGTGAATTATTTGAAAGTGTTGTGGAAAGATATGAACAAAAGAAAACAACTAATGGTGATTCTATTGTTACACCTCAACCTCAACAACAACCTACACAACAACAATCAAAATCAAAATCTGCTTCTTCAAATAGAAAATCCATTGCTAAATTACCAAGTACTCAAGAAGAAGAAGTTGAAGATGAAGAAGATAGTGTTCCAGAAATCGCTATGGATGATTAAAGGTTGTTTTTAATTATATAATGTATAAAACTATAATGTATTAATGGCTATTTGATTTTACTACAATTTTTATGTACCCAAAATAATTAAAACATAAATAATTACCTCTATAAATTATTCTATAATATGATTAATCTATAATTATAATTTCTAAAAACATTAAAATATATATGAAAAAAAAAAAATTTGATATCTCTAATTAATTTTTTTCTATAAAATGAAAAATGACAATGAATTAACAAAGCAAAGAAAACTTAACACAAATTGTTCATAAAGTTTAATCAACTTCTTCAACAGTTGGACCTTCATTTTCTGGAGCTGGTGGAGCACCACCTGGGAAACCACCTGGAGCGGCACCACCTGGAGCACCACCGTTTTCTTGGTAGAATTTAGTTAAGATTGGGTTAGCAACTGATTCTAATTCTTTTTGTTTGTCAGTGTATTCATCAACAGCACCAGATTGGTTTTCATCTAACCATGAGATGGTTGATTCAATAGCTTCAGTTAATTGTTTCTTTTCATCTTCTGAAACTTTTGAAGTGAAAGCTTCTTCACTGGTGGTGTTTTTCAATGAGAAAGCATATGATTCTAAACCATTCTTAGCACCAATTCTAGCAGCTTCTTTTTCATCTTCTTCTTTGTATTTTTCAGCTTCTGAAACCATACGTTCAATATCTTCTTTTGATAATCTACCTTTATCGTTGGTAATAGTAATTTTTTGAGTTTTACCAGTACCTTTTTCTAAAGCAGAAACATTCAAGATACCATTAGCATCAACATCAAAAGTAACTTCGATTTGTGGAACACCTCTTGGAGCTGGTGGAATACCTGATAATTCGAATTTACCTAATAAGTTGTTATCTTTAGTTCTAGCTCTTTCACCTTCGAAAACTTGAATTAAGACACCTGGTTGGTTATCAGCATAAGTTGAGAAAGTTTCAGATTTTTTAGTTGGGATAGTTGAATTTCTTGGAATCAATTTAGTCATGACACCACCAGCAGTTTCAATACCTAATGATAATGGAGCAACATCTAATAATAATAAATCTTGAGTTTTTGATGATTGATCACCAGTTAAGATAGCAGCTTGAACAGCAGCACCGTAAGCAACAGCTTCATCTGGGTTAATTGATCTGTTTGGTTCTTTACCGTTGAAGAATTCAGAAACTAATTTTTGAACTTTTGGAATACGAGTTGAACCACCAACTAAAACAATTTCATCAACTTTTGATTTATCTAATGAAGCATCTCTTAAAACTTTTTCAACTGGATCAATAGTTGATCTGAATAAAGTAGCACATAATTCTTCAAATCTAGCTCTAGTAATTGAAGTGTAGAAATCAATACCTTCGAATAAAGAATCAATTTCAATTGAAGTTTGAGCTGATGATGATAAAGTACGTTTAGCACGTTCACAAGCAGTTCTTAATCTTCTTAATGATCTTTGGTTACCAGAGATATCTTTTTTGTTTTTACGTTTGAATTCAGCAACGAAATGTTCAACTAATTTATGATCGAAATCTTCACCACCTAAATGAGTATCACCAGCAGTAGCTTTAACTTCAAAGATACCATCTTCAATAGCTAATAATGAAACATCAAAAGTACCACCACCTAAATCGAAAATTAAAACATTTTTTTCACCTTCATCTTTTTTATCTAAACCGTAAGCAATAGCAGCGGCAGTTGGTTCATTAATGATACGTAAGACGTTTAAACCAGCAATTAAACCAGCATCTTTGGTAGCTTGTCTTTGAGAATCATTGAAATAAGCTGGAACAGTAACAACAGCATCGTTAACTTGAGTACCTAAGAAAGATTCAGCAGTTTCTTTCATTTTAGTTAAAATCATTGATGAGATTTCTTCTGGAGTGAAAACTTTAGTTTCACCTTTGAATTCAACTTGAATTTTTGGTAAATCAGCATCTTTAATAACTTTGAATGGGAAATGTTTAGCATCATTTTGAACTTCTGGATCTTCAAATTTTCTACCAATTAAACGTTTAGCATCGAAAATAGTGTTAGCTGGGTTCATAGCAGCTTGATTTTTAGCAGCATCACCAATTAATCTTTCGGTATCAGTGAAACCAACGAAAGATGGGGTGGTTCTGTTACCTTGATCATTAGCAATAATTTCAACACGATCGTTTGAAAAGTGAGCGACACAAGAATAGGTAGTACCTAAATCAATACTATAGAGAATGTTAGTATATTGGTTCTGATAACTAATTGACACTTTGATAATTGAGGATAACCATTATTTCCACTCAATTGATTACTAAATAACCACATCACCATGGTTCATCACCAACAAACCCGGATCTCCAAACCCATTATCCATCAATTATCTTCCATGTCAATGCCATTGTCATTAATCAACTTACCCAACAGCTTTACTCATTTTGTTATAATAATTATCTGTAAATAGATTGATATATTATTTGAAAAAACAAAAATTGTAGAAGTTTATAAAAACTGAAATTCAAGCTTATTATAAATTTTTTGAAAACGTCGACCTTTAAAAAAAAATACACAGCGATTTAATTTTTTTTCATTCTAGAAAATTCCACTGATTAAATTTTTGAATTTTTTGGATTTTTCAGATTTTCAGAATTTTTGAAGAATTTACTAGAAAATAATGATTACGTCATGATTAGGTAATTGTTGATTGATTATGTCAGAGATTAGTCATTTATATAGTCGGTTAAATAAAAGGGTTTAAAACGGTTAAATTAAAATAGTAAGTATAATGGTTATCTACATTCAATTATCACAATATCACAATATCATACTCAATTACATAGTATACATCTGTTTAATATATATATAAAAAGAATGGTTCATATATCAGTGATTATATCCATCACCAATCTTATTTAGTTTTATCGGTTTTTTCTTCAACTTCATGAACTAAAGAAAAAGAACCCAATTGTTTAATAAAAGATTTCAAATTACCCCATTGAGCTTTAACAACTGGTGGAATATTTTGAGCACTAACAATACCATCAATTCTAACTTCCCAGTTTTTTAAAGTATTTCTTGTAAAGATTGATCTTTCAGTTTTAACTTTAATGAAAATTGAATATAAAATTAAAGAAATCCATGAACCTTTATACCAAAAAATTGATTGTAAAACCAAAAAAATAAATAATAATAATTCAAAAGTTGAAGCTAATCTTCTTGATAAATCATGATATTGTTTAGCAAAATTTGAAACTTTTAAAGAAATTGAATTTGGTGCATTTATTGCTGGTAAAATTTGAGTTGAACTAAAGCTCAAGACATGGAAAAATGAAAAAATATAAAAAGGTGCAGTAGCAAGACTTTGTTTTGGTAAAATTAACCAAATAAATGCATCATATAAATAATGAGAATTATCATCTGAAAGTAGCGCACCATAAATAATTGAACCAGTTTTACTTTGATATTGACCTAAACTTTCATAAGTAACAATACCAAATGAAGCTAAAGCATTAATAAAAATTAATCTATACCAAGTTTTATTTAACCAACCACCAGATTTCCATGAAAATAAGAATAAAATTGTATTTAAAACAACAAAGAAATTTGCGAAAAACCATGCACTTCTTGGATATGAAGACTATAAATTCATGTTAGTTATCATGTCCAAAACAATCAGTGATTGTTCTAACTTACTTTAAATACTTTCAATAAGTTTTCCACTGGTGAACCTTTTGATTGAGTAGTGGAATTGGTTCCAGTTGATCCAGTTGTGGAACTAGTTGATCCAATTGGTTTTTCTTCTGGTGGGATAGCTTGAGCCATTGTTCTTTGATTTATAGTTTATTGAATTGTCAAAAAAAGAATTGAATTAAATACAAATGAAGATAAGGATTGATTTATATACTCTTGTGATTGCTGATTCCTGACACAAATTTCAACTTTTCGATTGTGGATTTGGGATTTGCTTTTGACGGAAACGGAAGTGGTTACGCAGTGAATGGTGGTGATATTTTGACTACTATGCAATTGTTATCAAGAAGACTTCATTTACTATTCAATTGTTATCAACTAGTTATCAATGGAATCTTGCTTGTCTCTTGTGTTGAATGTGTTGAATTGTTTTAGGGCTTCTTGAAATGCTTGTCACATGATGTTGTGTTTTTATAATTTTTGGTGATGTTTTCCAATTTGTTTTGTTTTGATCTCAGCGGTTAATCATAAAAGAAAATGAATTGGATTGAATTTTTGAATTCCAATCTTCTTCTTTTTCGTTTTTTGTTCATGATGGTGGTAGTGAAGCTTTCAGGATACTTGAATTAGGTTGCCGCTGTGGTTTATTGGAAAGAAATGGTAAAGATGAGGTTGAAATTCCATTTGTTTTGGTGGATTTGGTTATGTCAAGTTGTTATTTCTCAATCATTTGAAGATATATTCAATGATCTTCTTCCCGAAAGGCTTAAGGATCAATACGAAGTTGGTATTCAATCAAGACTATTTGCAAATAGATACCATACTGTGGAGGAATTGGTGATTAATTTAGTTGGTGATCCTCATTATATCAACACTTTTGATTTTAATAAACCTCATAATATGGCTTTAGATGATTATACCCCAAGTGAAACTAAGTCAATGATTGAATTAACAAATGAATTAGAATTTGGAATGTATGCTGAATTATTAGATGTATATCAAAGATTTTATAAAGTTTATGATATACTTGGTGATATGACTGTGGAAGATTTCATTGCAGTTTATGATAATGTTTATGGTGATCAATTACCAGAGGAGGTTATAGAAGGGTTAAGTGCTGGTCTTGAAGATGATTGGTTATTCAAAAACATGTTTGAATTTAATAATGGATTTGATTTAAATAACTTTACTTCACAACCTTTCATTCCATTTGTTGATTTAGATGATTATGTTGAGCCTGATCAAGATTCAGATTCAATTGATGCACAAATCTTCCTTTCATTATTTAAAATTCCTGTGTTTATTGCCAAATTAATTGCCAAAATCATATGGTATTTAATCAAATTAAAGAAATATTTAGAACTTTTAGAAACCAAAATTGTCCTTTATATTATTAAACTTATTAAGTTAGCAATGAAAATTATTAGAAAGATTAAAAGAAGAATTATATGGTTATTGAAAAATATATTAAATTTATATATTCCTTATAGAATTGCAAAGAAAATTTTAGCAATTATTCATCTTATTATAAAATATTTAAGAATTTTATGTTGGGAATTTCAAGATATCTTGTATAGATATCAATGGAAATTAATATTTGCTATAAAACATGCAGAAAAGAAATTTTTATTATGGGCATTGTTTTTCAAAGAATGTATTTATGGGAAATTAGATAAACCATCAAAAGAAGAATTATTATATAAAGATTTTGTTGATGCAGATGATGATTATTATGATTGGGATGATTATGATTATTTTAAAGAATTTTCACATTATATTTATAATCCAACTTATAAAACAAAAGATGAAGAATTACAAAAAGTTATAGATTATTTAAAAGATTCTGATGAAAATGATTATTTTGATCAAGATGATGATGATGATGATGATGATCGTGAAGATGATGATGATTATACATTTGATTTAAAAGAAGAATTTGGTTTTGATACAGTTCGATTAAATCTTGGTAAAAATGTTTATTTTAAAAGTAAATCTAAAAATAAGAATTCTTATTGAACAAAACATTAATTATTTCTTTGATTTTTTATTTTTATCATTAGCTATTTGACCAGGTTTAGATTTTCTTTTCTTAACAATAGAAGTTAAATCATTAATAGGTTGATTATTCGTACTTGATGTAGATGATGAATTTTGTTTAGAATCAGTTGAAGTAACTTCCCCCAGGATACCTTTAATAATATCATTTTTTTGTTGATCAAAAGCTTCATTTGGATCTTTTTGTAAATCATCTAATCTTGATTCTAATTCTTTAATTAAATCTAAATCTTTATCTTCATTTTTTTGATTTGATTGTTTTAATTTAATACTTTCAATAGCTTTAGTTAAATGATTTATAGCCTTGATTTTAGATTCAGAATCATTAAAATTAAATTCTAAAGCTAATGATAATTTATAATGAGCTTCACTTATTAATTCAGATTCAAATGGGAATAATTCTTCTCTAATGGTTAATAATGATTCAAAATCTTCAGATGCTTGTTTAAAATTTTCAGTTTCTAATGAAATTTCACCTAATAAGTCATGAATATCTGATAATTTAATCTTTGTGATGATTATTGGATCTTTGGAAGCTTCTGCATCCTCAGGTATACTTTGTAATTTATGATTTTCTGGTAATGATTGTTCATATAATGAACGTGAAAGATCTAAAATTTCCCATGCAATTTCAAAATCTGATTGTTCTTCTTGTGGTTCTTGTTCTTGTTCTTGATCTTGATCGTCATTATTTTCTTCTTCTTCTTCTTCATTGTTTTGCTCTTTATCTTCCTCTTCATCTTCTTCATCTTCTTCTTCAGCTAATGGTACATCTTCACTAAATTGAAATAAACCTTTTGGAGTATCTTCTTTAACATCATCTTTCGAGGTCAAAGCAGCAGCTTCATCTGGATTACCACCAAAGATCCCATTCTTGGATACAGCAACTTGGAAAAGAGCCTTACCATATAAAAATAATAAATCTGGAGATTCTTTACCTTCATTATCATTTGAATAAATTTGACATGCTTCACCATAATTAGATACTGCATCTTCAAATTCTTTGGATGCATAAGATTTGGCACCTGATTCTAGGAGCTTGGACACTTCATCGGAGTATTGTGACATGATTATTGAATTGACTTTATACTATTCCTACTATATCACATTGTTAAATACATTCACTTTTACGCGTCTTTAATTATTTAAAGTCTATACCAATGGTCGGAATTCGCGTGTCCTATTTACCCTCCTTTTTGTATTTCCCATAGTTAACTATTTTAAATTTTAGTCGGAATTCCCTAATGTCTTTTTTTGGCTAATTTTATTGATTTTTCACGATTTTCAAGATTTTTTATTTGTGTTTCAAACGCGTATTTGGGATTTTTTTCTTTCAGTTTTGAGATCACAGAAGAGAATTTGTGATTTTATTATTTTTGGTACAAAAAGGTTTTCTTAAAAGTAAACAAAATTCTTTGAAATCTCTCAATTCTCAATTCCACCAATTTCATTCCAATTCTTAAGAGAGACAGACAATAGATTGTACAATGAGTTCTATGATTGATAGTTTGACCCCAAAATCAAGTGGTCTGGAAGAAGCCGCCCCAGTGGGAAATGAACACACAGACATTAAGAAGGAATCACCAGTTGATGAAGAAATTCCAATCAAAGAAAGCACTTCTGCAAACAATGTCGAGATCCCAAATGGTAGTGCTGAAGCTCCATCTAATGGTAGTGCTGGTGTTGGTTCTGGTTCTGGTTCTGGTTCTGGTGGTCTGGAACCACCTACTCAAGAAGCTCCAAATATTAAGAATGCTACTGCCCCTGTTATTCCAGAAATTAAAATTATTAGAAGAAAATTAAATGGTTATGTTGGTTTTGCTAATTTACCAAAACAATGGCATAGAAAATCTGTTAGAAGAGGTTTTAATTTAAATTTACTTAGTGTTGGTGAATCAGGTTTAGGTAAATCAACTTTAATTAATACTTTATTCAATAAAGAATTATATTCTCCAAAAGATCCAAGAGATCCAGCTGCTGAAAAACCAACTGGTGTTACAATTGATACCATTAGTGATGATATTGAAGAAAATGGTGTCAAATTACATTTAACCGTTATAGATACTCCAGGTTTTGGTGATCAAGTTAATAATAATGATTCATGGCAACCAATTGTTGATGAAATTAATTCAAGATTTGATTCTTATTTAGAATTTGAAAATAAAATTAATAGAACTACTTCAACTGATAATAGAATTCATGCATGTTTATATTTTATTGAACCAACTGGTCATTCTTTAAAACCTTTAGATATTGAATTTTTAAAACAAGTACATCAAAAAGTTAATATTATACCAATTATTGCTAAATCAGATACTTTAACTGAAGAGGAAATTTTTGAATTTAAACAAAGAATATTAGATGATATTAAAACTCAAGGTATTGATATATTTGAACCAACTGTTTATGAAAATGATGATGAAGAAACAATTTCTGCAACTAAAGAAATTTTATCAAAAGTTCCATTTGCAATTGTTGGTTCTACAACTGAAATTCAAACTGCAGATGGTAGAGTTGTTAGAGGTCGTCAATATCCATGGGGTACTATTGAAGTTGATAATGAAGATCATAATGATTTTGTAAGATTACGTCAATTATTAGTTAGAAATTTCTTGGAAGAATTAAGAGAAAAAACTTCACATAAATTATATGAATCTTATAGAAGTGAAAAATTAAATAAATTAGGTATTCCACAAGATCATAGTGTATTTAGAGAATTTGATCCATCAATTAAACAACAAGAAGAAAAAGCTTTACATGAAGCTAAATTAGCTAAATTAGAAGCTGAAATGAAACAAATATTTCAACAAAAAGTTAGTGAAAAGGAGAAAAAATTACAAAAATCTGAAGCTGAATTATTTTCAAGACATAAAGAAGTTAAAGAAAAATTATTAAAACAAGTTAAAACTTTAGAAGAAAAAAAGAAACAATTAGAAAATGCACGTTTAAATCCACATACTGAACCAACTCCAGCTCCAGCTCCAAAAGCTAAAAAGGGTTTCTTACGTTAATCTTGATGATTGACTGTTAAAAAAAAAGGGGGGAGGAAATTGATTTAGGATTAGTGTTTTTTTTTCTATTATTTTATTACTTTTATTCAACAATATAATGAATCATAGATATATATGTTGTCTTTTTTCTTTATCAATTTTCCTTTTTTTTAACTTTTATATTATAATGTATTTCAATTTTGTTTAATTATGCTTAAGATTTGTTTATGGACTATATATTTTGAAGTGTAGAATGAGTTATTTATGATGTTGATATCTGATGATATTTATATATACAGCTTAGTAAGAACAAAAAATTTAATAATTCGCGATTGAAATATCAGCAAAATTTTGAAACTTTGAACTAACTGTTGTTTAATGAAAACTTAATTTGTAAGACTGGCCGTGAAGAATCGTCGAGTTTAGGACTCAAATATTTTGTATTGGGCTCTTTTGGGTTTATTGTAATCAATTGTGACTCATATATTCATCCATATATTCATCCATTTTTTCATCTATTAGTTGATGATATTTCCAGTGGATCAGATTCATATATGTAAGATCGAATTCACTAGTATCTTTATATTAAATTATTTTGATAAATCACCTCGAAATTGAATTGATTTTCGTTATGAGTTTGAAAAAAACCATACAATCATTTTTAAATATTGAGGTTAATAAACAATCATTTTTGAAAAGATATTTGTAGATATCAAAGTTAATTACACATGACTACATTGCTAGTGTTGAAGGAAAAACAGATCTTTGTATATTAAGTCAATACGTACCTATTTTATTGATTAAAACCAGTAACTATATTAAAACTTTATAAAAGATATTAAGTTAATAACATGTGATTATGTTAATTAGATTCAAATATCTAGTTTTTTCACAATTTTGATATGTACTATATTTGCATAACCAAATAATCACATGAATAATTCAAATTATGATAACGTCATTAAAATTGATATACCATTGATGATAGAGTTTGTGAGCACATACGCTCTGGATGTGGGAGTACTTAATACTTATTGAACACGAATCCAATAGCTGGATAAAAAAAAGGTAAAAGTAAATCAAAATTTGCCCATTTTTATAGGTCTGGCTTAGCTAATCATTATATAATCAGTAATCCTTATAAATAATACATAGCAGAAGGATTGGATCTATAATCTCTTAGCATGCCAATTAAGTTAGCTGTGAATTCTATAGTATGATATGTATATATAGTATGCTCTGACGAATAGTGTGGAAGTGATTATATGTTATACTATTTGTTATCTATGCTTACATAATACACTATAATATGTACGATACACCACATATACAAGTCAGAAACAAGTAATATTAACCAAGGGTGAGATTGTCCTAGTTGGTATAGTACTGTCCATGGAACACAAAGACCTCAGGACAACATGGCAACACCCTTGGTTCGATTCTCTATCAATGAATCAATTAAACAATCAATTACACAATCAATTGAGTTGTTTAAATGAGAATTATAAAGCCAAAAAAGTTCTCATGTACATACAAATTTGTACAAAAATATTATATGCGCGAATATCATGAGTGCATATAAAAACTCATCATGAATTATCAAATCATGAAAAACCACAAAACCACAATTAACTAGTGGTAAACTATAAATCTAAATCTTCTCGTATGAGAGATTTAAATCTGCAGCAGTTGCACTGCTACATCATCAGTTGGTTGCTATACAACGATCCATAATGACACTGGATTCGTTGGTATTGGCTTCGGTTGGTGGTTGTTAGGAACCAATGGCTCGGATATAGAAACTTAATAAATATTATATTATATTATAAAATTCTGTAGTGTATATCTGAAACTATATATTGTAATCTTATATCATGGATTGTACTACTTGTATACTTTTTATCTTTTGTATATCAAAATGCGAGATTTGTGCTGGCGTCAAAAATTTCATTCGCGGATTTTGAAGATGCATATGAGCATTTTATGCTGCAAAGGGTGGAATCTTGTATAAAAAGAAGGTCAGATCCCATGTTTTCAGAGATCTGTTTAGATCTGTTGACGGTGTGAAGGTGCTAGATCTCAAAGAGTTTATTTAGTGCTCATTTGTTTTTTTGTTATGGAGGTGTTCAACGTGACAGTGGCGAATATCCACTGTGAAGATTGTAAACAATCAATCATTAAAGCTTTATCAGAATATTTCCAAATTACAGAACATATCACTGAAATCAATGCTTCAAAGGATAAACTAATAGCTACTGTTAAAGTCATTGATGATACTGAGCTAACCATATTGACAAATAAAGGTATTTTAAATCCTAAATTACAAAAAACAATATTGAATGATATTGAAGATCTGGGGTTTGTTATTAAAGATTATTTATTACATGATGTTTTAGAAACTCAAGCATTGCATACCAAGTATAAGAATCATAAAGCATTATTGGGTAAAATCATACCATGGATCGGTAATAAAGGTTCTAAAGCACATCTTGAACATTGTGCTAAATGTCGTGATGAAAAATTGACTGCTTTTTCTTCATCTTCTTCCTCTTCTGATGATGATGATAAATCTGAATTGACTAAAGTTGTTGCTATGAATCCTCTTGAATATAGAGCAGTATTCACTATTGGTGGTATGACTTGTTCAGCATGTGCACAAACAGTTTGTGAAGCTATTAAGGAATCTTTGGTTAAATCACCTGGTCTTATACAGAATAACAATAATAATGATCAAGATGATGGTGATAAATTTTCAGTTGATCCTGTTACTAATACTGCAATTGCTATCATACCAAATAAACAAATTGCAAATACTATAATTAATAATATTAGAGATTCTGGTTATTCTGCAACTTTAGTGGAATTATTACCTGTTGAAAGAGAAACAAAATATAGAGTTAGTGCAGCCATTGGTGGTATTACATGTGCAGCTTGTGCAAGTTCAATTACAAATTCAGTGTCAAATTTATCATTTGTTGTGGAATCTGCAATTTCTGTTGTTTCTAAATCTGGGGTTTTCATATTAGATAGTGATGAACAAGCCAAAATTGATGAATTACAAGAATCAATTGAAAATTGTGGATTTGATTTTGAATTAGTTGATATTAAATCTATAAATCATGCAACAACTAAAAAGCAAAGTAGAACTATAAATTTAAAAATTTCTGGAATGTTTTGTGAACATTGTCCTGAAGAAATAAATGAAATTTTAAATAAACATGGTAATGCTATTACAATTGAAGATCCAATTACTTTAAATCATCCATTTGTTAAATTTACTTATATTCCATCACCACCATCATTAACTATAAGGTCTGTCTTAGAACAAATTAAAAATGCTGGTAATTTTGAAGTAGAAATTATTGAAGCTATTAGTCTTGATGAACATTTACGTCGTATTGCAAGATTAGAAACTATTAAAATTGCATATAGATTAATTTTAACAACCATATTAGCTATTCCAACTTTTGTTTTCGGAATTGTTGGTATGTCATTATTACCAAAATCTAATGGATTTAGACAATGGTTAGATAAACCTTTATGGGTTGGTAATGTTTCAAGAATGACTTGGGTGCTTTTTTTCTTATCAACACCAGTTTATTTCTTTGCAGCTGATATTTTCCATTTAAAAGCAATGAAAGAAATCAGAACTTTATGGAAAAAACATGTTCCTTGGAAAAGAAGATTATTTAGATTTGGTTCTATGAATTTATTAATGTGTCTTGGTACTTCAGTTGCATATTTTGCAAGTATTGCATTATTAGGATTAGCTGCACATTCTCAAAAAATGGGTCATGCTTTTACAACAACTTATTTTGATTCAGTTGTCTTCCTAACTTTTTTCTTATTAATTGGTAGATTATTAGAATCTTTTTCCAAAAGTAAAACAGCTGAAGCTATAACAAAACTAGGTTCATTAAAATCAAATTCTGCAACTTTATTAACCAAGAAAAATGAAAATGAATATGGTGATGATTTGAAAACTGATTTAAAATTATTAGAAGTTGGTGATTTTATTAGAATTGTCCCAGGTGAATCTCCACCAGTTGATTGTATTATTGTCCAGGGTAAAACTGATTTTGATGAAAGTGCATTAACAGGTGAATCTGTCCCAGTAGAACATACAGTTGGTGAACAAGTATTTGCAGGTACTGTTAATAAAGGACCACAATCTATCATTGCCAAATTATCTGCATTAGATGGTACTTCATTATTAGATCAAATTGTTAATACTGTTCGTGATGGTCAAATGCGTAGAGCACCAATTGAAAGAACTGCTGATATTTTAACTGGTTATTTTGTCCCTGTGATTACTGCATTGGCAATTATAACTTGGATTATTTGGTTATCACTAGGTTATTCAGGTGCATTACCTGATTCTTATTTAGATATTGATCTTGGTGGATGGGCAGTTTGGTCTTTAGAATTTGCCATTTCAGTGTTTGTTATTGCATGTCCTTGTGGTATTGGATTAGCTGCACCAACTGCATTATTTGTTGGTGCTGGATTAGCTGCTAAAAATGGTATTTTAGCTAGAGGTGGTGGTTCTGCATTCCAAGAAGGTTCAAAAGTTAATGTTGTTTGTTTTGATAAAACTGGTACTTTGACTATGGGTGGTGAACCAAAAGTTACAAATTTTGCAATTCATCAAGATAAATCAATCAAAGAATTTGCAATGCAAATGGCAAAAGATTTAGAAGTTTCTTCAAGTCATCCATTAGCTATAGCTGTTAAGAATTTTATTGATGATATTTCCTACAAGAAAAAAATTAATATTGGTAGAGTTAAAGTTCCAGAAGTTGAAGAAATTCCTGGTAAAGGTTTAAAAGGTGATGTTATAATTGATGATGATGAAGATAATGATTCAAATTGGAAAAATTTACAACCAACAAAAGTTTTATTGGGTAATGAAACTTTAATGATTGAAAATAAAGTTCAATTCACATCACAACAGAAACGTTTATTAAATGAATGGAAAATTCAAGGTAAAAGTGTTATTATTGTTAGTATTCAATGTTTGAATTTTTTCAAAACTGAAAATTTTATACCAATTTTATTAATGGGTGCAAGAGATGAAATTCGTCCAGAAGCTAAAAATGTCATTTTACAATTGAAAAAAGAAGGTATTACAACATGGATGATTTCAGGTGATAATTCAATAACAGCAAATGCAATTGCTAAAGAATTAGGTATAGATAATGTTGTTGCAGAAGTTTTACCTGAGGAGAAAGCTGAAAAGATTAAATGGATTAAAAGAACAAATTATATCAAGAATAAAGAACCAACAATTGCCATGGTTGGTGATGGTATTAATGATGCCCCAGCATTATCAACAGCAGATGTTGGTATTGCATTAGCCTCGGGGTCTGATTTAGCATTAACATCATCAGATTTTGTTTTATTGGCACCTAAACATCCATTAATCGCATTGTTAACATTATTTAAATTATCAAGAACAGTTTTCAATAGAGTTCGTTTTAATTTTGGTTGGGCATTAATTTATAATATGATTGGTGTTCCAATTTCTGCAGGGGTTATTTATCCTTATAATAATTCAAGATTAAGTCCAGTTTGGGCAAGTGCAGCTATGGCAGCTTCTTCAATTAGTGTTGTTTTGAGTAGTTTAGCATTGAAATTTTTCAGGAAACCAAAAGTTGTTACTGAACAATCTAAGACATTGGGAGATATTGAAGCTATTGAGGAGAAATTTTAATAGATATCTTAATATATCAATGAGTAATTTATGAATAATTTGTAGATTCTTTTGGTATAAATTAAGTATACCTTATACTCTGGTGTTTGGATGTACTTGTAATTCCGACTTGTTTTGAAATCGGAAGTCCTTGAGATCGCGAATTTTGGTGAGATTTGTAAATTTGGTGGCAAGTTGATTCAAAAGATTGTAAAGGAATTGAAAGAAACCTTCAATTATCAACAAAGAATATATCACAAAATGCCATCTTTAGAAGATCTTACAAAGCAATTGAAGTCAGCTTTTGACTCTAAACATTATGAAAAATCAGAAGAATTGTTATCGCCAATTAAAATCCTTTTAATTCAAAATGAATTATTAATTCCAAATTTTAAAAGAACATCAGATCCACATTATGTTGAAGATTTAGTTATATCAAGATCAGTTTTAGAAATTGGTGCATTATCAGCTATTAATTTACAAAATTTTGATAAATTTGAAAATTATTTACAACAATTAAAAGTTTTTTATTTTAATACAGTTAATAATGAACAATTATCAAAATCTATAAACAAGAGTAAATTAATAAGTTTATATTTATTATTATTATTAGCTAAAGGTGATGTTGTTAAATTCCATACAGAATTAGAATTCTTGGGTAATCATTTGAAAAACATTGAAAATGATTTATATTTAAGTTATCCAATAAAGATTGAAAACTGGTTATTAGAAGGTTATTATGATAAAGCATGGGAATTAATATCAAATACAAATTCTGAAGAAAAAGTTAAATTAAAAGAATTTAATATTTTCAATGAAACTTTATTATTAGCAATTAGATTTGAAATTTCAAGATCAATTGAAAAAACTTATAAAGAATTACCTTTTGTAAATGCCAAATATTTATTATTTTTAAATAATGAAAAAGAAGTTGAAAATTTTGCAAAAGATCAAGAATGGAATTTTAAAAATGGAGTTTTATATTTTAATAATAATTTAAAAGAATCAAAATTTGCTATTGGTGAAGAAGATGATGATGATTTGAAATTGAATAATAGTGAAAAACTAGTGAAGAATACTTTAAACTATGCTAGAGAAATTGATTCAATCATCTAGTTATGACGTATGCTTTGTATACTACACAAGAAAAATGGAAATGACATAAAGTAGATAATATTTGTAGTTTTATTCCAACATTGTATAAAACCCTTTATAAGCATTATCAAGATCAAATAATAATTGTCTTGTATCATCTTCAGAAATTTCTTCATTAATATTCAATTTATTAATTTTAATTAACCATTCAATTAATTTACTTCTACCATCAAATTCTTTATTCCCACTAACTTTATTAACAGAAGTCATTAAATCAGATAATAAAGGATGTAATTGATCTTTTGCCTTATAATTCAATTTTAATGCATCCATACATGTAATGAAATTTCCCGTGGCTTCAGCAACTGCTCTCGAAGAAGCACCAATACCACCATTCCCACTACCACCAGCACCATTTCCTGATCCTGTTGTACTTGGTACGTTTATAGCATGTTCCACAGTTGCAGGTACACCAATTTCAATTCTTGAAGTAGCAGAGGGACAATTCAATCCATATTGTTTCTTGAAATGATCTAATGATTTGAATTCTTTAACAACATCTTGATTTTTCAAAATGGTATTATATTGAGCAAGAAGCCGTAGTACTGTAGGTGTATATTGATCTTCACCATCTTCATTTAAAGTATCTTTGATATATGCCTTTTCAATGAAGTCTAATACCGTGATTATGGAAAATAATTCTGCTAAAGATTCATAAATTTCACGTTGTTGTACTGTATTGAAAAGGGAAACTTCTTGATCTAAGTTGATGGAAGAATTTTTGATTCTGTTGTATGAAGGGTTTCTCTGTGTCGCAGTTGGTGCGTATGATGGAGTTGACATGTTTGTAATTGTGAAGTTTGTGGTGGTGATAAGTAATTCGATAGATTGTGAATTCTGGTGAAGTTATTCAAGTTTATCAACTTATGGGTGGTGGCTTATGTAATCAGTATATACATTTCCATTTTGAACATTAAATCAATAATTGCTACACCATCTACGCCATAAAAGGCTGATGCTGATTCGAGATAATGGATATGTCGAATTGTCGTTTAGAATGTAAGAAGGTGGCAGCTTTTAAAGTCATTTTTGGACCTCATATGATGTATTATAATATTATCCACGTCTCAAGAAGTTGGTGGTATACCATTTACCCATTTACTAATAAGAACATCAAATTAATAAATTGATATATAATTAAGATAAACACTATAAATTAGTTGATGAAATATATAACTAAATTGCACATCCTGTAAGTTAATCTGCTTCAAATTTATTGTGGAATTTCCAACAATAATTTACCAGTAGTTTTTCTTCCTTCTAAGTCTTCAGCAGCTTGTGAATAATTACTTAAAGGATAAGTTTTTTCAATTCTTAAATTCAATTCACCAGATTCAACAAGTTCTCTTAATTGATTAGAATAAAATTCCCATTCTTCTTTTTCCACGATATAATTGAATATAGTTGGTCTTAATAATTTTAAATTTTTTGGTGTCAATTTTGTCAATGGAACTGGTTCAACAGATCCTGATGCATTACCAAATGAAACCAATGTACCTTTTCTAGCTAAAGAATCTAAAGAAATTTGAAAAGTTACTTTAGCAACACCGTCAAAACTAGAAGCAACACCTTTACCATTAGTATACTCCAGGACTTTTTTAACAATATCTTCTGTTTTTGAATTAATTAAAAATTCTGCTCCATTTTCTTGAGCTAATTTCAATTTCTCAGCAGATGAAGCTGTGGCAATGACATGAGCTCCACGAGCTTTGATTAATTGAGTCAAAATTAATCCAACACCACCAGCCGCTGCATGGACTAATATATAATCTCCCTTCTGGACATTGTAAGCCTCATTGATGAAAGTTAATGCAGTGAATCCTTGAAGCGGTAAAGCAGCATATAGTTTCAATTTCTCATCAGTAGAATCTTTTGGTAATTTGAAAGCTTTTATTGATGGATCAAACTTGGTATATTGAGCAAATGTTGATGGTGATAAATATGAAATATAATCTCCAACATCAAAATCTTGGATTTTAGAACCTTTAGAAACAATAACACCAACAGCTTCTCTCCCTAATGTTAAAGGTTTTGGAGAAGGATAAACCCCAGTTCTAAAGTATGATTCAATGAAATTGATACCTGCGTATTTGTTCTTAATCAAAACTTCATGATCTTGAATTTCTGGTACTGGGATATCTTCATATCTTAAAACTTCTAAACCCCCAGTTTCATGAATTCTGATGGCTTTTTGAGTAGTTGGAATTTGAATGGACATTGTTCGTAATATAATTGATTCTTGAATTTCGTGATTATACAATATAAACGCCTGGTAAAATTATATTGATCTATTAATCAAAATTATCTGAGGCACAACCTCATATGGAACAGCTATACTGTTTTGATCTTCCTGTGTTTGAGAGATATCAAAAATCTGGGTAACACCTGAAATCAAAATAGAAGACTTAAAATTTCTATGTGACTCAAATTCAGTAACGGATCTAACAAACTGACTCAAAAAGTTTTGTGTTTCTTCTTCAGTAAAAAAATGACGACCATGAACTTGAACTGTTCCTGGACCTTTTAAAATTGACTCTTTCTTCGCGAATAGGTTACCTTTAGGCTTACTCACCGAGTCCCATATTTTGAACGGATTACAATTTTCAAGCTCTCCGTTGGTTTTTATGTTGTGTAGCCTTCTTCTTTGCTTCCCTTCTTGGAGATCATCAAAAAGAATTCCAGCAAGGGTCATCTCTCTGAAGTATGGGTTTTCTGGTAATATATCTTTGAAAGGTAAATATGAAGTAGAAACCAAGTCAATGAGTGACTCTTTGAACAAAGGTGGCTCAATATTTTTTCTGATACAATCTTCGTATTCTTCAGTTAAAAAATCAAATACCTGGAATGATTTTGCATTACATGATAAAACATTAAGTGCTTCATTCTTTGAGAGCTTACTTATAGTTTCTCCAAACATAAAACAGTCTTCAATCAATTCATTAAAATCATCAATGATAGTGATATTTGAACTCAACTCTTGTACAAAATGTCTAAAATAAGAATTTTCATTCGTAATGGTTTGGCTTAGAAATCTTTCAACATCTTTAAAGCTTCTAAATACCTTTGTTTTGATAGTTACAACTGCACCTGAGCTTAATTCACAATTGGATGTATAATAGCTTTCATTTGGGAACCTTCTATGATAAGTATCCAAAAATTCATACTTAGCTCCCTTTGATTTTTGATAATTTTCATAAAGCTTATAAGGATCTTGAGGATGAAGATAATAAAGCTCAGCAAAGTCCAAGTAATGTGAATATTGTTTTTGTAAAAGAGAAGTTGAGCTTAAAACCAAATCCAAGTGGAATGAATGATATACCATAGGTGAAAATAAATTGAACAACCGTTTATTCACTCTTATCATATTACCTGGATTGACACCATACTGAACAATTTTTAACCAAATTTCTGATGGAAAGCACAACTCTTTGTTACTACTTATATCTGGTTTACCTTTATAGGTTTTGATGAGCTTGTTTAAAAATGAGAGTAAAGACTTTTGAGCTCTTTTGTAATGTTTAGCGAAGAAGTTACAACCCTTTGAGCTTTTGAATCTAATATAATATCCAGCTTTCTGGGTCTTCCATAAGAATTTCTTGATAGCATAATGAAGTCTAACTTCTATTTCATATCTAACAGAATAAACAATCCCAATTGGTTCTGGAGGGTCACATTCTTTCAAGCCCATCAAGTGAAAAACAATTGCAATGTATACTGCAGGAATGACTTTCACTATAAGCTCTATGAATCGATAAAGTTTTGTCTCTCTTTCTCTTCTTTGCCAGTAGTCCATGGTGACTTATAAAAATCTATATAATTTTAGCTCTCTTAATGTGTTTAAGGGTATAAAATATATAACTATTAACGTGTGTCGAGGTAATATATTGCTAATTAATCGATCGAATTATTTGATGTCAAGGGGATATATTTAAGGACAAGCTAGCTGGGAGAAGGTTACAAATGACATGAGCAAAACATTCTTTATAATACATTATTTGAGAGCACAGGATAGACAGAAAATGAAGTAAATAGAGCAGTTAAACTGAGATTATTCCTATCAATTGATGAGAAGTTTAGATTTTACATCCGTCACCTGGGTGACGCTTCTGAAAGTTGATCCGGAGAAAAAAAGAACGAGCCCCGATTCCCGAAGTATAGGTACAATTCCAACTTCATGACAGTGGTCAGTGGTATAAGAATCCCCAATTTCCAAGCTGATATTAAATAAACGTTGACATTTCTTATAATTTAAATCATGACTTGTGGTGAGTAATCAGTGATAGAATATTCAATTGACAAGCCTTGGGTTGATATTGGGCTTTTCTTCAATATGGATGTTGATCGTTAAGTATTGATTTCAATAAGTAGTTCCTGGCGGATGTTGAGGATCGTTATATTCTTAATTATGATGTTGAGTTCACCTGGGGCTAATTATGGCTATACAGCTATGTAGCTGTGAAGGGATCTTAAGTCAAAGGAGCTCTTAGAATTCCTCAACTTAGCCAAAATTATTGATGACCATATTACAGTGCATATACGGTAATAAATCAAATTTATAAAGAGCTCGATTTGAGAATTGGAAAAAGATATATTTAGTTATCAAATTAATAATTGATTGAGTATTTTGAAGTTTTGAGCTGGAAAAGTTTTGTTAATTGTATTCAAATTCCATCATATTTTTGCTTACAATAATTGAGTATGATTTCATACTTCATTTCATTAATATATACTTCAATTGAACGCTTCTCTATCATCTTTTGATCTCATTTTTAACATCTTTCTTTGAGGATAAACTAAAGTATCATATTTATTATCATATGAGATCTTACCTAATTCATTCTCAATTTTTTTTAAAAATTCATTAGCCATTTCAGATTCTTTCAAGATCCATTTTAATAATTTAATACTTTTAACACGATCAAATGGTGCTATTGTAATAGGTTGTTGAATTTCTGTATCTTTTGCATGTGAGAATTTACATTTAACTCTTAATTCATAATATGTACTAAAATAATTTGATCTTTTAGTTAATGGTTGATGATGAGTTAAGGGGATTGGATTTGGTTGATGTTCAATTATTATAGGTTTTAAATCATTGGTAGGGAAATCTTGTGGTTGTTTATTTAATAATTTTGGATCTTGTTGTTTTAATAATAATGAATATTTATTCATTCTATTAGGGTTAAAAGTTATACTAAATTGATTTGAATAACCTTTTGTACCAATGTATAAATTATCATAATCTTGATGTTTTTGTGCCACTAAAGCTTCTTTAATAAATGATCTTTCACATCTACAATCAAAAATCTCCACAATTTCTAATGTAATTTTTTTCAATTTTATCTTATCAATCATTCTTCTGTTTGATGGATTTGCAGTGATTTTGGTATTAACAACTAATTCTTCATCTGGTCCTATAGCAGATGAAGGTAATGAATATTCAATCATAACATTATTATCTCTTGAATCCACCACTCTAGAAATTGGCTCATTAAATTGTCTATAAAGTGGTAATGTATCATAAGTTGTTATTACAACTGGGAATTCAAATGTTTTAATATTATTCTTAACACCTGTAGAAATTGCAGTTACTTCTAAAGCATGGGTTGTAGTACCAAATTTCATACTTTCAGCAGTGGGACCAATATCATTCTTAATTCCAATTATAAATGGGATATCAACAGATATCACACGATCATTTATCGTGTATTTAGTTTCATAATTAATTTTTTTCAAAGATGGTGCAATATCTCGATGTGGTTTACTCTTTAATGTATCAACAGTGACAAATTTCAATTCCACGGAATCTAATGGTACTGGGATACCTGTACCTGATCTAACTTCTAATGTACCAACAATCACTGGCTAATTTAGATGAATTGTTAATAATAATAATCTATAATGATTAACCAATTGTTTTATACTCACATATGTCTTTGGAACACCAGGACATCCCTGGACCATGGATTTGTTTGAAGGCTTGAGATTGATATCAAATGATTCTGGAAGCACCATTTCCTTTGTGTTTGTAGTAATTCGTATGATTTTTGTCTACAAAATTGTTTTAAAAGAAGTTGATTTTTCGATTTGATTTATTGATATTTTTGGAAAGTGTTTTGGAGTTTCCGTTTATGGATTACTTCCCGTTTAGGATGTTTTTATCATTTTTTTTTATTGTTTTGATTATTTTGATCAGTAAATAAAATATGAGAACTTTTCCAAATTTTCCACTGAAAACTGAAAACAGATCTAGTCAATTCATTGCAAAAATGTTTTTCACACTGTTTGGTTTGAGTGGTTTATGCCTGAAATGATATATACTGAGATGCTCGCTGGTTTGGAAATCTTTTTTGCCCATCTTTGACTGGGTTGATAAAATTTTTGGTTTTTGTGTCATTGATCTATTGAATTTGAAAATTTATAATATCTAAGATTTTACTTGATTTGAACTATATTTGAAGTGGACAATTATATCACACATTTCAAGAGATAAGTGGAAGATATCATGGTTCTTCATGATCCAGAATGTTGGTCTTATGGTGCATCTATTGATATATACTGTCGTCCTTATAATTACCCACTTGATTGGTCTAAAATCAAACCACCAATACCATTACCATTAAATCAACCAATCACTGAATCAATACCTGAATCAATACCTGAACTGGATCCAAAATCAATTACAGAATCAAATACAGAATCAAATACAAAACAAAAAACAGAAACTAAACGTAAAAAAAAGAAATCTAAATCTAAAGTTGAACTTGAACCTGAATCATTATCAGCATCTATTTCTGAATTATCACTTGATTCAAGACCTGGATCCAAAAATGAATCAACATCTGAATCAACACCTGAACAAGTACCTGAATCCAAAACTGAATCCAAAACTAAATTCAAAACTGAATCCAAAACTGAGTCCAAAACTGAATCCAATACTGAATCCAAAACAACCAAAAAAGATCCGTTTGATTTAGCAAAGCGGTTAACTCGTCCAAAATCTAGATCTGTTGATATTTCTCTTCAAAATAGACCTCAGTTAACACCAGGATATATACATAATGTTAATGATGGTAAAAATGATAAAATATCTGAAGATTTAATCAAAAAATCTGAGGATTGTATTGCTGATTTACTGAAGGCTTTAGATATACTGGATAATGAAGAAGAATCACTGGATGATCAAACAATGAGTGAATGTGAAACGGTAATTTTAGAATCAAATACAAGACAATTTAATCATATATTGGTTGGTGGTAAAAAGGGCAAAAGTGAACCAAACAGTGCTGTCCATAATGATGGTATGACTCTTGAAAGGGTTAAAGGTGATTTGAATTCTTTTTATTATTTTTTCGATGTTGAAGAAAAATTAAATTCTAGTATAAATATATGGACATTAAGGAAAATTCAATGGTTGTTCTCAAGACCAAGAATGGTTGATGTTCCAATTGTTGATTTTTGGGATCAAATTTTTAAAAATAATTTAGCTAAATGTATGAGTTCAGAGTTGGCAGTTTTATTATATGCAAATTTTAAAGAATTATGTCGAGTACATAAATTTGAAGAAAATCAAATATCTGCACAATTTTTCTATAAAACTTTTTTCTATCCAATGCTTGAATCAATAGATATAAATATAAGTCTTTTATGGAATCCAATTGAATTGGAAACAACAAATTTTACAGATGATGGTTTTTTACAAAAAAGACAAATATGTCATCCAGATCCTTTTTCAATTTCTCTAAGAAATTTACCAACCTTTTCAAAACATCCATATGTTTCAGAAAAAAATTATGATCCATTTAAATATGATGAATATAAACATGGTGATTCTATTCATATTATTTGGAATGAATGGATGAATGGATTTTATGGTAAACAATCAATTCAAAAAATTGAAAAAACAAGATCATTATTAGGTAAAATGGGTCTGATTGAAATGAATGAAATTGAAAATAGAGGAGATTTAATATGTCCATTAAGGAAAAATATCTTATTATTCATTTATTATGGGGCATTTTATAAAGGTGTATCACCACAAGTTAATGTTGATTTATTACAAGCTTATTTATATTTTAATGAAAATAATCTTGAATGGTTATCTAAAAATATGTTTGAGATTTTTGAAAAAGTTTATGAAATAGATTTAAATGCTGTTCAGCCATTTCTTATCTTTGCAGAAGATATTCCATTACAGATGTGAGATTTGTTGTGTATAGGTAATATCTTGGTTTATGATTATGACTTGAGGTTAATATATTCATTTATCCGAACCGAAATCGGATCAAATTTATCTTGTAGACAGACAATTTAATCACATGTTAGCATCAGTCTTGATTATTTAGTATGATTTCTTGTGTTTAGTGTTCAATGCTCATTGGAATCATCACGTTTATGTGTTTGTCCTTTGTCCTTTTATTACGTACAATACACTCACGTTTTCAAGATTTTCATAAAAAACAAGAATTTTTGCATACTTAAAAAACGTTTCTAAAAACCCTGATCTAGGAATTAGGATCTTGGAATCAATCAAATTAGTCAATAAGATTGATACTTACCATGAGTACAAGTCTATTTTGAATTAGGAGAGTCATCCATTTCATGATGGTGTGAAGACAAGGATTATCAAAGTGATGTGAAACCTTTGCTTATCAATTGATTGAAACATGATTGAAAATTCATTGAAAACCAACTGTATTGTATCCAGTCAGGTATATTAGTATCAATGCATTGTGTGCTTTATCCCTCGTGTTTGAATGTTTTATGATTTACAGAGAGTAAGGTCTTTTGTTAGATTGGTTGTTGGTTGTTAATGTACGTATTAGGAAATTGGATTGATCTTTAATCTCGTGGGTACTGTACTACACCTGAACATGTGAAGTTTATGAATTATATTTGGGGTATAAATACTTGTATGAATCCCTTTTAATGGATGATGAAAGTGTTGCTAAGTATATCTATCATATATTTCATATATTTCATATAATAATGGTTTCAATTAATAAATTTTTAATCATATCTATTTTACCTTTCCTAACAAATTCATTACCAATTGTTTCAAAAAATCAAATATCAGATGTTATAAGATATGGTGAAGTTAATGTTGATCCAAATCATTCAGATGATGCAACTTATGGAGAGATTTATAAACTTTTAACAGGATCTTTGACAAAAAGAACAGATGTTCAAGTTTGTCTTGGTGAATCAGATTCTAGTGGTTCATGTATTTCAGATGATCGTAATATTGATCAATTAGTTTCAAAAATTGGTGGATTAATTACAACAAGACAAGGGCAATGTGGAGACAGTGGTACATTTGCAGTTGAAGCAAGTTCATTATATTATAAATATCAATCAACAGGTTCAGATTGTAGAAATACTGCATTACCAGAAACTGATATTGGAGCATTGAAAAGATGGATAAAGAATCAAAATGGTGGTAAAGTTTGTAAAAATCAATGTGTTCAATTAAAACATGGTACTGGACAATGGACTGGATTTGTTGGGTTTGGTACAGATGAAAATGCAGTTAAGAATTTACAATGTGATGAAAGTATTAATAGTCATGTTTCTAAATGTGAAAGTGGTGGGAATGCTGATATTTGATTGTGAATTTATTTGTACTGGTTTAAGTCTTTCTTTCAATTCTTGTTTACGTCATTCATTTCAATAAGATTTAATATTAATTAATTTGTTGTAAATTAGCCGCTGAGATTTTTGTATATAAAGAGCATTGTATATCCACTTTTTCAAAAAATCTTTTTCTTTAATTTTATTTAATCAACTGGACTTGCTTGTGCACTCCCCATGGTTCGGATTAAATTCTTTTATTCTCAATAATTGTTGATTTCATCCGCTGAGCTGCTTTATGGAGCAGAACTGTTTTGTTGGCCTGAATTTTATTGAACACCTCAGATATAGATGATGATCTTAGGGTCTATATTTTCATTTCAAAATTCTGTTATTTCATAGATGATTATTGGTTATGAATACACCTTTTTGAAATGCAATTAATATATGGAAAGATCAATCTTATATGAAACTATATTTGATTTGATCTTTTAAGTTGTTTATACATTTTAAAGATTGTAGAATTTCGACTTAAGTTCACTACAACACTACAACTATTTTCGTTCAAAATAACAATCATTTCTAGCTTATACTGAGATTAGATATCTCACCAATCATCTAGTAATAAATAGAAATAATCTCGTGTATCAATTATATAATGATTCATCTATCAATAACAATAGTTTTGAGCTTCATTATATACATATCAATCAAAAACTCATAAAGAAAAAATGCTCGATAAGGAGGACACCCAATAGTACGGCTAAATATGTGAATAATCATAATCACGCTCACAATGAAGCAAACACCACTAGTTTTCTTTAAATCTTTTCAAAAAAACCACAAGGAGTATTAACATGTATCCATGTTCAAACAATAGAACGTAAATTGTCTTCAGAAAGAAAACCCCCGTTTGAATTTTCTGATTTTTTTGAATTATACACGATGCATGATACACTCAATCATCATCAAAATATTTTGAATCATCTACATTTTCTTCATTTTCAAGATATATTCATACTTTTCAAAGATTCTTAAACTGATTTCTTAGTATATTTGAGTGAAATTACCTTATCAGCAGTTAAACTATAAGTTTCAGTTAAAAAAGCTGGCAGAAAATGAAGTGTTGATATTAGTACTAACAAATGTCATCTACTAAACTACACCATTAGCTCTAGATCCAAGTGACTTTCTCATTCTGTACTACAGCTCATTCAATTATTGTCTAAGTGATTGATTTTTTATATTGTTTCTAATTTATACTTTTGTGGTTGTGATTCAACTATTGTAAATTAGCCGCTGAGATTTTTGTATATAAAGAGCATTGTATATCCACTTTTTTGAAAAATATTCTTTTCCTTTCATTTTATTTAATCAACTATAATCACTTTCTGGTGGGCTTCCCATGATTCCAAAGCTTAATTATTTTCTGATAATATTCAATACAATAAGTATTGATTCCATCCGCTGATCTGCTTATTTGAAAAACTGCTTTTTTGACTTACTAGCTTTAAATGTATGATAGATTATGATATTATGGTCTATATTTTCATTTCAAAATTCTGTTATCTCATATACATGATATATTATTGGTTATGAATACACTTTTTGAGATATGATTTAATACATGGAAAGATAAATCTTATATGAAACTAATATATTTGATTTGATCTTTTAAGTTGTTTACATTTTAAAGATTGTAGATTTTCGACAATTAAGTTCACTACAGCTATTTTTGTTCAAAATAATGATCATTTCATAACTTATACTGAGATTAGATATCTCACCAATCATCTAGTAATAAATAGAAATAATCTCGTGTATCAATTATATAATGATTCATCTATCAATAACAATAGTTTTGAGCTTCATTATATTATTTTCAACATATAGGTCAAAGACAAACTCATATAGAAAAAACGCTCGATAAGGAGCACACCCAATAGTACGGCTAAAGATGTGAATAATCACGCTCACAATATTAAAGAAAACACCACTAGTTTAAAACCACAAGGAGTATTAACATTTTCCATATTCAAACAATAGAACGTAAAGTCTTCAGAAAGAAAACCCCCGATTGAATTTTTTGACTTTTTTGAATTATACACGATACATGTACACAATATTGGGCGGTACTAACAAATGTCATCCAATAACCTACACCACTAGTAATTCTAGATCCAAGTGACCTTCTTATTCCGTACTACAGCTCATTCAATTCTTGTTTAAGTGATTGATTTCTATTGTTTCTAATTTATACTTTTGTGGTTGTAGCTGTTTATTGTAAAAAATTAACCGCTGAGATTTATTTTGTGTATATAAAGATTGTTTACTCAACTTTTTTGTAACTCTTTCATTCCATTATATTGTTTAATGTAGGTAATATTGGTCAACGTGTATTCTTGGGACCATGGTTGAAATGTTGGAATTGTATGCCAGCTGTACTACGTGCTAGCTTGATTTCTTCAGAAAATTTAAAATTGATGTTTGGAATACCGATCTGTTTGGTACTTCTAAAAGGAATTTTATAAGTTTCATCTCATAATTCTGTTTATTTCATATATATACTAGTTGAATATGAATACACTTTTAGAGATATGATTTAATATATGGAAAGATCAAAATCATACAAAACTATATTTGATTTAAGATCTTTTTAAAATGTTTAAACGAATTCAAACATTGTAGTATTTCTATCCTCAACTACAATTGTATTCAAAATATTAATAATCATTTCATAAGTTATACTGAGACTAGATATTCTCACCAATCATCAAGTAATAAATAGAAGTAATGATTTTTATCAGCTATATAATTATACCAAACTAGCTATGCAATAATAACAACATTTTTGAAATAATTATTGGCAAGCTTGTTCTATATTAAATATAAGCTCTGTAACGTCAAAACGTCAACAGAGAAAGCACGCACTTCCGTTTTAAAATCAATAGTCCTATAAGTACCTTTAAAAACAACATATACTGAGGTAAAAAGATTAGGAAATCATATAAAAAAACACCACAAAGACTTATTCAAGAAACATAGTTAATTTTAATGGTAATTTTGTTGACGAATACCAAAAGATTAAATTTTTTTGAACTTCACACGATCAAAATGACTTCAGCTTCGAACATCAAAAATCTCAGTTTGATTTTATCCTTAAATTAACGTAATTATAATCCCTTTATATTCTATTTTGAATAGTTTGGCTTCAATCATGTAAGCCACTTTGTATGTGCGTAAACTGTTTATTCTTTCAGGCTGTTTAATACTAAAGGATAAAATTGAGCTCAGTGATTATTTTTTACTGCTAAAATTATAAGTAAGTCAAATCTCTACGATTTAGCTAGTCTGGTACAAATAAAATCATTATATTGATAATACTGGATATTTCTGGTATCATATTATTTTTGATTAATTAATTGGATCATTGATATGGTGGAACTACAAGAACATCAACATCATTGAGGAAATGGTCTTAGTGTGTCTCATTGTCTATGCTTGTTGTGCTCTATGGCTTTGTCCATATATATCATATCTGTTCTACAATTCAACTCTAGTTGAAACTTCTATTTACGTCACTTTATAATTTCAAATATATAGTTTTTATTAATTTATTGAATTTTCATGAATATTGTAAAAAATTAGCCGCTGGGATTTTTGTATATAAAGAGAACTGATTATCCACTTTTTTAAAAAACTTTTTCTCAACTAATAATTTTGCATTCAATTAATTACCACTCTAGCTGAAGAGGAGCGCTTACATCGATCATACCTCGATAGTATTTTGGTGTACTTTATTCCCACAATTTAAAGCTATATTTTTTCAAATTTCAGTTGTATGATTGGCCTTATAACTAGTTATAAGGATCTGTTTATCTCATAATTTTGTTATTTCATATATATAATTAATATTATTGGTTATGAATACACTTTTTGAGGTATTTTAATATATGGAAAGATTAAAATCATATAAAACTATATTTGATTCAAGATCTTTTTAAGTTGTTTATATAAGTACTATTAATGATTGTAGGATCTCGACTATACGCTTAACTACATTAATCCTTTGTTTAAAATATAAATAATCATTTCTAATTTATACTGAGACTAGATATTCCACCAATCATCAAGTTGATAAATCGAAATGACCTTGTGTATCAAATATATATATAATGATCATACTATATTGTTGATAAAAATAGTTTTGATCTCCATTATTTAAAATTTAAAAGTTGCTTGTGAATTCAAATCGATGCACATCAGATATTAAACGAGCGCAAAAACAACTGGAATGTAACCACAAAAGAACTTTATGCAATCAAATGAACAATAGAAAAATTTACTCAACTATATCAGCCAACAAAAAACACTATTAGGAGAAACCGATCACTGGTAACATATTATGTAGTTGAAAAAAACTTTTTGATTGATTTTTGAACTTTACGCGATCAAAAGTTTCAACTTTGAACCTTGAACCCTTGAAACAGAACCATCTCTAATTAAACTTCCTGAAATGCTCCTTCAAATTATCTATTTTCAATTGAAAACATTTTTATATGTTCCTAATATATCAATGGTTTAAAGCTGCTCAAATTAAATTGGTTTTGATGGTTATAATGGTTTTGCCGCCTGTTGTTTAATAAAGCAAAGGGGAAAGGGAATGTTTCACTACAATTCAACTATACTACAAATCAAAATTCATCATGCTCTACTTTCATAATATTCAAAGGGATTGTACTTCATTGTTGATATTGAATGCCTTTTGGCTTTACTTAATCCCTATATTGTTGAAGAAATTCTAATAACACATGAGCAATTTGATCATCAGTAAGATTTTTGAAAAAATTTGAATCATATATGTTATTTTCATCATCATAAGACCATTTTTCCACTAAAGCTTTATTTTTTGCTTTATCTTTCTTTGATTTCTTTTTACCTGGACCAATTGATTTTATACAATTCTTTTCATTAAATAAAATAATCCTTGATGAATCATTATATGATAAATTAAATCGTTCTTTAACATTTGGTGATGAATAAACTCCTGGTTTAACTAATAAAGATTCTAAACATTTAATAATTTCATCATTACATATCGTCATTGTTGGCTTCCATGAATTTGGACATCTTTTTTGTTGATATTGAATTACTTCATCATGGGATTTTTGACATATTGGATAAAATATATTTTTTGGTTTTGAAATATGTCTTGCTATAACATTTTTAATTATTTGTTCATTAGATTTTGCATTTAAATGATTTATGGAAAAATGTTGAAAATATTCTTTATATGGTGTTGTTATATTTTTAAAATTTGAAAATTGGAAAATTGCATTACAACTTTGTACAATTTCACCATTATTAAGATTTAAATGTTGATATGGACATATTATACTTAACTTATAATGTTTATCAGATTCATATAAATATCTATTTGATTTACTATATCCAACAAATGGTTGAGGTATAATTGAACCATTTTTCAAAACTCCATGTTCAAATGACATATGTTTCTCATATTCACAATTATTTGTTTTATAAAACCCAGGAAGTTTAGGCTGAAGTTTTGACTTATTTGTTTTTTTGTCATTTGATTGATTCATTTCACATAAGGGACATAATTTAAATGTATCAAAATTTGAACTTGATTTAGAATTACCAATTTGAACTTTATACATCACATTTGTTGAATTCAAATAATTTAAAGGATCATGATCTTCATTAGGTTCAAGTTTAAAAGTTGGATATTTGCCATAAATTTCATAATATTGGTAATAAAACTGAATTGGATCTTGAGCATATTGATTATAATTTATTGAACACACTCTTGAGAAAAGGTTTTCATATGGGATATTTCTACCTTTATCAATGATAAAATTTTTGATTCCTTCATATTCTGACTTTTTTAACATTGAATTTTTAAATTCATTAATATTTAAAGCCATGTTGTAATTTGGAAGTAAAAATAGCAAAAACGTTATTAAGCAAAAGAGTTATGTTAAGCTATAGTGCAAATCAATTACTTCAAGTCTTTTTTAGTGATTATGAAGGGCTACAGGGTTGTTGGTTATTATAAATTTCAATTATAGTACAAAAAATTATGAAAAACATATTTGACAAACTACACAAAGATGAATTAATCATGAATTTTGATAAAGAATCAAAGCTTTAAAATATTCAAAAGGTTTCATAAGATACATTGACATGGTGAACATCAATCATTCATTGAATTATATAGCTTATTCAAGAGTTCTTGAATCTACATAAACTCAATAATGAAACAACCTTCAATTCACCATACTAATCAGCCCCATAACATTAGATCAAATACTTTTCAATTTTATCAAAATATTGGTTTTGTACCATTTCAATTATGAAAAATTAGCCGCTGAATCTTTAAAAACATATAAAAATTCCAAAATCATTAAAAAGATTTTAAACTCTTAATGTTTATTTTAATATTAGTACCCTGCCCTTATTCCTTTTGAGTAACTCATTCAATGATATTTTAAAAATTTGGTCTATATTCTGCGTTTCTTTAAGAACCTTTTGTATTTTTTATCTAATTTAATAATAATTGATAATCAATTGATTAATAAATTAAGTTTTTATTATCATTGTTTATTTAAATACCTAATCAACACTACATGGATTATAATAATATTTTATTGAATTATAATATACATGTCTTTAATTTTAGTTTTCAATGTAGCGCTTTATAAGCTCTATGATGTTACTTTCATGAACTCAATCTACTTATTAATTACTTATATGAAGCTGTTTATTTACATACCGGTTTTTATTTCCGGTGGAATTTCAAAATTAATTCAAAGATTTTAAATATTCAATGATTTCTGTTAACAAATATATCATTTTTATTATAAATTTATGCTTTATTTGTTCCAGTAACTTTACTGCTGATAAATAACTACTAAAATATGAGGTTTGAAATATTTGAACTTTTCATATTTTATAAAATGCCAACGTAGTAAATTTTAATTTTACTTTAGAAATAAATTATTTAAAATTTGTTCAAATTTTTTTTGACAAATATCAATGAGAAACCAATATAATAATAAAATTTGAAGTAATTAATGTTCATCAAGCCACTTATAACACTAAGTTTAACTGCAAAGTTCTTAATATATTTGATAAATTAAAATTATTATATGTTGATTACATAAGCAATATCATCACTGGATAGTGGTAAGGTGAGCATTGAAGTATTGTAGAAAATCATGTTACTTTTACAAAATTACAATCTTAGCTGGATATACGTATAACCAACTGCCCATTTTTACTATTATCCCCAGTTATAAACGAGACGTACAGCCATTTATCTTAAACATATCAACTGACGTTAACGTAACCCAATTCTCAAAAATCCTTTTATTCCCTTACATTTCTTACTAGTTATGTACTAATATAACCGTTTAGGAATTTGGTCTTACTGATTTTAACTTTTACGCTAAACGATAACTTTAATATCAGTTAATATCAGTTCATAATTACTATTCATTTTACCAGAGTTAAACTTTAAAGTTATCTTTTACTCCTCGATGCCTCGTATAATAAGCATACCCAATCTTTACCAAATTCGTTACATAAGCATATACTTCAATCTATGGATCTTATTACCAAATTGGTTAATCAAGCGTTAAAGAATACTTGATATGATGTGATTAACGTTTAGATAGTAATTTTATAGGAAATTTGAACATAAGAAAAGATGGGGCATTGATGGAATTGATAATACTTATTAACCTTGATAAGTTTTTGTGTCAAGTGTCAAGTACTTCTATGTTATCTTCAGCTTTATGATATTGATTATAAACTTGGGTGTTTTATGGAGTAATGGGAGCAATTGCTATGTTATGGATCTTGGTTCTTAATTTGGTATTGATCTTGTTGAGTAGAACTTGTTGAATGTTGAATTGAATCAAGTCCGAATCATTGTAACGTCAAGATACAGGGGTTTAAACGAGTGGTATAGTACTAAGGTATTCAAGGCTATACAAAATCTAAACGATATTGCTGTTCAGTATTAATGTTTTGTGACAAAATTGATAATCGGGTGTTAATTGTTATATAAGAACTTACTTGATTGTTTATTTTTGTCTCCATGTTTACCACTTGTTTGTTTACATTTCATCAAAGTTTCGTGTTTTGTTCTTGGAGACACGCGTGTCTAAACACCCTGTTTCGTGTGTTTTTGGCGAGGGTACACGTCCACCTGCGACGCGAAATGGCGTCTGTCACATGACACATAGTTAAGCTCTCGTTTAAGGATTTTTCTTCTGTTCTTGGACATGCGATCCATACAAACAGTGAAGATTGGAGTTTTAAAGTGGGATAAATTGGATAGGAAATAGGACTACTACAATTGACAAACGGGATTTAGTACTATGTGATCCTCTCTATCCAACCATGTAATTAATATCACTCAATTCAAACTACCAATTCTCAATTATTCAGTTATAAATCTTGTAAACTGTGTAAAAGTATATGTCAAAACTGTCCCAACCGTTCTGTCCCAAATCTTACGATAAAATTCAAAAACAGTTTTTGTTGAAAATTTGTCTTTTTTTGTAAATCTGAGAAATGAGAAAACCACATTTGGACAAAAAATCAGCTAACTTTTGATAAGTGAGTATCCACAATTCACAATTATATAAATACAAGTTGAAATCCTTCATCTTTAGAAATGTAGAACTTGTAACTCATCATCAACTACTACAACTACAACAAACAAACTATACACACACACAATGTTCGCTACTAGATTATCAGGTGCCAATTTCAGATACTACAAACCTTTACACAACTTATCAAACAAAAAGGTTCAATCTTTATTAATGCTTAGTTATTTAAGTATTGGTTTCACAGCTCCATTCTATTTACCGTTAAGATCTCATTACAAGAAACAATATGAATATAATACAACAGGTACAATGAACTTGGCTGGTTTTGTCAAAATATAATCAATCTTGACCTTATTGGTTATCAAACAACAATGGTTATATTAATATGCAATATATCACCACTCTTCAAAGAGGAAAAGAATATAAAGGTTATTAGATTTACACAGTTACAACAAAAAAGATTAATATTTAATTCACAACACACATTCGTTATCACTACAATTACAATGCTTTCAATTCTATCAATTTGGTTATGGTTAACATTTTATACCAATTGATCTATGTCAATCTTTTAACAATTACTTTTTTTTCTTTATAATTTATGATTTTTAATGAAAATGGAAATTTGGTTTTTTGGAATATATGGTTTTAATTAAAATATGCTTATTGTAGTCTTGTCCCATTGTTCAATGTCTGTTTGATCGATGTATAAAACCATTTTAATGAACTATACGTCATGAGATCAATTTTAGTACATATTTTATCATACTAAAGTGATTCAAGGCTTATAAATCATTATTCTTCTTTCATATTACTGGCTAGAGTTTTATAATGAGCATTGGTTAGCAAATCTTTTCAAATGATGTCTCGAATGAGATCGATGTACCCAGGAATTACTTGGAATTTTAGTACTACGGAATTATAACTATATGACGTTTTACGGTTAAATTTTAAAATCAAATTATCATAAATTAAAAATTGGTTATACTAAAAAAAATATCATATCATCATAGTTATTCATCATCATGTTCTCTTTCTTGTTTCTCTGATGACATTGATTAAAGCTGGTGGTGGATATATCGGTTTAACGAGGATATCATTAAGATCATCCAGGTCATCTTCTAAGGGTTCATAATCTTCATCATCATCCTCATCTTCTGAAAATTCATAATCTTCATCATCTTCATTATCATCGTCATCTTTTGAAAATTCAAAATCTTCATCATCGCCATCTTCTTCATCATCATCTTCATCTTCTGAAAATTCATAGTCATCATCATCTTCATCATCATCATTGTCATCTTCTGAAACTACAAAGTGAGCTCCATCATCATCTTCATCATCTGAAAAATCAAAGTGAACATCATCATAATTATCATCTTGTAAAAATTCAAAGTCATCTTCATCATCATCTTCATCATCATTGTCGTCATCTTCTGCAAATTCAAAGTGAACTTCATCATCATAATCATCTTGTAAAAATTCAAAATCATCTTCATCATCATCTTCATCATCTGAAATTTCAACATTTTCAATAAAATCAAGATTTGCATCATAATAATCACCAAAAACTTCTTCATTTTGAGGCTCTTCAACAAATTCAGGTAGTGGTGGATCTAATGGATCTCCCATGTATATATCATTAATATTATTGAGAAAAGCATTTCGTCTAAGCCCTAAACGTCGACCTAAAACTTCATGGATTTGATTAATTTCAAGGTGATTTAAAAGTCCAAGCTCATCATCATCAGCATCATCATTAACATCATCAGCATCATCATCATCATCAACAAGGGCCGGTAAATCACCTACTTCACCAAAGTTCAACAAATTACCAAAGATATCACCTACTCCATTAAAGTCCTGAAAATCACCAAATTGAAAATCATCAAGATGAGGTCCTAAAATATCTAAAATTGGAGCAGGACTATCCAAAGCTTCAGGTATTTCTTCTTCAGCTTCCTCATACAATTCAAGTTGCTCATCATCATCATCAAAAACTGATTCAATATCAGAATCAGAATCAGAATCTTCTGATGGTGAAGTTAAATTCTTGTGTAAAGGGGTCAGCTCAAGATTCACTGAAGGGTGAATTTGTGATGGATTTGGGCTTATTCTCATAGCTTCTTGGAAAAGTTCATCATCCCATGATGGTACAAGTAATGGTTTAATTTCTCTATAGTTATTAGTGTTCTCTAAGTAATATCTGAATGCGATTAAATATAAATTTAAATGAAGTGGAATGAAATAATTACGTATCAAATTTCTATTACCTTGATCACCACCAGAACGATAAGTTGATCTATAACGGATTGTCCCTGATGGTTCTTCTTCATGTAACACATGACATTGATGAAAATGATTAAAATATTCAGCAAATGGAGTTTTTGAATCTTTATCAAATGAAAAACTTGCAAGACATGCTTGTCCGTCATAAGTTTCTAAATAATGTGGACAAGTGATTGTTAGCTCACGTTGTTCATTAATTGGTAAGCCATTACCACCATCTTTAAAGACCAACGTATTACCGATATATGGTTGTGGTGCCTTTAGATCATTTGTATAAACACCATGATGTTCTCTTAAATGTCTCTCATAATCACCATTTGAAATATCGAAAAAAGTCTCAACTTTATTTTTTTGAGAATTATAAGATGTTGTACAAAATGGACATAAGAGAGAATAAAAATTTGCTGAAGCCTTTTCTCTTGGGTTAGTTGGATCACCTTTGTATAAAGATACTTTACAAGGATAAAGATCATTGTTCAAGAATGGATTTTCACCAATACCAGCATCAAATGCATTTAAGCCTGTAACTGATTTATAATCAGCTTTGAACCTTTTAATATCATCAGAATATATGTTTGTGTTTTGTAAAGTACCAATATGGATATCACACCAATTAATTGGTGGAGGATTGGAACTCATGATTGAAAGTTAAAAGATTGTTAGTTTAATTTGTTTATTGTTATAGATTACCTAAGCGTTGTATGTGACCCTTAGTAATCAGTATAGTAATAATTGTTTGGGGGAATTCTAAAAAGCTTTATGATTTGGAACTTTGTTTTATAATCAGAAAGTGAAGAATAAGAAGAAGAAAATGAAATGAATAAATCAAGAAATTCCTTTACTTTTATAATTTTCTGTTGAGCAGAGAGCACATTGAATTTTCAAATTTTCTGTTCAATGATGCGTTAATTAGATGAGATGAGTTGAGTATGAGTATGAGTTTGGGTAGAGGGAGATATATGAGAGCGAGCGTTTTAAAATAAAACCCTTTATTAAATACCTCATGTGATTCGTCTTGATAATTTTCAATGGTTCCAATATGATTACAATATTGAAGACTGTTAATTGAAATCATTTGTAGCTAAATTTCACGCTTTATAGGAAGTCAAATCGACTCCTTGTAACAACTTATTTGTGACTGAAATACACTAATTTGAATTTAATGGTAAATTGAGGGAGCTAGTATGTAGCTGTACCTTATATGTACTTTGAAGTTAATATTGAACTGTTTCCTAAAACAATTGTACTCCAATGATTCGAATCTCCTACTCTACATTAACGACCAAAACATTACACGATTAAGTTTCAAAAATAACATTATAATAAATTAAAAATTAAATAAACAAAATAAACAAAAATAATACGTAATTTAGTCATGATACCATCCATATCCATTAATTCAATTTAAACCTTTTATCAATTCTTTTAGACCTTCTATGACTTTTTCTTCCTTTTCCTTTCCTATGATTACGAATTTCAACCCCATAATATTCATTATCCTCTGAAAAACATTCTTCTTCCTCAAGTGGTTGTCTTCGTCTCGACTGGATTTGATGCATTATCGTTTCTGGTGACACTTCCTCTCCATCTTCACTTACAGATTTTTCAGTTTCTTCTGGATCTGTATTGGAAAGAGGAGCATGAACAGGAGAATCATTGACAATGTTTTCAGCTGCTGGTGGATTTATTGGAGAGTTTGGATCACCTTGCATAGGAGGCATTGGGTTATTAAAAGGTTCAAAAATTGGAGCTGGCATTGGCATTGGGTTGAACATTGGAACAGGAATTGGTATTGGGTTGAACATAGGAACAGGCATTGGCATTGGGTTGAACATCGGTGCTGGTACTTGCATTGGGTTGTAAGGTCCAAACATTGGAGCTGGCAATGGAGCTGGGTTGAAAGGTGCAAACATTGGAGCTGGCATTGGCATTGGAGCATGCATTGGAATGAAAGGACCAACCATTGGGTTGAAAGGTCCAGCCATTGGGTTAAGAGGACCAACCATTGGGTTAAAAGGACCAACCATTGGATTTAAAGGACCAAACATTGGTATTCTAGAACGCTCAATAGGGCGTATTGGACGAAACATTGGTGATAAGGGAGCTGTTAAAGGAGTGTCAACAAACTCGTATTCATCTTGTTCAACATCCATAGTAGGTATTCCTCCTTGATACCACCACTCTGGAACTTCTTCTTCATCAGAATCTGATTCAACATCAGAATCTTGAGGTGGTAAAGTTAAACTCATTGATAAAAGCTCTTCGTAAGTCTCAACCATAAGGTCCTGAGACACAAAAGGATGAACATATGATGGATCTGTACTTCTTTTCTTGTAGTTTCGGATAATTTCCCATGGTGGTAAAGCAAATGGTTGTATATGGCCAATGGTTTCTAATACATCTGTGTATGCAATCATATGTAAACCTGGGTTAAGTGGGATGAAATAATTAGTATCATATTTTTCACCAGAACCATCACCATTGACAAAATACATTGCTCTATAACGTGCTGTACTTAATGGTTCTTCCTTATGTAACACATGACTTTCATAGAAATGAGTGAAATATTCAGCGAATGGAGCTTGTGAATCCTTATTAAATGAAAAACTTGCAAGACATGCTTGTCTATGATCAGACTCTAAATGATATGGACAAGTGACTGACAATTCAGGTTTTTCATTAACTGGTAATCCATTACCATCATCTCTAAAGACCAATGTATCACCAATATATGGTTGTGGAGCTTTTTTACCATTTGTATAGATACCATGATGTTCTCTTAAATGTTTCTCATAATCACCGTTGAGGACATCAAAAAATTGTTCAGTTTTATATTTTTGAGGGAAATAAGATGGTGTACAAACTGGACACAAAAGTGAGTAAGATTCCAATGAATCAAATGTTCTACCATTGATTAAAGCAGCTTTACGAGGGTAACGATAAACGTTTAATGATGGATTTTTACCAAAAGCAGCAGCATATGAACCCAAACCTGTAACTGAATTGTAATCATTTTTGAACTGTTTAGTATCATCATGAGTATATCTGTTTGGTTTTTGTAAAGTCTCGACATGGAGAGCATCCCAAGGAAATATATATGATGGCTTCTCTTTATATAACGCATGAAATTGGTAATAATGAGTGATATATTCTGCGAATGGATATTGAGAATTTTCATCATATGCAAAACTAGCAAGACAAGCACGATCATGATCAGTTTCTGAATGATGTGGACATGTGATTCTCAACTCTGGAGTTTCGACAAGTTGTAATCCATTACCATCATCACCAACGGCCAATCTATTACCAATATGTGGACGTGGTGCTTTTAAACCATTGAAGCTTTCAACGAAATCACCATTAGCAGCATTGTTTGGGATCCGTGAAGTATTAGTTGGGCAAATGTAACACATAATTGAAAGTTAAAAGATAATTGTTTGTTTGTTTGTTCGTTAATATAGTTGTTCTGTATTACCTAAGCGTTGTATGCGACTCTTAGTAATCTGTATAGTAATAAATATAGTTTGTTTGGGGGAATTTTAAAAGCTTTATGATTTGAAAGTTTGTTTTATAATCAGAAAGTGAAGAATAAGAAGATAAAATTAAAATGAATAGATGAAGGAATTCCTTTACTTTTATATTTTTCTGTTGAGCTGCAGAGCACACTGAATTTTCAAATTTTCTGTTCAATGGTGAGTTTTTAGATGAGTTGAGGGTTGAGGGTTGAGAGAGTTTAAGATGAGTATATAATTGATTAATACATGAAGACTTCTGTGAGATACTCATTATAATACTCTTAAATTGATATTTCATTTCAGCTCTGTTTCCATAATGTTCCAATAGTTTTAATAGTTCTAATAATTGCAACATTGAGAACTGATTTTGAGATCAATTTCACGTATTGTACATAGTCAAGTCAATGATCGTTGTGAAAGTCCAGACTAATTAGACTGATAAAGAATAGGATCTTTATATAACTCTCTTTTAAGTTTTATAACCCAGGTCCCATGGTATGTATTCAATCAGAATTTATGCCATAAAGTCATAAATGCATTTTGATAATACGGAGTACTATAGATAGTTTTAGATCAATAGTCAGACACGGATTGTTGGAGAGTACATAATTTATGTTGAAAAGATTGTAGTTATTATCTTTTAATGCACTAATGTAGGCTTGGTAACAATTTTCAGGTATTGATCTTTGGTTGTGAGCTTATTATAAGTTGAAGAGGTTATTGTTACATAATCTTGAACTATATCACGTACTCAACTTAAGTTCAAGACATGCTCACTCATCTCTTATTAAATAACCTACCATCATCACTTTACTATGAATTGTCAGATCCATTCTTCAATTAATCAATTAAGAAGATTGTCATGCTTTGATAATCGATAAATATCGGTGATCTGAGATTCCCACAGTACGACGACCCATGTGTTTGGTTTTTGACGCATTTTCAATTTCACTGAAGAGGTTATTTACCATGAAGCGAATATAAATAACCAGAATATCTGCTCTAAAGATCAAGACCTGAGATACGAAATAACTACAAAGCACCCATCAAAATGGTTTATATTCCAACATTGATCAAATACGCCACTGCATTCACTGCAACTTCATTCACTTCAAAAAATTATTTTAAACAATATGAAGATTCTTCAATAATTACCACTGAACAAGATAATTTTGGTCTTAGAACTGATAAATTCCCTAATGGATTCAATGATTTGATAAAGAAATTGGATAGTAAAAATGCTGAAGATCCTTCTAAAAAGAGGAAATTAATCTTTTTAGCAAGACATGGTGAAGGATGGCATAATGTTTTAGGAAATGAATTAAAAGATTGGAATGATATTTCTAAACATGATACATATGAAAATTATACATTATTTGATGCTGATTTAACTCCAAAAGGTGAATCTGAAATAAAAGACTTACATCAATATTGGGTTAAACAATTAAATGATGGTTCTGTACCTTATCCTGAAACTTTTTATGTTTCTCCATTAACTAGAACCATTCATACTTTCAATTTAACATTTCAAAATGAATCCATTAATGCTTTGATTGATGAAGATTTAAGAGAACGTTATGGTGAACAAACTCCAGAGAAGAGACATAACAAGACATATATACATGAGGTTTTATTACCACAAGGTTCATTTATTGAACCATTCACAGAACAAGATGAGCTTTGGAAACCTGATGAAGAGGAATCAAACAAACACGTTAGAGAAAGAGTCACCAAATGGTTAACACAGTTATTTGAAGATGATGAATTGGTTATAAGTGTAACTAGTCATGGTGGTACGATTTCACAAATTTTAAAAGTGATTGGCCATCCAAAATACTCGTTGAAGCCTGGACAGTTGATTCCCGTTGTTGTGAAGGCGAAAAGCAAATAGAGATCCTTTTGATAAGTATATTTTTGTTGTTGATGTTTTCTTTGTAGTTGATGTCTTAGCGGCTAATTCTCATCGCGCTTTATTTCAAGTATAAACAAATCCTTCAACACTTGGTGATACTCAGATTTTCAAGGAAAGAACACCGTCACAAAATGGTTCATTTGAAAATAACACTTCCAATTCTTTTGATTTTGATAGCTTATACTCACTTCAGATCATCACCAGTAGAGATCTCAACTTTATCAAATCCAACAAATGCTCCTTCAGAAATATTCAATCAAAATTGTATCAAAGATACTCAAGTTATATATTCATTCACAAATCTATTAGGAGTCTTAATAACATCTGGTCTTTATGATGAAACAAGAGAATTACAACATGCAGCCACTGCTTATACACTATACTATAAATTACAAAACTTAGGAACCGTTACAGATATTGATCAAGTCACTAGAAATGATATTGAAAAATGGCAAAATTATCTAAGATTATATCTATCAAAAGAAGATTTTGAAGGTAATGTTGAACCAATTTGTGAAATTCAAGTACTCAAGATACAAAATGGTGATAAAGATGTTGTATTAACTTATGGTACTGATTTAGAAAAAGTTGAAAAAGTTCAATATGAAAATTTGATCAAAAGAGAATGGGATTTAGTTCAAAAAAGTAATGAATATGGTTTCAAGGATTTAGAATGGGATAAAATTTTGGTTTTAAGTGGTGTTATCATTGGTACTGGGAAATTGATAAAATTGATTGGATTTTGAGACAATTACAATTGACTACTAGGAATAAACACATAAACGCAAAAAAATAAATAAACATTAGAATAGAACTTTCATGATTATTGTTCATTGGCAATTTGTGATCTAACATCATCAATATGATTCTTGGATAAATTTGGATTCAAATTTGATAAAAATTTAGCCAATATCAAATTTAAACTTTTGTAAGATTCTAATATAAAATTATGACCTGAATTTTCTAAAACTTCATAAGTAGAAACTCCTGATCCAATTAAATCATAATAAGTTGATCCACCTCTTTTAGTTAATTTATCATCTGATGCATCAATTATTAAAATCTTACCATGATTTTGTTCAATAATTTGTGATGATTCTAATGCATCACTAACACTTAATGGAATCCAATTTTTAGCATGTTTAATAAAATTTGATGAATTTGTTAAAAGATTAAATCTAAATTGTTTAAATTTTAAAAAATCTGATGTATCTTCATTATGAAATAATCTACCCATAGAAATACTTTTAATATTATTTAATCTATCCAATTTTCTGAAAAATTCAAATAATATTGGCAATCTAGCAAATAATCCAAGGAAAAATTTCTCCTTTTTAGTTCTTATTAATGGGATTTTAGGTGGTGCTAATAATATAAGACTTTTAACATTTGGTATTACTGTATTCAATTTCAATATCACTTGTGTACCATATGAATGACCAATAAGAACAATATCACGACCAATATATCCATTGGATTCTAATTGTTTATGAACAACTTCAACAAAATTATCTAAAGTTAATTTAAAATTTGAATTTATATCCTGTGATCTACCTGAACCTGGTAAATCAATTGCAAAAATATCAGTTATACCTGCAAATTCTTTTATAATTTCATCAAATTGTTGGAAATTACCTCCTAATCCATGAATAAATACTAATACTGGAGTTTCATTAATTTTAGATTCTAAATTTGTAATAATTTCATTTGATAATGAACTATTATTCAATTGTGTACTAAGAGGATGTGGAACTTTAATACCAAATAGTTTACCAACATTTTCAACATCATCTATAAAACTATATGTATTTGTGATATCTGATGTAAATGTTTCTTCATCTTGAATCAATGCTTTTTCTAATTCTGTATTTTTTGAATATAAAAGGAATTGACTTAATAATTTAAAACTATAAATTATTTTTGGAATAAATGATTTAGGAACTTCATGTTGTTCCTGTTTAGCTAGTTCTTTATATTGTTCTAATGACATTATCTTCAACGATTGATTCGATAAACTCCTTGAAACGTTATCAATTGATCAAACGACTTGATTATCAAACTCATAATTTGTTTATCTATATAAAAGTCCCTTATACTAACAAAATTGTGGCATCTTGAAACTTCAAAATATCCCAGAAAACTACCAAATTAGGAAATTGCCCACATTTGCAAAAAGTCTCCGTTTCATAGTCTTGCAAAATTTTAACTCCGTCGGTGATCTTGAAATCTTGAAACGCCAGACCCTGATTACCGCATTGGGCAAAAACTTTCCTTATAAGTCATAAAATTTTTAATAGAGGAAATATTTATTCCCAACTTGTTTCAACAATAACAATTAATTTTCATGTACTTCATGTATTCCATGTAATGGGTACGAGAATGTTCAGAATGTGCGGCATGTATGTCAATTAAAGCATAGAGTATCCTAGTTTAGGTCAAATAGACTTGTAAAATATTTCTTGGAGCTTTGTAACAATACTTTTTTGATGTGGTCTTGTGATTCCAGAATTAGCATAGTATTCTATAGATCTAGATACCAATTACCATATCGAGGCTAAAAAACTATACATAAAATTTAGGGCTGAATACAATGTAGTACAAATATTTATGAATATTACAAATTATTTATTATAAAAGAACAAAACTAAACAAACCGCATATGATAAACCTGTTTATATGTTTATAAAGTCGTCTAAGCATTATCATCACCTTTTTTGGCAAATAAACCATTATCTTGTGAATTTGGGGTATCAGTTCCTGAGGTACCTTCTTTTTCGGCATCAGGAATATCAGCTGAAGCTTTATCATCGAATCCATCATTTTCAAATTCAATTTCATCGAATAAACCTAATTCAACAGCAGCTTTTTCAACTTCTCTATGGTTCATCTTTGGCATAGTTTGAGCAACTCTCCAGACATATTGTTTTTCAACATGAGCTTTAGCAAATAAAATATCAACTTCTTCTAATGAACGACCAGCAGTTTCTGGGTAGAAGAAGAAAATAATTGGAACAAAAAGGAAGTTCAAACATGCAAAGAATAAATAACAACCCCAACCTGCGGAACCAATGAAAACTGGTGTGAACATAACAACAGCAAAATTTGTTAACCAATTGGTACATGTGGAAATAGCTGAAGCAATAGTTCTGGTTCTTAAAGGATTGATTTCTGGTGGATAAACCCATGGTAATGGTAAAATGGTGAAAGCAAAGAAAACAATGAATAAGAATAAACCAACAGCAGCACCCTTAGCAGTTTCTTCAGTTTGTTTAACTAAACAACCAAATGTAATCATGAATGAACAACCTTGACCGATAGCACCGATTAAGAATAAGTTTCTTCTACCTAATCTTTCAATTAAAAGGAATGATGGAATAGTAGCTAAAGCATAAATAGTGGAGAAAACACCACCCATTATTAATGGCATTTTACCTTTCAAACCAATAGTTTCTTCGAATAAAACGGTAGAATAATAGATAGCAGCGTTACAACCAGTGAATTGTTGGAAAAATTGAGTAGAAGAACCAATCAACATTCTTCTGAAATGTTGAGTTTTACCACCAGTGAAAACATCTTTTAATGAAAGTTGAGATTTAGATAATTTATCAACACCATCTTGAATGGCAGCAGCTTCTTCTTGAACACCTTCATCTTCCATACCAACACCGTTCAAAGCAGCTAAAATGTAGACAGCTTCATCTCTTCTACCTTTACCTAATAACCATCTTGGTGATTCTGGTAAATGAAGGGCAAAGAGCATGACGAAGAAAGCGAAGAAAATTTGGAAAGCAACTGGGAATCTCCATTGTGATGAGTTTTCAACATATGACATACCAAAATCAACCCAGTAAGCAACAAAAGTACCAATAGCAATAACTGAACCTTCCAAGTTAACTAACATACCTCTCTTTTCTGGTCTTGACATTTCTGATTGCCAAACTGGAATAGTAGCAGTATTCATACCATTACCAATACCAGTAATAACTCTACCAACAACGAATTGACCAGTACCCCAAGCATCTCTAAAAGCTGTGACGGAAATAATAGTACCAATGATAATAATGAAAGCACCAATGATAATTAATGGTCTTCTACCAATTTTATCACCTCTGAACATCGCAAATAAAGCACCAAAGAAACAACCAATTTCATAACAAGCTGTGACGGCACCTTGGTTAACTTGATTACCTTTTGTAGCTGGGAATTCATAGTTAAACTCTTCACCAGTAATTAAACCAGACATAAGACCTTGATCATAACCGAATAAAGAGAAACCTAGAGTAGAAGTCACAGTGACAGCTGCTCTAAGACCTCTACCAGTGAACCCGGAGGTATTTGTTCTTGATTTCCAATCTAAACCCATAACGTCTTGTGTTTAAAGTTTGGATGTGTATAAGATTCAAGAAAGAAGTTGTGATCAATTTCTGGGCACTGGGCATTGGGGAATTACCAGGATATTTATATGTTCGTTGATTGAATGTTTTTTAAAAACTTTCCTAAAACAGTGCTATTTTCTTTTACAAGCGTCGATACATATAAAACATAAATTTTGACGTACTTAACTATGTATTTGTTAGTCAAGTTTAGTGGGAAAATTTCTGTAAAGTACTATAATAAAATTCATGATGTAATTTCGTGTCCGTAGATTTAAAATTTAAAAAAAATTTAATCCGGTTTGTGTCTCTTACGATGTTTTAACTACTAGTCTTCGTGTGGACGGAACCAATAATTCAAGGTAGGGCCAAGATGAGCCAAGTTTTTCTGCACATTTGACGCTGTTTCATGTACAGCTCGGACCCAAGTCAATTTTCGCGAAAATTTATGTGAATTGACTTGAAAGTCGCTGTTTTTGACTTGGAAGTCACATTGACTTTAAAGTCAAAGTCAACATGATTTGACTTTGGGCTTTTTCCAAGTCACTTTTCGCGAAGGTTTTTAGTAAAAATTTACTGATAATTGAAAAGTTTTTGCCTAAAATTTTGTAATCTTGTAGTTCTCATTTCTCAATTAACGCGTACTCTTCTAGATTGCAAAAAGCAGTGTTGGAATTTGGCTTTTTTGAGACAAAATAAAATTCAGAAAATCGATTATGTAAAAATCATCAATTTATTATCCGAAAAAGGAAATGTTCTGGTTCGCGAATTTCTTTTTGACTTTGGGATGACTTGGAATTGACTTTGGAAAGTCATTGACTTTGAAGTCAAAGTCAGTACCTAAATGACTTCGGTCCGAGCTGTAGTTTCATGTATGACATTATTTCGAGGTCACCACTCATTTCCGGAACATAAATAAACATAAACTTTTTAAAAGAAAAAAAAAACATCACATATAGGAATTTGTTCGGTGAATTTAATTAAGGTTAAACTCTATTTTTTTGTGAGTGTTTAGCATATTTCAAGCTTGCGTGACTTATTGATTCCTTTATTGTAAAAGCTGGTTGTAGGCTTGCTATTAGTATGCTAGTAATGAGCCGCAAATGTGATGACTTATGCTGGTGGGTGGTTGGTGCTTGACAGCTTTTCAAAGCTGGTTCATAGACAGCAAGACCAGCTTTAAATTATCTGGAGAAATAGTCACAGTCCCGTCTAGACTTTCTGCTCATCGGTCTTTATCCCCGTTCAACTCCACCAAAAAAGCTCCCAGTGCTCCGTCAAAATTAAGCCGCCTAGATGTTAGACTCTGGAGCTGAAGACCGGCTTTTTTTTATTTTGATCTTACGATTTCATAGCAACGCGTAAATTAATGCTTGAGTCTTCAAAATTCTGATTTACGGCGCGGATCTCTAGTCTTGAACAGGTCGAATAGACTATTTTTTGAACTTAATTTTACGTAGTTAAGTAGGTACAGCGTAGCTTAAAAGTAAAGATCGATTAAATTCTATCTATAATCTTCAAAATATAGGCTCTTAAAGAACTCAACTTTTAAAATACTATAACATTCCGAAAATTATGGACCAAGTCTTGCGGTTACATATTGTACGAGCGAATGATCAACAGCTGCGTACCTGAAATTACAATTCTTCTAACTTCTTCTTGTAGAAATCAATATAACCAATAAACCACTTTAGAGCGCAAATTAGCCGATTATACAATGTTAATCACCACCACAACATCGATATATCACGCAAATAAAACATCAACGCTTCTTTGTTGGGGAAAAGTAATTACTAATTATAGTTTTCCCGGAGAAATAGTTGTAAATCATGGAAATAGAACGACCACGCAAGATTTGTGGTGTATGAGTATGGGGTTAATACGAGATGTGTTTTACCAGTTTTACAATCATACAGAAGATGAATTAACTGAACACTAAACACTAAACATTAATGCTCGAGCGCTTCAAAATAACATTTTAATAGAGCGGCCCAGGCCGATGAACCAAATCTGATTAATTTTATAGATCTATAGAAAGCATAAATATTAAATAACGATCTAGCAGCTGTACATTTATATGTCAATTAAGGCATGAATTTAGAGTTATCAGAAAACGTTGAATATATTATTGTACGAAAATTCATTAGAAAATTAGCTAATTAATAATTTATTATAAAAAGAACAAAATTAAACAAACCGCATGTAAGAGAAATCCATTATTATATGTTTATAAAGTCGTCTAAGCATTATCGTCACCTTTTTTACTTAATAAACCATTGTTGTTATCTTGTGAGCTTGGGGTATCAGATCCTGAAGTACCTTCTTTTTCAGCAGCATCTGGGATATCAGCAGAAGCTTTATCATCGAAACCATCATTTTCAAATTCGATTTCATCAAATAAACCTAATTCAATAGCTGCTTTTTCAACTTCTCTGTGGTTCATTCTAGGCATAGTTTGTGCAACTCTCCAGACGAATTGTTTTTCAACGTGAGCTTTAGCAAATAAAATATCAACTTCTTCTAATGAACGACCAGCTGTTTCTGGGTAATAAAAGAAAATGATTGGAACGAAAAGGAAGTTCATACATGCAAAGAATAAATAACAACCCCAACCGGCATCTTTAATAAAGATTGGTGTGAACATGACAACAGCGAAATTTGTCAACCAATTGGTACATGTAGAAATAGCTGAAGCAACAGTTCTTGTTCTCAAAGGATTGATTTCTGGTGGATAAACCCATGGTAATGGTAAAATAGTGAAGGCAAAGAAAATGATGAATAAGAATAAACCAACAGCAGCACCCTTAGCATTTTCTTTGGTATCTTTAACTAAACAACCAAAAGTAATCATAAATGAACAACCTTGACCAATTGCACCAACTAAAAATAAGTTTCTTCTACCTAATCTTTCAATCAAGAAGAATGATGGAATAGTAGCTAAAGCATAAATGGTAGCGAAAACACCACCTAAAATCAATGCCAATCTCTTTTCTAAATTAATAGTTTGTTCAAATAAGACAGTGGAGTAATAAATAGCAGCGTTACAACCTGTAAATTGTTGAAAGAATTGAGTAGAAGAACCAATCAACATTCTTCTGAAATGTTGAGTTTTACCACCAGTGAAAACATCTTTTAATGAGGCTTGGTTTCTGGAGACTTTTTCAACACCATCTTGAATAGCAGTAGCTTCTTCTTGAACACCAACGTCATCCATACCAACACCATTCAAAGCAGCTAAAATGTAGACAGCTTCATCTCTTCTACCTTTACCTAATAACCATCTTGGTGATTCTGGTAAATGAAGAGCGAAGATCATAACAAAGACTGCAAAGAAAATTTGGAAAGCGACTGGGAATCTCCATTGGGATGAATCATCAACATATGACATACCAAAATCAACCCAGTAAGCAACAAAAGTACCAATGGCAATAACTGAACCTTCCAAGTTGACTAACATACCTCTCTTTTCAGGTTTTGACATTTCTGATTGCCAAACTGGAATAGTTGCAGTATTCAAACCATTACCAAGACCTGTGACAACTCTACCAATAACGAATTGACCAGTACCCCAAGCATGTCTGTATGGAGTAACTGAGATAATAGTACCAATGATAATAATGAAAGCACCAAGGATAATTAACGGTCTTCTACCGATTTTATCACCTCTTAACATCGCAAATAAAGCACCAAAGAAACAACCAATTTCATAACAAGCAGTAACAGCACCTTGATTAACAGCATGATCTTTAGTAGCTGGGAATTCATAGTTAAATTGTGGACCAGTAATCAAACCAGACATAAGACCTTGATCATAACCGAATAATGAGAAACCTAAAGTAGCTGTTACTGTGACAGCAACTCTAAGGCTTCTACCTGTGAAACCAGATGTATTTGTTCTTGATGTCCAATCTAAACCCATCTTGTTAATGTGTTTAGTTCAATAATAAAGTATACTATAAAAGAAAAATAATAAAATCATGATAATGCTTCAAATTCTGGGGGAATTGTAAGGATATTTATATTTTCCAATTCATATATTTGAGTTTCCTAAAGCAGAGGGATTTCCATTACCAAAATAGTTACATATTGATTAAAAATTTAAACCTTAACTATGTATTTTCCATAATATAGACTATATTTCATGATATATTCTTGGATTTTTACTTTCTTGGCGGGAGACTGATTGATGTAATGACTGCAATAAAGGCCAAGATCTATAAACTTTAAAACATATAATTGACCTTGTGAGAAGTGGATAAGACATGAGTTGAAAGTTGAGAGACTAGCATGGACTTTAAAGGTTTTCTGGTGGAAGAATATTTAGCCTAATCATTTGATATGTTGTTGTTGTGTATGGAGATGATTTTAATTAATTCCGAAAAAAAATTAGAAATATGCCATGTTTCGCGTTCTCAACCTACCACTATTTTTGTTAAAGTTTTGAAGATTAGCCTGTCTACAGCTCAATCTATAATCTTTGAGAATAGTAGCTTATATTAGTTATTTTAAGTTGTAATCGATGTATTAATTTACCATGTAAGCGCTTTATGAAAATAAACTTGATGATAAGGTATCAATATTCAATTGTAGTTCTTCTAATAATCATAAGTTGCACGTTGTAGGGACTGTA